GGTGGTACATTGTGTAAATGTCCCATGTTTCTCATGTGTTTTGAGAACATATTTGGTTTTCATGAAGAGAAATATTTTCATTAGCCTAAGATGCTTGGTATCCAGCACGGGTCGCTCCTGGCATTGTGCCCACCTCGTCAGTAGACTGGGGATTGTAGAGTGTTGCAAACATATCACAGACTCTTGCACTGTTTTGTGGCCAGTTGAACTTGTAAAGTTTGTTCTGGCATCCGGTTGAAATCTCCAATTGCAGCCCGGTCACATGTGGCAGATGGTGGTAGTGTCCTAGATGTGGGAATTGTCTAGTCACCTTTGCTAGTTTTATTGCCAAATTGTCGAATTTGGACCTTGCCACAGATTCTGTTGGTGCATCTCTGCCAATTTTGGGACGCTTTGAGGTGCATTAAATCACACGATTTCCTTTTTATGGTCGTGTGTAGGCACTTCGTCCTTGGCAGGAAACTTGGGTGGCGGGGCACTTGCAGGCCTGTGCCTTCTCGTTTGAACAAGTGGAGAGCGGTGAAAACCATGCAAGCCATGAATGACGTTTAGGTGGTCCAGGTATCATTGGAAGGATCTGCAAGGATACTCAGTAGATATTGGTCATGCAGCCCAAATTCCCGGTGTTGCGGTCGTTACGATCCAAAATGGCCACCGCACCACACGCGCGCACTCAATCATAACGTCCTCCTCGTGTAAAGTAAAACTATATTTCTCATTTTTTTACCGCGCGACGCACATTATGATTGCAGGTTTCGCTCAGCAGCGCGCCACTTTTTGATCATAACGTTCTTCAAGTGCTGCGCCTGCCAGGCGAAATGGCCACAGGAAAAATTCATAACGTGCTCCAAATGCCGCGCCTGCCACACGACATGATCCTTAGCTGCTGAAAATGCTGTGCTGGCCACACGAAAACAATCAGACATGGTTCGATATGGCTCACCATGGTTCAAAATTGATTGACCGGCAGTTCCAGATGGATAGCTGCTAGAAAAAAGATCAGCATTTTGTGGGTCCAACAGGCAGCCCCATTGACCAATGCCCATGACTGATCCCCTGCAGCATGCAGGTATGGAGAACCACATCGGTGGGGCCTTGCTCCAAGAATTGCTTTCGATTTCGGAGGAAGACGCAGCTGCAGGTGTGAGATGCCCAGGGAGAGGTGGTACATTGTGTAAATGCCCCATGTTTCTCATGTGTTTTGAGAACATGTTTGATTTTCATGAAAGAGATATTTTCATTAGCCTAAGATGCTTGGTATCCAGCACGGGTCACTCCTGGCATTGTGCCCACCTCTTCAGTAGACTGGGGATTGTAGAGTGTTGCAAACATATTACAGACTCTTGCACTGTTTTGTGGCCAGTTGAACTTGTAAAGTTTGTTCTGGCATCCGGTTGAAATCTCCAATTGCAGCCCGGTCGCATGTGGCAGACGGTGGTAGTGTCCTAGATGTGGGAACGGGAAGTTTGTCATTTCTTGTTTGGATGAGTGGATTATTTACTTGGTGCACAAGATGAGCATGCTTGTCGAGTTGGATATATCTGCAACCCTGACGGCTTCTGGCTGCTCAAGCGGAGGTGAGGTGGCACCTAATTGCTTCTGCTGTCCTCCTTCTCTCCTCCTGCGGCCCCCTCTTTCTCGCCTTGGCCTCCCGTGTCCTTGCCTCTCCCTCCTGCTGCCTCTGCCCTGCCCCTTTTGGTTGCTCTCCTCCTCCTTCTTTGGTTGGGGTCTGGTGCTCTCTCATTTTTGGTCCCTCCCTTTCAAAATTTCTCCTCCGTTATGTTGTTTGTCTGTCGTTTGGTGGTGGTCCTCTTTCGTGTTTCTTTTGTTGCAGTTTCACGTGGCTCGGGCACAGACCGCACCCTGTCGCGTGTTTCTGCTTTTCTTGTCTCGTGTTGTTCTTTCTCGCCCGTCTTCTTCTCTTGGTTCTTTGTCTGGTTGGTGGCCCTTCGATAGCATGCGCTACTCCTCTCTAATGTTCCCTTCTCCGCTGCGCGGTGTTCTTTCTACTCTTCTCTTCTCCGCCCTTCTCTGCTCTGCTCTTCTTCTCCATTCTCTTCTTAGCTGTTGTAAACTGTACACTGGTCATTGAAAAACAATCCGTAACTCGGAGGGTAGTTCGACAAAGCAACAGAGAGAGCAGAAATCAAAAGAGCACAGGGGAAACAAGGTGCAGGGGGTGCGAAAAAAACTGAACGATAATTACAATACAAATGATGTGTTTTGATGGCCGCGTGCTTTGTTGCATTCTGTTGAGGCCGGTGGATTGCATTTTACTGCCGCACACATCATTTCAGACGTCCATATTTTAACCATGTTGACCATGTGGTCAAACCTCGCAGCCTTTTGGGTTAAGCGGACTTTGCAACATGGAACATTTGATCTTTGAAATCAGGAGGGGGCCATCATGAAATGAGAATTGGATCACGCGGGCCAAATATATGGGATCAACGGCATGACGAATCCACGTTGGTGTCACAACAGGTACCACGTCTTCGTGTCCGCATTAGGTTAGGTAGCTGCGGGAAGCGCACATGTGCCACGCTCATGGGTGGTGCTGACGCAGCTCGCCATGCTTCGCCAGTTTCAAAAGGGGCATCCTTGGACAGTCCTGGCCGAAGGTGGTGGTTTTTGGAGCAGGCCCGTGAGGATTTCTGTTGGCAAACTTTGGCGGTTTTGAATTCCCGGATTGAATTGAAGATGGTTTGGATACTTGGTCCAAGGAAGAGCGTTGAACTCCAACTTGTGTTGGAAGGTTGTATCAATATGTTTTAATTTGGTTTGTGTGAAAACGATCGGCTTATCATACGATGCATAACATTGGGGGACCTACAATAAGGAACCAACTACAAATTTGTGGTTTCTGCACTTTGGTCCTGCTTGAAATGATTGGGAAATTAGTATGCTTTTGTTCTGTCATCGCTGGCACCCAACGCAAACTGACCGCGGCTTCGCTTTGAGGCATTTGTATGTGCAGCCTGCGCCACTGGTCCACAGATGCCCTCTACGCCTAGGAGTAAGAGTTTCCTGGCTACAAATGTGGACATGCAAAACTGATTGGTGGGATGTCGTTACTTTCAACCATAGAAATGGGATGATGATATGCACTGACATTCAAATTTTTCAGGGGGGATCAGAAAATCATGTCGCGTTCTGCAGGTCAGATGGCCCCGTGGCGAAGCGCTTGGCGCAGCAAGAGTTTGCCGCAGATCATCGACTCCCAGGCAACGCAAGCGACGCAAAGTTCCTTGCAACGGAAAGGGAGCGCTGGCAATTTCTATGCCAAGGACCGGGGGAATTCCATGACCGAAGTGTGATCTTAGCCGGATTACGATGGAATTTCATGATGAAATGAAGATATAGATGCTTTCTGGACCCAAATTAGCTGTGTTGAAGGAATGCGGGTATCATATGTTTGTCTGTGTATATATATATACACATAAAATCAAAAAAAAGAACTGTGCTTGTTACAAGTGCTTTTTGGTAAGATTGAAATTGGTTCATTTTTGGGTTGACCACGTTATTCCTATTGTATCAGCATGATACCGTCAATTTTTGTTGGTAAAATCCCCATATGCCACAGACGCTAGCGACCATCAGGACGGAGATTCAACTCGTTCGTCGAGGAGTAGAATGCAAGGCGATCCAAGAGATCCATGGGATGGGGCTGTGTTAATCAATGTAATCCATGAATAGGCGACTCTCCATAGCTATGTTAAATACCGGATATGTATATATATATACACATATATATATGTATATATATATATGTATATATATATATATGTATATATATATATGTATATATATATATATATTTTTTTTTTTCCTCTCTCTCTCATACTTATCACATCTGTAGAACTCAGTTGATTCATTGATGGGGGAATGAACAGCAATAGCCACCAGTTTTTTGATGAAAGAAGAGCAGCCGGGTTTCGACACATGCCTGTGTGTTCCGCACCACCACCTAGCTGCATCGTTTCAGGTGTTGATGCGACGCCCAGAACCATCTACTCCTCTGGGCCGGGCGTAGCAGTTGAAGTCAATAGTGAACCTTCGATGAAATCCAGCAGAATGCTTGATTGGACAGCTTCAAAACCCAAAGGAGGCCTATGGAAATTTGAAGAAATTTGGGATTCCCAAAGTCTGCCAGATGGCTACGCCTTTGAGAGCGAAGGGCTGTTAAGGGCGCCCGCGCATTCTGTAGATGGTTCGACTTTGAATGAAACATCCACTTTATCAGTCATCTCTCCAAGGACTTGCTGTGTTCTAGACATGAGGGCCTGCAAGAAGCCTCTTGGTACAATGTCCGGGGGTCATTTTTGCACGATGATTGCGCTGACATGGTGGAGGTTTCAATCCCTAAAACAACTAGCGAAAAAAAAACAGTGAACCATTTCAGTCCTTCAACATGATGACTGAGCCTAGAAGTTATAGTTGATCGTATCACTTTCTCCACTCTACCTTCTCAGTGAGCCTTGGGTATGGGCCAAAATTGTTGACACTCCAAAACCAATGCTGATAAAACATGACCAATTCTGTGGGTGAATTTTTTGGTACCAACATTTTGATGCAAAAGTGTGACCCAAAGTTCCTAAGTTCCAAGGTCTTTGATAACTACGAGTTCATTTCTGCTGTGGGCAGCGGGGCCTTTGGGCGCGTTTTGCGTGCGAAACATCGCTGCGGGGGGCAGATGCGCGCATGCAAGGCGCGGTTTTTACCGTGTTTTCTTTTGGGGGGGGCAAGGAGGCAGAGAACCAAAGGTCACTGGGTGGATTTTGGCTGAAAGTCTGCAGGAAACTATGGCGCCATAGCATGGTTTTGAGTTGTTTTTTAGCCGGAAATATGAGGGCTTCCTGCAAGCAATTGTGGGAAAGCTGGACATCCACACAATGAAGCGCGTAGGCCCTCACAACTAGCACTCCACTGGAGCGAAAGTGTCTTGGCGCGTCGAGCAACATTCCCAGTTAGTGACTTCACTGGTCATCAGATGATTGGTTGATTCACAACCTTGGTGAATATGGTTTTCAAGGATTGATGATGATTGATGGTTAACATGGGCAGTATCTTATTTGTAACATGGTCCATGTTTCTTCCAAGTTCAAAACGTTTCCGCAATTTTGTGCCCAACGGGTTGCAAAACGTCAGCCTTATGTGCCTATAGCAAGAATTGGCAGGTGTATCTTATATAGTGAATTCCTTCCATTCAGACCCTCAGGCGGGAGCCAATTGTTCTTGGCAGTGCAATCTTTGTCCCCATCGACTTAAGGATTCCGCTTCGTAATCTTCGTACTGTGCACTGTCTGAACAGCGATTTTTTCACGAACCTGATGGATTAAACCGCGAAGGCGACCGTAACTGATAGAGATTGTTCAGATTCGCCCTTATCATCGTGGTTAGTGGCTTTTTATCGCCCTTATTGTGGGGGAGGTTGAATCCCCATGATACCTCCGGCAATCAAACACGGCTTGCTGGAAAATCCACCTTTCATTGCATTTATAGATGATTTTCCTATTAAAACCTCCATTTCAGTGATTTCCCAGTTTGCCATGTTTGAGGACACCAGAGGGTACTTGGCTCAAAGTTCCCTGCCCAGGTTAGTGGACACCGAGATAGCCATCTTGAAGGTTTTGAATCATCCCCACGTGCTGCAGCTGTACGAGGTCTACTTCGAACCCAGCACCACTGCACCCCGGTGACTGAACCATGTGTCCACATTCGGTTGTGAAACATCTCGAAACCCTGGGTTGGTCGAGGATCTCATTTGGGGTCACCGATTGGGGCATTCAAACTGTGGGATTGCCTGAAGAGGTTGAGGTCAGATGTCCCAGTGGCAAATCAGGTTTTGTCGCCTCTCAGTTGGGAAGGTCTGTTGATATACCTTAGCCATGTTTAACCTCAAAAACTTGGTAGGTAAAGCTGTTTAGAGCCTCTGTGCTTTGTCTCGTTCCCTTATTACTGTACTTGGACAAGCATCTCAGGGAGTTCCTGCTTCGGTTTCTGGGATATGCCCTCAGTAGCATTCCTTGTCAAGCTTCCATGGGATGCTATCCTTTCCCCATCATATCATTAGGAGTTTTGTGTGTATGTCTGGGTTAATATGGCAAACGCAATCACACAACCGTGCTTTTGTTGGGTCAAATGTCGGGATGGTCAAATTATCGTCCGTGTTTCATTAGTACCACCATTAGGATCTATGATGGGGAGTATTCCCATTTTCAGAAGTTCTCATTTAGTCACCATACCCTACCTAAGGTATACTAAGGTATACTAAGGCATACTAAGGTATAGTAAGGTATAGTAAGGTATAGTAAGGTTGCATCCCAAGTTATGTAAACACCCCAGTTTAACCCCAACTCATGGGCGTTGCACCGGTTGCACCGTTGCACCACCTTGCACCTCCAGCCCCAGGAGAGGCGTCGCAAGGTGTATCTACTCACGGAGCTTTGCACCGGTGGCGACTTGAAACTTGGCGACCGGTTGCGGCCGGTTGAACGATTGGACGGGTATGGATGGTGTCACCGTGTGGTAACAAATTGGGAGTTGAAGATGTTGAAGATGTTGAAGTCATGAAAAGAATGGAAGTTTGAATCCTCAAACGGGATCTAGCTCTCAGAAATGGATGTTTGAACCCTCAAGAGTCGGGCTTGAGCCATCAGAAACGAAGGTGGCAACCGGGTGGTTCGCCAGCATTTCGCCAGCGCGTGGCACCTGAGGCTTTTCCGGATCGCCTATCATTACCAGATGCTGAAGTGCCCTATGACGGAAGGCCATGTCGCCTACCAACTCCGGCAGTTGCTGTCTGCTGCCATGTACTGCCACCAGCGTACCTTGGTGTTGCAGATGTTGCAGGGTTGGGGTTGAAAGTTTGGGTTGGGTTTGCTGGGGATGTAAGAAGTGAACATGTATGAAGCTTGGAATTTGAATCACCATGGAAATGGGAATGAGATCTATTCATATCAGATTTATGGGTGATCCTTTAAGGCCCTAGCAAAACATCGAATGTACGTCGAAATCTGGGTATTTTCACCATTTTTCACCTATAAGCACCAAAAAATGCGAATACCATGTGTGAAAGCAATCAGCTGAGGTGGGATTGTGCATCGGGACTGCCGCGTGGGTCGCCGAATGTGACTTCCGGTAATCCAACATAGCCATGGAAAACCCGCCATTTTTGATGGGCAAACCATCTACAAACGGCCAATTGTCCATGGCAAACTGTTATCAAAGGTACCCACCAAAACCTCCTGCGCCCTGCGCGCCCCGTGGCTCGCAGGATGTGAAGCCCGACAATGTGCTCTTTGTAGACGCAGCTTAGCTTTGTGGAGTTGGGTCATGAATCCATTGGCACTTCAAACATGGGCCCCAAAAAAAGTTCCAAGTCACTGCAACTCCTGTGGTATATATTCACGTCGCTTCGCGACGACAACCGCCCGCACCGCATCGTTGGGCTCACACAGCAGAGATATATCTATATATATAAAGATCATATATGTACATATCGAGTGAACGGTCCACACTGTTAATGATGTCAGCCATTGTTCTCTTCTACTGCCATTGTTCTCTTCTATTGCCGTCGCTCCGCGACAAGAACCCCTGTGCGGCCGCCACGGTTTGAACGATGTTGTTCTCACACCTTCGCGACCGCTCGTAACTGCCAATGATGTCGGCCATTGAGACCAAAAACATCCGAAAGTACTGATTGTCGGAAAAAAAACGCGAAGAATTTGATAGCCATGTATAGCGGACCAACGCAGTTCAAAAAATAACGAAAAACATGAAAAAACGGCGAAATTGCTGTTATTTACAGTGTTTTTGCGCGGTGAGAAGCAGAAACCACTGCAAATACCATGGTTTTTGAGGGTCAGGTGGCCAAAAACACTGTAATTTACAGTGTTTTTTTAACCAACGTCAAAAAACACTGGTATTTACGATGTTTTCATTCACACCGTAACATAAAACAGCGTAATTTACGAGGTTTTTGGAAGTTTTGAAGCTAGCCGTCAAGCATGCAGAAAACAGAAAAACACTGTAAAAACCAGTGTTTCTGCTATCACAAAACGACGAAAATCAGTCCGAAAACGGGTCCAAAAACTCAAAAATCCGCCTCCGGGCCAGGCCACCTGCGGAACCGCAAAAAAAGATGTTGCAAACCAAAAAATTGAGGTCAAAAAGTTGAAAAACACGGGTTTTTTCACTTTTCGCTTGCCGATTTTGGACGGGCGCGTTCACGAACAGGTGTCTTCCGTACTGTTTTTTACAGTGTTTTTTGAAGGCGAGCGTCACGACCTATCAAAAACAGGAGGTTTTGGCCGAATAATGGGCCCCCCCCCCCAGGTAAACCTGTAACCTTTTACGAGTGCCATCCGGACGATCACGCCCCAGCACCTTCGGTGCGGGCGGATTTCATGTGTCTATAGACTATATAATGTCTAGATATGGCCAGTATCTTAAAGGTGAACCCCAACAAAATCCAGTCATTTGCATTCCAAAATTCCCTATCCAGAAGCGCGGTTGTGCAAGGCCACGGCGAGTTCGACGTTGAAACTGATAGACTTTGGCCTGGCGGGTTTTGCACAGCAGCTGCGGGAGAATGCCATTGAGGCACAGGGGAAGCTGGAATTCTCGACGAAGGCGAAACAACAAGACATATCAATAGCTATATGATGCTATATGGAGGTTTCCCTGGGGTACCCCAAATCATCCAGAATTAGACAATCTTAGTAATGAAATCCATGGTTTTGGGATCCACCATTTTAAGAAACCTTCGCATTTCTGGTTGTACATACCTTTACGGAGCATTTATATTCGCAAACCCATGCATGTATATCTGTATATATGAATATTTTTCACACACACACACGCACTCGCACTTACTTATTTATACATATATTATATGCACATACGTGCACACACACACACACTCTGCACATTGATATAGGAATGGGGTCTAGCGAACGGTATCCCATCACAGTGACTTACTAGAGGCGGCTCGCATAGCCCAATGATCATAAAATCGCGGGGTCAATTCGCAATTTTTGGCAACAACTCTTGGTTAAACCTCTATTTATTGTTGGTTGTATCCCCTGCAATCCCTTTCCAACACACCACGCCGTAGGTAAAATATCTCTATAATACTCTTCCCCCCAAGTCTCCAGTTTCATACCGAAAAGTCTGATAAAAACCATGGATTTTGTTTTTTTTCCACCAACATCAGACAAAACCAGATATCACGTTATGACGTTATGTTTTTTTCTTAAAATAACAGCTATATAATACATTTTTTCTTAAAATCCCCATTTTTCATGGCACCCCATTGACCCAGGTCTCGATGCCACGGAGCAAATCCTTGGGCCGTTTGGCCAAGATTCTGCCGAAGATCGGAGCGCGCTGGTTTCACGCGCCTGGGCGGTTGAACGGTTGAAGATAGGGCATGGTCAGATAGTTCCAACCCGGATGAATATCCCTACGTATGGTTATATATATACACATACATACATACATAATACTGCTAATAATACTGATAGTATTACACACACACACACCTGCACCTACACCTACACCTGCACCTACACACACTCAATCCATCCATCCATCCATCCGTCCGTCCGTCCGTACGTACGTACGTACGTACATACGTACATATGTGTATATATATATAGATACACACACACATATATATTTACACACACACATATATATATATAAATGTAAAAAGATACCCCATGGTGTGAAGAAGTTTGGTTTAAAGCCACGACTGAGGAAATCACGATACTGAACAGGAATAACATGCTGACAATGAGTCATGATCCAAAAAGAGAGTAGTAGCAAGAGCCATGATGGTGGCAATAGTATCAAGAATGGCATTTATATCATAAGTATGAGTCTTATGCTTGTTGTTATTATCACAGGGATATTATAGTTGATAGTGCAATCCTATGCAATCCTAATACTAGTAACACATCATAACACTTCAAGGGATCCAGAGGCAATCAGCCGTGGAGCCCGTGGAGCCGTTGTGAGGTGCGAAAGCAGATGATGCAGCGCGCAGGGACGGCATTTTATATGGCTCCAGAGATGATCAATGCCGGAGTTTACGATCAAAAAGCTGATGCTTGGGGAAAAAATGAGGAGAAGAGGAGTACCCTCTGGTAAACTAACATAACTATGGAAATTCACCATTTTTGATGGGAAAATCCACTATAAATGTCCATTTTCAATAGCTATGTTAAATTACCAGAGGGTAACACATTTTGGTGGGTTGACTCCGATGATGTTTTCTGTCCGAAAAACTTCATGAGTCGAACGATTTGAGGAAACATTCCTGTTTTTTTCTTTAATTGTTGAGGGTTTCTTCCTTCATGCCGGGCATTCTGTGCTTCGAAAAGCTCGGCCCTGGTTCCGAAGGTGAACACCTCCAAGTGTCACCGTGGTCACTGACAAACACTGAGGATATGTTCAGCATTGGTGCTATCATGTGCGAAATGCTGACTGGCTGGCATCCATTTTACACTCCCAACGTGGATGATGCACAGTCTGTTCAGGCCTGGCATTCTGATTGTGGAGACGTTGGGAGCTGGGGTAGCCAAACTTAATCATGCAACCCATTCAACCATTCAACGCTCCTCCTCCTCATCATCGCCACCAGCACCAGCACCATTGTTGCCAGCAGTTGATTTCCTCTCTCCTCCCGTGATAAACAAAACTGCCCACAGGCGAAGATCATTGTGCCCAAGCCGGTTGCTCGTTGGCTTATGAGCTTTGAGCATGGGTACTCTCTGATTTTTTCAGACATGGATAGGACAACTACTGTATCCACAAATGGATGTAAATCCGGTAAGTGTATGTAAATGTCTCGGATTGTAGATGATTGTAGCTTGTGAATAGTGATTGAACGACACTTTGTGAGACAAAAGTGCGTTTACCAAGTGATCCGCACCCAAAAAGCTCCACATGATCTTTGTGACTCGCCTTCGCAGGTAATGCTGCCAGATGAACTCTTTTGTACCTTGGTGTTCCAAAAAACAGTAAGGGCATAGACAGCATGGGCTTGGTCGAAGGTCATGTGGAACATTGCCAGCATGGGGATCATTGACCCAACTGGGTGCTTTTCAGCATCTTGTTATTTCTCACCGCCAATCATTTTGGGATGCTTACCCGCCAATCCTCAAACACTTTTGGAATGGGTTGACTCAACCTGGCAATGGCTGACTGATGTTTCGGTAGAACATGGCTTACAACGTCCGAGGCAATATTTCAGAGGAAGCGTGCGACGTCTGCCAGAGATTGTTGGAGCCCCTTGGCTGTTTTGATCTGCAACTAAAAGCCGTCTCCGGATAGCACCCATCAATCCTTTTTAGATAGCCAGATAGCTTGTAAGTAGAAATAAATACAGAGTGAGTAAAAGGATAACTGATGAATGTGCACACAAGACAATACACAGATACACCTACACACATTTATTCATTTATTTATTTGTTTGTGTATTTGTTTATTTATGCATATACATACATAGATGCACCTATGTAGTTTAACAAGAACTACACCACTTGCAGCAAGTTGAGGGATCATCCAAGGAAAGATCCAGCTCGCAGACTAAGCGCAGAGCAGGCCAGGTGGACAGCCATGGATCGTTGGGGAGACGGACGTGCATAGATCTGCCATCATGATAAATGCCAATGGTAGATATTAGAGAGAGAGAGAAATACCCATCCAGAGATATCTATAATGAATGATCGATAAACATCTATAGTGGATTAATTTCCTATGATTATAGAGCTTCTTATTGTTTTTTAATAAGGATGATCCACATAGTATCTGGTTATAAATAATATCTATAATGGATCCACATTGATGGGTTATGATATTTTCAACATCTACTATCCATGGACGGTGGATTACCACTTATAATTTATGAGAAATTATTATTGTCTATAATGGATTGGATCCAACGAATCATGAACCAGACGTCGTCTCCATCCATGAAAGAATTACTTCTCAGGCATTGCAGCATCCTTGGTTCCTCAATCCGGATATGCCAACGCCATACGGCCACTGGGCTGGAATTAGGGACCTCGAAGGTTCAAAGATATTGTGGTGCAAATGAAGAATTTGGAGGAGATGTACGAAGATATGATATGACATGTATATCATATGGTTTACAAAAAATAGTGCATGATACGTGGCATATGGTCTTGTTGTGGATTAGATGTGTCATGATATGAGTTGGCCTATGTGAGATAACATTATGAAGCAAGATCAAGTGTGCTGAACATCACAGCCTAGCAAGACAAGTTTTTTTGGCTTCAAAGAGGATGCCAACACCCCGCCAAATTTGCAATCGATTCGACCATGTCCCGGCCATCGAGGAAATGTTCACACTGGCGTCCTCAACGCGCAGGTGTTTGAAGGCACGGGGCATCAGAGGTTGAGGTTGTTGTTCCGATCCCTCTGGGCACGAGATCTGTGATGTCATTCTCATTGAAGCCTGCCGCCAAAAAATGAATCAATGGGCCGTTCCTTTGGTTTGAGTAGGATCCCTTCACAGAAAATGCACCGAGAGGTCTGAAACAGTACGCCTCCTACAACAAGCTGCAGAGAGCGTCCTTGCAGTTGTTGGCACAGGTCTGGCTTGTTTTGCTGCGTGCTGGGTGGATTCTCTGGGGTTCACCAATTTGACCCGGTTCGGATCCAAGTCGGAACAAGATCCCATGCGCGGGCAATTCACCAGGAATAGCAAGAAGCTACCACCCGGAATTGGTCAAAATTCTCCAGTGGTTAGGAGGTAGGGAGCTTGTTTGATTCCGTATTCCATATTAAATGGGGAGCCACCATAGTCTGTGACATGTAATATCAAAACCCCAACAAAATCACATCCCCAATGGCCCCATTGACTCTAAACAGAAATGGCTTGGAACCCCAATTAGAGGTACCGGCACTGGGTCCCATGCCAGGAACTTGCCGAGGAGCAGGTCCAGGAGCGGCTTCACCTTGGATTCAATTTTTTTGCAGACCTGCAAGCCATTGCAATATATTAGCACCATTCATCCATATTAATTGACCCATATTTCCATATCCATGATTTTCATATCCATATTTTATCTGTCATAAATCAGTACAAAACTCCACAGTGACTTGTTCTCGGCTCAGGAGCTTCGGGATGCTTTTCTCGCCATAGACACAGGCGATGGTCAGCTGGATGCTCTGGAGTTGCAGGAGGCGGCACGGAAAGTGGCGCCCCGGCATGTCTCGGCATCGGCACTGTCGGCATGGGGTGGTTACAGCATCCCAAAAAAACGGGAAAGAAAGGTGGGAGACCTCGAATGATGGGAAAACACATCATCTATAGAATCTATAGTATACTAAAATACTAAAAGATATCTTTGGATGACTACCAAAGAATAAAAGGTTGGGATTAACTGGATCATGATGCCTGATCTCGGAATTAGTTACATGAAAAATTGAAGCATGACAAAGGCTAAACAGCATTTTTCAACTTTTTTCGGAGAAATCAACATCTACATCGCCATATTTGGTAAGTGGATGAACATCCATAAATCCAAATCGTGTATCTGAGTTTCAGACAAACCCTTGTATCTCAGGGAATGTGAAATTTATCTTTTTGAATGGTGGCTTCTTTGATGATGGGATGGGGGTGGACCGCCAAGAAAATGGAGGTTGAGATAGATGGGTATGGGTCAATACCTATAGATACATTTTTAGTGGGATGAACATCCATTTACCAGCTATTTTGGGGTTCACTAGGTACCAGGGTTTTGACCCATCCCCAGATGAACATCATCCCAAAAGTGGGTAACATCGTGGCCATGGCAAAAATGGTGATGTGGACCCGGATGTATGGAATCACGAGAGCTCCAAGACTTCACTGACTTCACTCCAAATCCAATATTTTCATCACAGTTCTGATTACAAAATTGGCAATTTTTTCTCCAAATCCCAAAAAACATCACTCCAGATCCTTGTTCACCAGCAAAGAAAATTGGCAACTTCATGCAACTTCACATGTTCAGTCATATCTCTTGCTGGGTGTACAGATCTCAAGAAATATCCTTTTTCAGGCTGACACTTGCGGGGCCCTTGTGCTGGCATTGTTCGCTATAGACCACTTCGGTATGTCTGTGATTGGGGACTCAAGATCCGTTGTGATCCTGCAATGGTTCTTCTATCTTGGAATCGCTTGATTCCACCAAACTTTAACACTGGTTTAACCATGATGAACACCAATTTTCTGTGGTCAAAACAACAAAATCCACGACTTCCACTTCCGTGGGCGGCTGTGGCTGGTTCGCGTAGCGAGGACTACGAGTTGAGTGCTGAAGAAGCGTCGGAGCTAATTGCCGCGCTGGGTGGGACCTCTCAGCAGAGGGCCGGCTATCGCGAGCCCCTTGGCAACCAGTCGACGGTGGATAGATCTGGGATGGAAAAGCCAAGGGCCAAATAGCTTTGGGTGAAAATTGCCAGCCCAACACCAGAATCTTCAGAGGAAAAGCTAATCTTCCAACCCCCTATTTGGCAGGGTCTATATTAGTTCAGTTCAATGGAAGGGGAGATAGACTCAAACCCCCAGCTCCCGGCTGTTTTCTTGGTCCTGAATTCTGACCCATTGCCAACTGCCAGGTTTATAGCTGCTGCCGCCAGTAGACGCTCGGCCAAATTGACACGAAACTTGGAAATCTCAACTTTACAGGCACAGATTCGGCACAGATGTGATGAAAACCAAGCCAGAGTGTACCACTACACCCGCTATTGACTTCACCCCTCGATGATGCCATGATCATCCCCAGCTTCCCCATCATTTCTACCTTGGTCAGGTACGGTGCAATACAGCCCCGGTCAGCTGATGCGCTGTTTCGAAAAGCTGAGCCGGGGTCCCCCAGAAGGTCACTGCTTCCAACCAGAAGGGCGCTGTAAACTTTCTAAACCCTTAGCCTTGTAGGAAGGGCAGTGAAACCTCGGGTCATTGGAAAACCATGATGAAATCGTCCAGTGTTGGGGGGATTGAAGTGGAGTTTGAGCATCTACAAATCATTACCAAACTTTAACCTCCATTTGCTGGTTTATCTCAAGCCCAATCATGGTTATGTAGTGCAATGCTACCATGACCGGCATGTGGTAAAAAGTGCCCAGCATCTCGGAATGCAGTCAACATCCGGCTGGCAGGTACTGGTGGTGTCATTCGCTACCAGGAGATGACAAATCTTTTTTGCAATTCTATCTCAGAGTCGGAGTGGGAGGACATCACCAAGCCGATTGCTTAGAAATCTGCCACCAGAACTGAAACGCAACACGTGGTTCATGGCTACCGAAATGAGGACATTTCCAATCACGTGGTTCATGTTAGAACCAGGAAATGTGCCTGGTCTCCACCATCCTTTACCAATGTGAGGTCTTGTACAGCAGATCGTGAGGAATCTCCGGCGTCGAAATCCAGAATTGGTCGCTTCGCCCACAGTTTGCGGATCGAGGGCGCTAAGTCATTGCGAAAGGGGTAGGTGATCGTTGGCCCAACTCCTATGGTCTCCATTGGTCTCCTGAGTCTCCTGTGATTTTTCCCTTTCAACCTAGTGGGCCAACCAAGGCTTGGACAAATTTATGTCCATCATGCACGACTCAAAGCAGGAGGCCCGATGGCGCCACGATTCGATGATTTTCTGAACAACACAGCTAGGGGGTATGGATATGAACACAAAATCACAGGAAAACTGGGAGTTCATCCCATCCCCCTTGCATAAACCATCGGTTTTCTGCGGTTTCTGGTGCGGTGTTTAATATTGCATAGTTGCCAGTTATGGCAGAAAGCCATGGGCAGGCGAGTCGGCCAGTCACCAGCGAGATGCCGTTGCACGTTCACGGGGAGGACCCCAAGCCAACTGGCTCTCCTACGCACCTGGGCCGCCAGGAGCTACGAAGATTGGCCTTGAAACCATCGGAACCATCCCACCAGGTCTTCAATATATTTTATATGTCTTTATATGTCTTTATATGCTTTTATATGTCTTTATTCTCTTGGAACTTCAGAAATGGACTAGATGTATGTATATATATATATATATTCGACCGTTGGGTTGATGATCTCATGGCATCTCTGAGGAAGTTCTGGCAGCGCAGCTTGGCACAAACTTGAGCTGGCAATGTGGGAATAAGGGATCGGCCACTGGTTTCAGGTTGCATCCTGTGCGAATCGAGCGGCATGCCTGCCACTCTTGGGGGATGGTTCTGACAATTTCTTTTGCATCCAACCTAAAGGTTGTGGCCTCCCAAGTTCAACTTTTTCCATGTTCCGCAACTAGTCCTGGTGTGATCTGTCCCTTGAGTCGTCGAGTCGTCCGCCTGAGGTTGTACTGAACCACTCTGCTGGCTCACAGGTGACGGTGCCGAGCCCTAGAATCCTAGAACACCGGTTTTTCGGAAGCGCGCAGCCGGGCCGGCGCGATGATGCGGTGGCCTTTTGTTGATGGGATACTCTAATCGATCTACATAGACATATGATGACATATAAACATATACATGACAGATATAGGTATAGAGGACATAGATATAGACGGAATAGGTATATCTAGGCGCTCACACATACATATGCGTGACGTACACACATTTTGTACATCCAGTACATCCATACAGATATGCATATGATATATATATATATATATATTATATATATATATATAAAATTCCTTCACACTACCTGGGTGTGCATTCAGCCAACCCTGAAGCGTATTTAAATTCAAAAGGACAGCGACGCAATCGGTGTGAGGGGGAAATTGTAGCCACATCACACGCACCATGAAGATAGGCTGGAGAGTTTAGACCCAAACACACGCACACACTGGTGATAAATCTTTCTCTCTCTCTCTCTACATAAACAAACCCAAATATGACTACACATATGACATGCATGCATAGACAGATAGACAAATACAGAGATAAATGAATAAACAAACAAACAAATACATAGTCAGATAGATGGACATATAGATAGATAAATAAATATTTAAATACAAAGGCATGACATCTCTTTTATTATTGCACTCGAAATTAGTAGAACTGTTCAAAATAGCCACAAGAATCCAGAACTGCTTTAGCTGCCTGCCCTACGCGCCATGTAGCTGAAGTGTGGTCAGACGCAGTGCGACAGAAGGCGAATATCAACCACTAAATCCTCATTTTCAATAGGCATTCACCTTACTCATCCATTAATCCACATAAAAACCCGAGATTTCAAGGTCGAGTTCGCCCTTCGGGTTGCGGTTCCCGCGTCTGTTTTCAGCTGACCTTCGGCCATGGCGGCCACCAGGATGAGCTGCAGCGGCTTCTTTTTCCGCCAGTCATAGACGCAGGCGACCAGCCAAACTCCACAACACGGCCTGACAGGTGTACTCTGTGGTATCAGGTCTGTATCTCTATATTTCTAAATCTCTATATCATATCTCTATGTCTCGATATCTCTATATCATTCTATATCTATATCTATACTCTATCTCTATTCTTCTGTTTATTTGTCTAAGTCTGTCTACTTGTCAATTTTTTCTGTCTATCTAAACTGGCTACGTTGTAGCTACACACACACATATATATATATTTCTGTACGCTGATCGAACATCCAAAAAATGTTCTTGATGAGGTACGAGATCTCGAAGGACATGTCCGTACTAATTGCAGTAAAGTTTTTTGAATGGCCGGCCGTTTGAGTTTGGTCGCCGAAAGACCCTGTATCGTTTTGGTCTTGCTCCAAGCCGTTGGTCATGGCATCTCTTTCTCCTGGATTTGTGTCCAACTGAAAATGATAAACCACCATCAAAATTGGATGGATCGAACCTTTCAACTTGATATCCACATCTAGAACTGTACACACACACACACACATATATATATTTGCATTTGTATTTATTTTTACATGTATGTATACATGTATGTATATGCATGCTACCAAATTCCGAAACATGATAAAACATGTGGGTTCATTAGTGGCACATGTTTAAGCTTCGTGATACTCATGTGCTTGGAGCAACCGTGATTTCACGGGACAGTCGAAGCCTGCTCCCGGGAAATGGCGTGACCTGCAAGAAAGGCGATGGTTTTTCCACACACGTGATGCACATCGAACCGTTCCCCAAACCAGGGGCATGACCAAGAGAAATGAAGATTGAAGAAAAACAACAAAAACAAGAAACATATCGACCAACAGTGTAGATGAAACCAAGCAAGAATGGGGTTTCAAACACATGCAACCAATAACCACTGCAACATTGGAATGAAGATAATATTGCAGCAATATTTAGGGGTTTAAGCAGCACCTTTGGAACCCCAAAATTTGGTTTTGGAATTGTTTAGATAAGGATTTTCCTAGTGGAAAGAACTTTTAGGAGGATTCCATGGTCATCAAATTCCTGGAGAGTGCCATTTTCGCTGGACCATTGGTTGAGATGAAAATCATGGGTTGAGATTCCCAACCAGAAGATAACACCCAAAGTGAGGCATAGCATTGTGAAAATGACAGCAATGACTTGACAGTAATTCAGTTATTAATTTGGCATGTTAACCAGAGGCAAAGGTATTGAACCCTTGCATTCTCGCAGGCATTCGACGCCGGGAATTCGAAGTCGAGCCCGGCAGGGCGCTCCCCTGCAAAATCGCAGGGAACCAGGTATGAACAGGGCAGCGGCACAGGCATTTACGCATTGCCACAACTCTCTGAAATTGCAAGATGAAGATGAGTCACAACGTGGACAGGTACCAAGGTGTAGATCACACAGCTATCAGCTATCCATGTAAAGGCTGTAGCTGTGCAGAACCTGTTTACAAAATGCCTGTAGATACCTGGAATTCACTGCACGGCCACAGTGCGGCGCAGCCTGAGCTGTGGTTAGAAAAGGACAGCCCTACAGGGGAGATGTGCAAAATATTTCGATCTTCGACCGCCCCAGGTGCAGTTTCACCGGCACCAGCCTACTAGGCTGGTGCCTGATGGCCTGCCGCCCAGTGGGCAAGACGTCTGCAATGGGCGGCGGGAGGTTTTTGGGTGTGCAGCTCGAACATTTTTGGATTCTTGGATTCAGGTGAGGAATCAAGACTGCAAAAGCCAACCACACACCAGGGGTTTGGAGATTTTGGAGCTGCTTGGTATTTGCCATGCAATGTTCAGAGTGATCAATGTCTGTCACCCATCCAATGGTTGCCTAAACCAGCTACTTCCCATTGTCATTGGTTTTGGACATTTTTGGACTAGGCTTTTTCTCCAAGTTCTTCGGACAGATTCCAGTACCAGCCCTAAACTTGTCTAGCCACCTAGTCACCCGAGTCACCTCGAGCTGTGCGTCACATAGGGTGCCTGGGGAGCAACACGACGGACCACGACACGAGGCTTTTTTCGCGTCCGAAAAGTTCCGGCGAGAGTCGGCTGTGACGGTCGTCCACGACATGAGATGGATATGGTAACTGTTTATAATTTATAACTGTTTATAACTGTTGATCATTGTTGCTCTCATTTTTCTATATGTTTCTCTTTTTCCCTACTTGGTTCTTCAATTCCTGAACTGGGAATGAGCCGAAAGTAAGGCTAGAACGGGTTAAGCGGCTAAGCCTCATGGGGATCCAGTCACAGCACTGTGAGCACCTTCTGGGCCCCCCCCCCAGTCGCCCAGAGAATAGAAAGATGTGATCCGAAGCATCAACAATTATCACTAATTATTATCACAAAAGTCACATTAAAAACTCACTAATTATCAGAAGTCAAAATGATGATCCAACATATGTTGGACACAAGCATGTGATCTTTTTTCGGGTCCTGAGTATAGTGGCACCAGCATGGTCCTGCTGCGAAAGCGGTCCGTTTTTTGTGTTTTGTGGGCCTTTTACATTCGCCTAAAATATTCCAGCCACAACTTTGGGAGTTGACTGCAATATCTTGATATGAACACTTTTCCAAGTATGGTTGACATTTTTTTTTAGGACTCATTGTTCGCATAGCTGGCTTGAACTTGTTGCATCTGTTGGGGTTTACAGTCGCTCCGTTGCCAGCGACTGTCGGGTTGGAACTGCTTAGTTACAGAGTCCCCAGCTTTGTCGTTTCGTCGGCCTCAAGAGCCGAAGAGTCCCGACTCAGTGCCCGTGGCAAAAGAATGCGAAGCGCGCTGTGTCAACCTTTGGGCAGGCTATCCTTGTGGGTTCCACAGGATGGGGCACCAACATCTTTGCGCATGCCATGCTTCATGTTTGGTTCAAGGATGAATGCGGGACACATAGGATGTTCCTAATGTTATCATTACACTCTACGTAATCCAAACAAGATCAGATCACATTGGACGGGATCTTGAATTGCCACATCATTTTGGTGCTGCACAGCCACGCACTAGCTAGACTAGTGAAAGCACTTAGCATTGTCGCAGCTTGTCGTACTTCACGATCTTCATCACACTTGGTCAGATCACGCATTGTTGATCCTCTATCCCACAAGCAGATCCTGGGCCCATAGCAGCTCTAAATTAATTCATTGACTGGTGGCTTCGCTACCAACCCCCATGTTTTTTTTCCTGATTTTCTCATATTTTCTCCGGGAAAAAGATGCAGCTGATAATCCTCCACCTTTTCTCAGCTGGCAACATCTATGGCCTCGTGCGCTGCGTGCCGTTTGCCGCGCCAAGAAACCTTCAGGGGCGAGGCTTCTGAGGCTCTCCCAGAGTGGCAGGTGAACCAGCCAATATCAGCCAAACGGACCATACATCTGGGGTATGATGGCCGATTCCTGTGTTTGTTGGGGTGTTTTTTGGATGTGTAAGATATTGTAAGATATGCCAGCATGGGCTTAGTGGTTGGTGACTTTTTTGTTGGACCATGGCCCTATTTGCAGAAATTCCTGTGGCACGCAGGTGTCGCTGATCTCGTGGCCTGAGCCTCAGGTCTGCCCCGGGGGAACTTGTAGGGAACCAGGTCGTAGGGAATCAGCGAGCTTGCGCATTGGACCAATTTTCAGGGAACTTTGGATATTTCGGAGAACTTTCATGTTTACTATTTTATGGAGATTTCTTGGGCCCTGAAAACGCTGGAGGAACGTCTTGGCGCCGTGCTATGTGACAAACTCGGAACTTCACTACGTACATGTTGAGCCTTCCGCTCTGGACAGGGGGGATGCGGGGGTGGGAGCCCAGAAAGAAAGGCACAACAAAAGCAGACTTTTGATGGCTATGGAAATGATGAAATATTCTTTGTTGTCCTTCGATATGTTTTTTTTGGTTTCATTTTAAACGATCTGCAACAACAGGGTCAATCATAAAACATCTTATTTTTTCCCTATATCAAAATATTAAAATGACAATTCTATGGGTTCCAAATCATGAAACATCCAGTTTTTTCGTCGAAATGACAATGTCTGGAAGTTTTTAAATCCATACAAATCAGATTTTTCCGATATTTTCCCTATTGAAATGGCAATTCGTATGGCCAAAAATGCCGTTTTTTTTTCCACATGGAAAGTGACTTTCGTCCAGGACTGGGCTGGCAGGTGCGACCTCATCGTTGAGGAACTGCACCAAGCAGCTCCCGACCTGATACTCCTGCAGGAGGCGCAAGGGATGGCGTGGTGCTTGGTAAACGGGGGAATGGAATGAGTTTTCAAGCTGGAGTGGAGTTGGATTTGCAATGAATTGGGGGACGGAGTCGATACAGTCTCCATGATTTTCATGTTGAACTGGTTTTGGGGCCTCGTTGTTGGACAGCTGTCGCACGCCCACGCACACACACACACATAACATATAACATCACCGTGAGTGTCGTGAGTGTTGTGAATGTAATGTAACGTAACGCAACGTAACGTAACGTCACGTAAGGTCATGTAATGTATATAAATATAATGCAACGCAACGCAATGTAATGTATATATATATATAATATAATGTAATGCTGCAATCCAATGCAATGTCATGTAATGTAATGATAGAACCACCACTTGGATTCAGATATGTAAGATTATATTCACCGTGAGTACCATGAGTGTTCTGAATGTAATGTAATGTAACGCAATGCAATGTTGACAAACACAGCAGTCGAACACATGTTATGCATCCAGAAGCAATATGAACGCTATTTGACTTATAAAATGGTCAAATGTGATACCTTCACGCCGCCGCAAGATTTGGTGAAGGTATCAAACTAACAGGAACTCAGCCAAACATAACACTCCAATACATGCCATGCATCCCACAGCACTGAGATAAATGCCATTGGATACAAATGTTTGTCATGGATGATACCTGTAGGCGGGAGGATTTGGTGAAGGTATCAAACAGGATAGAACTCAGCCAAACACAGCAATCTAAAACATGCACGAGGAAGCACAAAGATGAACGCCATAATTTACTCTACTCTAGTTTATATAATCTAATCTAATTTAATTTCACCAAATCTAGTCTAGACGTTTGCGTTTAAACATGACCCAGTCTTGGCGAGGATTGGAAGATGCGCATCTTAGGATTCCCAAGCATTTCTTGTTCGATGGATGTTTGTACCAAAGTCACTAGATTCTAAGCCAGTTTTTTTTGGTGCAGTGGAGAACGGATTTTGCGCGACCTCTTTCAATTTCGATGCCAAACTTGGAATTGAAAAGGTCGCGCCACATATTCTTTCATTACACATCTCTCCCGCCCAACTTCCTCCCCTTTGGCCTCAAATAGTTTCTTTATTACTATAGAATGATAGATCATCCCCAATTCCCTATTAAGCAACAGTAGGACGAGAAAACCGCAATAAAGATCAGAAAGTAAAAAATCATTTGCTCAATTTTCTCACTATTTCAGTTGGGTTTTGGCAAATCGTATTCTTTTTCTTTGGTTTGCTATGCGCCTCAATTTTTTTTTGGAGACATGACATGGGCATATAGATCTGTGGGATCTGCAAAGCTCTGGATTTGATCAAAATGAGATCTCAACTAACAAAAATGGTGGCATCACCGACCAAACATGCGCATTTCCGTTGCAAAACTTGGCTTTCCCCAATGCTAGCAGGCATGGGGCAAAACAACAGAAAAAGCTGGGCCATCAGACATTGATGATGCCAGGTTTTTACACCAAAGCGTAGTCAAAAAACAAAATGGGAGTGAACCGTGCTGAGAACGCCTGACTTCGACGGTGAGTTTGCTTACTGCTTCAGTTTCGGTTGAAAGCAGACAGCAGCAGAGCACTGTCGCAGGTGGCATACGACCACATTGAGGACTGGGCTGCTGCCTTTGGATACCCTTCGAGATGCTAAAGAGATAGGCTACTGTTTCGGTGAACCATTGCCTACAGGGCCAAGCTGTTTCGAAATTTGGTGCGCAAGTCTATACAGTATATATATATATATATAGTATATAGATCGTTTTGGCCGAGGTTATTCTCCACGGTGCAAGAAGACCTCCAATTGGCGTGCAGTTCTGAAAGCCGTTAGAAGTAGCACATGGAATATGGTGGTGAAGGGCCCATTAAGTTGTCTCTTGTTTTGTTGGCAACACTCCCCCATTGGGAACGGTAATATGTACATTTTTTATCATTTTTTCGTCCTGTGCATTTTAAAGAAATGGTTCAACATCCTGCTGCTGGTGAAGATATCTCGCTGATGATTTTCAATCTGCTATTTCCCACAATGCATACCCTTTCTATACAGTCCCTAGGTATATACTTCTTGCTGATTTCACCCAGCTCCTCCTGTAAGTTTCCTTCAACATCCGAAAATAAACCCATCAATTGTTCTTATTGGTGATCTCACCATTGGAAATCATTTCACCGTTTGATAGTTTGATGGGATCATATTGGATAATGATTTATTTATCAAAGGAAGTTTAGTTAGGACACTTCCGAATTACGAACGATTGTCATGGCTAGCTTTCTCATCATGATGGTAACCACATCATCACCTCAATCATCATGGCAACCACATCATCATGTAAGTAGTTGGGAAGTGTGAGAGATCGGGAACGTGTGAATTCAGGATTGAACACACTCGCGGGCGCGAAACCGTGCTTTGTTTTCGGGTAAACCGGGTAAAGTGGCTGCCGTGGTCGCCGACGGAGGGTCTCTGTTTCCGCGGTTTTGCGCCTCGATCGGGGAACGTGGTCGACAAAATGTGTACAGGACTGTAGCGAGAGCTCGATTTCATATGTCAACCACATCATCACCAAGCAGGTGATCACATAAAGTCAGTCAGCCAGTCATTGAGAGCAAAACCCGTACGCAACTCGTTCATTCCATGCAGATGCAAGCGCCTCTTTTCTTAGGACCGTTCATTCATTCATTCCTTCCTTGCTTCCTTCCTTCCTTCCTTCATTCCTTCGTTCGTTCTATCGTTCATTCGTTCATTCGTTCATTTGTTTATTCGTTCATTGGTTCGTTCGTTCATTCGTTCATTCATTTATTCCTCGTTTCCTTTCATTTCATTCCATTTGGTTGCATTCATCCATCCATCCATCCATCCAGCCATTCATTTATTTATGGAGGGCTAATTATTTTAGGATTTTTTTTTTGATCAGGTTTAGGAATTATTTTTGGATTCCTGCTTCTCTGCTTTTCCTGCTTTTCCTGCTTGTCCTGCTTCTCTGCTTTCCTGCTTTTCCTGCTTTTCCTGCTTTTCCTGCTTTTCCTGCTTCTCTGCTTTTCTGCTTTTTTGCTTTTCTGCTTCTCCTGCTTCTCGCCTTTTCTGCTTTTTTGCTTTTCTGCTTTTTTGCTTTTCTGCTTCTCTGCTTTTCTGCTTTTTTGCTTTTCTGTTTTTCCTGTTTCTTTGCTTCTCTGCTTTTCCTGCTTTTCCTGCTTCTCTGCTTTTCTGCTTTTCCTGCTTCTTTGCCTTTCTGCTGTTTTGCTTTTGTGCGTTTCCTGTTTCTTTGCTTCTCTGCTTTTTTGCTTCTCTGCTTTTTTTTTTTTGCTTTGCCTGCTTTAAATACTTGATTTTCATGTAAGATGCATTTTGCACAGTATTTACATCCCTGAGTATCACATGACCAACCTTCTCTTGAAAACTTGCAACGTAACATGTGAGAAGAGGTGCTTGCATTCTGCTTTGGGGGGAGGCGCTGCGCCCTCCCCCAATCCCCCCCTCCCGCTTTTTTTTATTTAAACTTAAACCCAAGTTACATTAGTTGGTTTTTGCGAACTAACCTTCTCTGGAAAGCTGACAGGATTACATGTGATAGATAGATAGATAGATAGATAGATAGATAGATAGATAGATAGCTGGATAGATAGATAGCTTGGTAGATAGATAGCTAGATAGATAGATAGCCAGCTAGATAGATAGATAGCTTGGTAGATAGATAGCTAGACAGATAGATAGCCAGCTAGATAGATAGCTAGAGAGATAGATGGCTAGATAGATGGCTAGATAGCTAGATAGATAGATGGCTAGATAGATGGCTAGATAGATAGCTAGATAGATAGATGGCTAGATAGATGGCTAGATAGATAGATAGCTAGCTAGATAGATAAAGAGGTAGCTAGATAGCTAGATAGATAGATAGATAGCTAAATAGATAGGTAGATAGTTAGCTAGATAGATAGATAGCTAGATAGATAGCTCGATAGCTAGATAGCTGGATAGACAGCTGGATGGCTAGATAGATAGATAGCTAGATAGCTGGATAGACAGCTGGATGGCTAGATAGATAGATAGCTAGATAGATAGAAAGCTAGATAGCTAGATAGCTAGATAGATAGTTAGCTAGATAGCTCGATAGCTAGATAGCTGGATAGACAGCTGGATGGCTAGATAGATAGATAGATAGATAGATAGATAGATAGATAGCTAGATAGATAGTAAGCTAGATAGCTAGATAGCTAGATAGATAGTTTGCTAGATAGCTAGATAGGTAGATAGATAGCTAGCAAGATAGCTAGCTAGATAGGTAGATAGATAGCTAGATAGATAGATAGCTTGCTAGATAGATAGCTAGATTGCTAGATAGATAGCTAGCTAGATAGCTAGATAGCTAGCTAGCTGGATAGATAGCTAGCGCCCTCCCTCAATCCCCCCCACCCGCTTTTTATCTAATCCCAAGCTTCCGCATCTGTAAATATTTGGGTGAACATGCTCACATGTAGAACATCCCATGCAAAATGGAAGGTGAACATGCCAAAATGTGGCAAATACCATACAAAATGGAAGGTGAACATGCCCACATGTAGGAAATCCCATGCAAAATGGAAGGTGAACATGCCAAAATGTGGCAAATACCATACAAAATGGAAGGTGAACATGCCCACATGTAGTAAATCCCATGCAAAATGGAAGGTGAACATGCCCAAATGTGGCAAATACCATGCAAAATGACAAATTCAAGTTCCAAACCGTTGCAAACACTAGGCAAATGGTACCAGCCAAGAAATCCAAAAAAAAATCCCAAACCTGCTCAAAAAAAAATCCTAAAACTATTTCACACCCTTTATTTATTCCTCGTTTCCTTTCATTTCATTCCATTTGGTTGCATTCATCCATTCATTCACTCATTCATTCATTCCTTCATTCCTTTATTCCTTCATTCCCTCATTCCATTTATTCATTCCATTTATTCATTCCATTTATTCATTCCATTTATTCATTCCATTTATTCATTCCATTTAATTATTCATTCCATTTATTCATTCCATTTATTCATTCCATTTAATTATTCATTCCATTTATTCATTCCATTTATTCATTCCATTTATTCAATCATTCCATTTATTCATTCATCCATTCATCCATTCATTCATGCATTCATGCATTCATGCATTCATGCATTCATGCATTCATGCATTCATTCATTCATTCACTCACTTTCCTTTCATTTCATGTCATGTCAAATTATCAATTTTCAATTCATTCACTTTTTCCAACTCACCAAGAATTCCTATAAGCAAACTGTTTCATATTAGCCATGTCCTATTTTCGAAACTTCCGCCCCGGCGCGTGCCGGGCACTACCTGGTATATATATATATATAGATCGTTAATAAGAATGACTTGAAATCCGTGATTAGATGGAGAAAACCACATTTTTGCCTCATGAGTTGACCTCCTCCTGGCCGTGTGGGGCTCCAGGAGCTTGAGGCTCGTTTGGACTCCTTAGGCTACAGCTGCGTGATGCAGAGACAGCGACTCGCGCTTTGGGAACAAACAATGGTATACAATATCATGTACGTAAATCATCATAAATCACCATCGGGCAAATGGGATGTAAACAGCAAACAAATAAGATTTGTGGTGACCATGACAAGTTGGGCCTTTAGGCCTGAAAAATGAGATTTTCACCAACAAACACGGGGATTTAACCATCAAACGTTGGGATTTAAGAATCAAACATGTGGATATAACTAACAATGTGTGGGTTTAGTTTTAGGCCAACCAAAATATGGTTTTGGCGGACAATGGTGGTGATATGAGCCAGAATATTGACTAGCAAATGGTTACAGACTTTTATGTGTATTGTTGGAGTTCGTTTTACTAGGGTTGGGGGCCGTACATCTCAGTTCCACTGGGTTACTGGCTACTGGTGGTGCAGTATCGAATGTTTTTGCCAGTTTTAAGCTGGACGCATTCATAAATCCAGTTTCCAGGCCATCAAGTCCGGTTTGCATGCTTGGTATGGAATACAATCCATCTCCAATGGACTGGTTGCACAACCCATTTGTACAAGGCATGGCCACTCAGGAAGGCGAAAAGCAAGGATCATCCCACAGGCAACGCATCCTTTTTCTTGACCGAGCGCTTTGATCTGTGCCCCTGGGCATTTCGACAGGGTCGGGTGGAAGGGATGACCCCTCCAGGTTTCCGAACCCCGGTTGAGCCGATGGGCCGAGGTTGGGAAGACCACCGAAGTCGCATTCTCCTCCTGGACCTCTGGGACAGGTGGAACAATGCCCTTGAGTTCCTGGCCGAATTATCCAGCGCTGACCCTTCAGATTTCCCTACAATTTATAACAGTATAACATTTTTCATCGCTTTTCCTTCAAACCAATCCATTGAAACAACGCCCGAGGCTCTGCGTGGCCAACTGTCACCTGGAAGGAGATCCGCGTCAGCCCATGGCGCGAGTGGCGCAAGTCCGCTCGGCCTTGCAGGAGGCAGCGCGCCGCGGTGGGCCGCGTGGCCATGCCCTGGTGCTGGCGGGGGATATGAACGCGCGCCTTGGCGGAAGTTCGTAGTTGGGGATGGTTGAACCCCCTGTTGGTTGAGGATTATATATATATATAAATAGATAGTAGTGTATACTTCCCCATATTTGGGATGATCAAAATCCATCAACGGAATCTCGCAAGTTCAGTGCCATCCTGCATTTCCAGTGCTCCCAGCGGGAGTTTTGCTTTCTCGGCACTCAGCACTTCTGTGAATCATATTCATATGACGTCACTTCCCAGCTTCAGTGGAAGGGTTTCACCAAGATTCACCCAGTTTTTTTGGATCCTAGTTGTGCCATTGCTCCTATCAACCTATACAGAAAGGCAACCTTTGACCAGTGCAACTTACAGTGACAGCCCACCCCGCATCACGCAGCAGTCCTGGGCTAGAAGTCTCAGGTCGTGTGTGCAGGAGATGTTTGACAGTGTTCAACTAACACGCGTGGGCAACATTCCTATATTTTGCGGGTTCTATGTCCACATTTGTTTGAGACCCCCTTGTAGTACGTAATCAAACATGGCAGTGGTCTCTTTCCTAGTAAAGCTGGTGGTTTTCGGTTGCCAGGTTAAGTTGCCGCAGGATAGAACCACCATTCTTTCACACGAAATGCAGCAGCTGTGGTTTCCTTCCGTCACCAAGGCCTTTGATCTCATCGGCCGTTGCTTCGTACCTGTCCTTCGGAGCGGTGGTGCCCGGCGTGTCCGAGCGCCACGGTTTCGAGAAACCGGGGGCGGAGCGGTGGGGCCATTGGGCCCTGGGGATCCCTGTTTGATCAGGGCATGTGAGCTAAGCAGCTAGGGACTTTCAGGTACTGGACAGCAAATTTGGCATTTGAACATTTTGAACTCACCGAACTCGGAGTGGGAAACTTCCCGATGGAAACATTTCTGAGGTTCGGCATGCTGGTGGATGTTGGGAAGATCTGTGCGGAGAGTGGCCATCCTTACTCCATGACTTCTGCATATACGCCCGACCCCAACGAGTTTAGCTTTACCCTGAGGGGTGCTGCTGGGCACTGCCACATGTTGGACCAGATCTGGTTTGACTCAACTCGGTCTCATTGTCAGGCGGGTTGGGTTTGAAAAAAAATAAGGTGATTCATGATTTCGGATGTTTTTTTTTCACAAAGTGGTTGAGGTTGAAGAGGATGTTTGACTCCAAGCAAAGACGGAGATCATTTCAAAAATCCATGGTTGAGGCCTTGAATTTTCTTACTCAATTGCAATTTTGTGAACTCCCTGATGGTTGGTGTTGCTGGAGGGCCTCCGCAATCTCTTCCGATCGGACGAGCACAAGTTGGCAGTGCTGAATCGTGGGCTGCCGCACGCAGAAGATGCATGGTTTCAGTTTGGGTATATGGATGTGTTTCAAAATGGAGAGGCCCCAAGATTGCAATTTGATAGAGCAAGGTTGATAAATGGTCATTGATTTTTGGGGTTCGACGGACCAACCCCTCAATACACATCCATATGCAGCATATAGTTTTTCAACGTTCTTTTCGGGCTGCCAGCGTCGTGCATCCCGAATGCAGAAAGCCTGATTGTTCAGTGTATGAGTATCTTCCGATTTGGTGAATTTGGCATCCAACTCTTGGATAGGAACCTGCCTGGCGTTGTCAGACAGCCCCTGCAGCCTGCAACCACCGAGGATCCCTCCGATCACCTGCCAGTGGGCGTCATCTTGAAAGTGCTACCGCCTGCAGCGCCGGTCGAAGAGGCACAAGTGCACCAGGGATGCTAGTCATGGGCTGTCATGGGTTGCTGACCAGTTTACCGTATACCGCCTTGTTGGTAACATCATGTAACATCTCAACCTTTCTTGAAGCTGAAATCTGAGATAACATCTGAGCGGTGTAAAAGTTGCTCCGGCCAGGTGATCCCAGAGATAGTTTCAACGGCAGAGCTGGACCTTTTGAAGGAGGCTGAGGTGTTGTGGGAGGTGCCAAGGGTAGTGGGAAAGTTCCAGATTTTTTGCCAGGCATTTTTCAACGTGTTTTACATATTCCTAATCATTTCGGAAGAGAGTCATTTCATCTCTAGTTTGGGGATGATGATCCCAAATTTGCCTAGACCTACACACTCATTATAGGCCCCCAGGCTCTCTCTGAGTTTCCATAACATCACCCGGGTTGCTGCTATAGGCGTGCCCATTGTCTCCAGAGCAGCGCTCGCAGTACTTGCGTTGTGAGGAGGTTCTGCGTGAGGCGACGCCGGTGGGGAAGCCTTCGGCAGAGGAGCTAGCGGCCTATGAGGCCGGAAGCCCGGGTATTGGTAAATGGTATTGGGGATGTATATTGGGATATAGTTGGGATGTGTCGGGATATATACCAACCACACATTTATGGTGAGATCAATCCAGAATCATGAATGGGCCAAGGTGAGGTTGAATTGGGGCATGGTCCACCACCCCTGCGAGCCAAGTCTTGGGAAATGGTTGGGAAATGGATGATAAACCGAGCGGGAACCCCGGGGTCATTATGAAATGTTTGGACAAATATCAAAATGCAGTCCGGAACCCTTACAGCCTTACCGCATGGACTTGCATTGAATTATCCCAGTAGCCTCTTGGTCTTGCAGACCTCATGTGCTTGAAAGATCAGGCCAGCTTATGAACGAACAGTTCCATTTTGGATCATCTCGGTCTAAACTTTTGGCTGTAGATGTAATTATGTAGATATCCTTCTACACGCACACACACACAGGGATATATAATGATATATATACATAGATTGATTACGGTTATAGTTATGTCTTGTAAAGTAAGATGTTAGTCATTAGCATCTATCTACCCACCCACACACACAGATAGATAGATAGATAGATAGATAGATAGATAGATAGATAGATAGATAGATAGATAGATAGATAGAGAGAGAGAGAGATATATATATATATATATATATATTATATACACACACACACGCGCACACCCATTAAAGTTGACATTTCCACCCCAACCTGCCTCACCTCCACGCAGGCCGCCCAGCGTGCCCTGCGGAGCCTGCTGGAGTCGCTGCCGGAGGAATGTCAGCAGATCCTGCAGCGGGTAGAGGAGCTGAAGAAGCAGGTGACGCTGAAGAAACTGGGTGGGGATAGCCTGGGGTAAACATACAAACAGATCTGGAAACACTTGAAAACCACTGAAAACCCATGGCCTACCATAGTGGGGATGTTTAATGGACATATTTGAAATGGATACAACTCGCCATTCCACTATGATTTGGCTTTGATACCTAAAAATGATGTGAAAACTATCCAATTCCAATGAAATACTTTATTCACTGTATTCACGATTTTTCCGATCAAAAGGGTCAGAAAATGGAGGTAGATCCCATTTTCAGACATACCCACATGTAACAAATGGGGATTGACTAACTAAGCGGCAAACAGTTACCAAATGGGCATTGCTGGTTCCTCAATGGTTTAATTACTCACACTGGATAATGGGGATTTTTCCATGGGGATTCACCAACTGGGGATTTAATGCTGATTAATACTGATTAACACGAGGCTTCAAACGGGGAAGGTGACGTTAACACAGGGGGATTCAGGATCAACAGATCAGGGGGACGACCTGCGAAGTTCGACCAAGGCCCGAAAGGCTGCAAAACGAAGTGCCAAGGACAGGGCGGGTGAAAGCTGCCAGTGGCACCCAGCGGGATTAACTGCAATGTGTTGAGGCCAAGAAAAATATAGAAATATAATCCCCAATTTTCCCGGACACAAGGCGTGCATGTATATATAATTATATAATTAGAATTATAATAATAAATGTAATATATATTATATGCACATATAAATATTATATTATATATGCATAATTTGATCTTGATTTAGATATAGTTATGTGATACCAATTGGAGGTTTATCATTCGTTCTTACCTCACTGGACGATGTCCCTCTCCAATTTCCTGCTTCCTCTTTGATGTATCCGATCACCCGATGCGTCCTACCGCCCTGCAGGACAAGGGCAAAGATCCCGCAGGGAAAAAAAGTGCGACTCATCATGGGATGGAAGGTGTGGGCCACAACCTGCCCCTAAACTTTTTCCGGTTTGCTAAATGTGTCAAAACAGGAAAGCAGATAAACAAGGCATGAAAAGCAAACCACCATCATCATAGCAGCCATAGCACCTGCATATGTCGTCTCGAATAGTTCAGTTTTGCACTTCAGCCAAATGCTTAGCCCTTACCTGAGTCGAAACTAGAAAAAGTCTCCTACACTCATTTCAACAACCTCCGGACATTTGCTTAGCGTCAAAGTTGGCGTAAACCTTTGCTGATCATCGCGGATTGATTTCGCCTGAGATGCCACGGACTGAGCTTTTCTGGGCCTTACTTGAGGGTGACTATCCGCTGGAGGAGTTGAAGAAGGTGAATCTGGAGGGATTCGATTGGAGTGGGAGGAGGAAGGATGGAAAGACGCTTTTGGTGGCTCGTATTGGACGAGCACTCTGTTGCACACCGAAGTTTGAAGAGGCACTAAACACCATCGAATGGCTGATATGTTCTGGAGCAAGCATTGAGCAAACCTGCACTGGTGGGCATTATGCCATTGGTTGGCCCAACAGAGAAGAAACAGAGATCCGGTTTGAATGTGAGGGTCGTAGCGCAATTTCATTTGTGCAGACATTGCAGGTTAAGATGCGGCAAAACTTGTCGGCATGGACAGATCAAGACACTTTCCTGACCAAGGTAATGTCCCTCTTCATACAAACCCCCAGCCCAAACGAAGCTAGACGTAGAGTGTCCATCGACGAGGGCATTGCGGAGTTGTGGGAAAAGTCTTTGGCCGCAAAGGATTCGCACGACTTGACCATCGAAACTGCTGATGGACCGGTGACAGCGCATGCTCACATGCTGAAAGCAGCGTCTTCAGTGGTCACTGCGATGTTGGAATCACCCATGAAGGAAGGGAAAACCCAACGAATTGAGATCAAGGACATGCCTGGGAAGGCTGTGTCACTCTTCGTGGAGATGCTTGGCCGAGCCGGTTCCGATTTAGGTGGCTTGTTTTTCAGGAAATGTGTAGCGGCGCATCAATCCAATTTCAAAGAATTCAAGGATGGAAAAAAACATGTCGGTGCTCAAACCCTCGAATTGTTGGAAAGTAGAGGTGTTTTGGGTAGTTAGGGTGCCCAGTAGCTGGCCCGTCAATTTGGTCCCCCTAGAGGACGGAAAAAAGACTGGATAGGAAATCCGGACTCCTCATTTAGAATTGGGGGCCAGAACAGGGCGAGCACTATGACACAGGCCCTTTGATTTTGCCCTGTTTCTCACCAAAGGAAGTTTCATGGAGGAAACTCCGAGTTACAGCCTTGTTCATTCTCACTAGCCCAAAGATCATTGTGTCCAGTTGGCACCTGCGTTACGAGATCATTCTGTCACATTCTCATTAGCCCAAAGATCATTGAGAGAGAGAGTTGGCACCTGCGTTACGAGATCATTAAGTCACATTCTCACTAGCCAAAAGATCATTGTGTCCAGTTGGCATGAGCTCACCAAGATCATTAAGTCTAGTTGGCATGTGCTTGAAGTAGAGAAGTAGCTTTGCGGCTCATTGTTTTGCTGGATTGCATTGAAACTGGTACATCAACGATGAGATTTGAAAGTAAGGATTTGCACGAAACCGTATGTTTTTCAGGTAAACGTACGTCAGGGTGTGGAGATAAGTAGGCTTGCTTGCGCGACGGGAGCGGGCCGTTTCCTGAGAGTATAATATGCGAGTTTTTGGTGGTGGAGGCTTGTGGTGTTTACATGGCGCTGCAAATTTCTTGTGAATTCCTAGGGTATCCGCGCAATCCTTTTGGTTCAGGCTGTGGAAGTCTCGTGAATTCCTACAGGGTATCCACACATTCCTTTTGGTTCAGGTTGCGGGTGTCTCGTGAAATCCTAGGGTATCCGCGCAATTTTCTTGCTTCAGGCTGTTCTCGTGAATTCCTGGGGTACCCGCGCAATTTTATTGGTTCAGGCTGCAGATTTCTTGTGAATTCCTAAAGGGTATCCGCGCATTCCTCTTGGTTCAGGTTGCGGAGTATCCGCGCAATCCTCTTGGTTCAGGTTGTGGAAGTCTCGTGAGTTCATAAGATATATCCGGCAATCTTTTTGTTTCAGGCTGCAGATTTCTCGTGAATTCCTAAAGGGTATCCGCGCAATTCCCTTGCTTCAGGCTGTTTTCGTGAATTCTTAGGGTATCCGCGCAATCCTCTTGGTTCAGGCTGCAGATTTCTTGTGAATTCCTAACGGGTATCCGTGCAATCCCCTTGGTTCAGGCTGTTCTCGTGAATTCCTAGGGTATCCGCGCAATTTTATTGGTTCAGGCTGCAGATTTCTTGTGAATTCCTAAAAGGTATCCGTGCAATCCTCTTGGTTCAGGCTGTTCTCGTGAATTCCTAGGGTATCCGCGCAATTTTATTGGTTCAGGCTGCAGATTTCTTGTGAATTCCTAAAGGGTATCCGTGCAATCCTCTTGGTTCAGGCTGTTCTCGTGAATTCCTAGGGTATCCGCGCAATTTTATTGCTTTAGGCTGCAGATTTCTTGTGAATTCCTAAAGGGTATCCGCGCGTTCCTCTTGGTTCCGGCTGCAGGGTAGATTGAGCAGAGGGTTTTTTTGGATTGGAACTGCTACATCAGCGATGAGAATTGAAAGTTAGAATTTGCATGAATCAGTTTGTTTTTTCGGGTAAGCCTACTTCACGGTGTGGAGAAAAGTAGGCACGCGACGTGGGAAAAATGCTGTGGCTGCAGCATGGTTGAGCGTTGGCACCACAGGTGACTAAACCAAACACCGCAAAGGATAGTAAATAGGATTTCAAGTACATGACAATTCGCGAATGCAAACGGGTTCGAGAAACTTGAAAAGAAATCGCAAAAGGTGCAACGTTGGGAATGCGGCGATCGAAGAAAATGTGAGAGAGTTACGGATAGACCGAGGTTAAAGTTCCCTGGAAACAAGACAAACACAAGTTGAACGATTCAAACGGATCGACCGAAGAGGAAGGCAGTTGAAAAAGTTTGCAGTGTCAGTTCAACCGGGCGGAGAAAATTTGGAAGAATTGAATTGAGGTTATATAGATGAGTCAAGACGATCTGAGAAGAGTTGAGAAGAGGTCGTTGAGAAGAGCTGAAAAGAAGTGAGAAGTCGTGAGAAGAGTTGAGAAAAGGTGGCAAAGATCTGACAAGAGGTGCAAAGATCGTTGAGAACAAGAAGACGAACTCAGAAAACAGAGTTGAGAAGACGTGAGGTTTCGCTGCATCCCCTATAGCCAAACCTTGTCTTTGGATCCTATGGTGTAACAGTCCTTCCTTCTGGAAACTTTCGCCGCCCGCCTCGCGCGGGTTTTACTTGTACACTGTCCCCAACAGTTTGCAGCCAAGGATTTTGTACACTTGCTCAGCTCAAGATGAACCAGACCACGAAACTGCTTCGCATGCGCTGGATTTGGCTCACCGCTGGCAAGTGGAGGTGGTGGTCGCGATTTTGACGGATCTGCTTGCAGGTGCCCAAAAATCTTTTGGTGTGTTTTGAAGTTTGCTTAAGCAGTGCCTGCCTGCAAGAATCTCAACAAGTACTGGTCAGGTTCATCTTCCATTTCCATTGACGCAACCCCTGAGGTATGATCACGGACGGAAACTTTTTGGCCATTGCGGAGCATGCTGTCCTCAAGGCAGGCGATGCAAGCAGAATTTGACAACAGGGCTGAGCAGCTTCATTGCGGTTTTGGAAGTGAATGAAGGGATGTATGGATACACGGCCGATGACGTGTTGAAAGCTGAAACCCAAAGTCAAAAGTCTATCTTTTTGGCACGCCAAAACCCAGCGACAACATGTAAGTGCTGCTGGAGGTTCCAGTTGCAGTTGACCGTCCGGTACTCCGAAAAAAACCCATAAGCAAAAAAAATAGAAGTGAAACCGGTTGATGCACTGCGGGATATGTTGTTACGGCTACATCCATTTTTTTTCAAGTGCAAGGTGAGCTTGATTGTTGCCAGCCCGCCTTCCCTTCCTACTGTCTGGGCCAGCAACTCTCTTGCTACGGGGGCCAAATCCCAGTGTGTTCCATTCGCAGTGGCAGAAGGTGATTGCATGTGTCAAGAGCCACACCAGCAACTCCTTACCGCATGATACCATCCAGCTCCTACCCGGACTGCTACTATTTTAGACAAAGCATTGCTGTAAAAGATTTTGTGTTTGCTTGGGGGCCGGCAGAATGCGCTTTGTTCCGTTTGCAATGGTAGCAGGTGACTGGATGTGCTAAGAACCATAAAGCTCTACGTCAAAAAACCCACCAATCGCACAAACATCAGCAAGACTCCACCATCGCGCCAGCAGCAGCTTCCTCCGTCCAGTCCCCATACTTTCTGCTCCGTCCATACTTTGATCCTCTGCAGTCTCATCCACCCATGCCCCATCTAGGATCAGGGCTTGTTACCACTCAGGACGCAGTTAGCAGACTAAATGAGAACCCAAGTATCAAAGATGCTTCTGGGAAAAAGAAGGAGAAAAGATCAGGAAGAGCCTCTTCGTTCTTTTTTGATTTCTTTGCCACGAGTTTGCGCATCGAAAGCTGTTCAGTTGTTGGTTGATACCATGGTTTGTTCCCTTGTTCCACTCCAATGATTTGACCATCAGGGCCTTGATCGACTGAAGACTGCGGCGAAGAGCTTTGGGGCCGGATCTACGAAGGTGCAGGCTCTGATCCCTGCTTCATGGTTCCAGGTAGAGAGGGTGATGTGACTCCAAAAAAATCATCCATGGCCAGGGCAATGGAACTTGCGATGTAAACCAACACAAAATCCCTTCGCAGCACCCAACCTGAAGCCAAACTGACAGTTCAAAGAGTTCAACCCCCCTGTGAATATGGAACATCATTGTTTAACCACTAGATTTGGCATTGGGTGACTATGGCCAGGCTGATCTCAAGGAGGGCCGCCTCCCCACTGCCGTGCTGCAACTCTTCCCTGCAGCACCAAAACCATCGAAGCCCGACGGGCCTAAACCCAAGCGCCGCCGGATGTGATGCTTTCTGCGCGCTGAAGGCAATGGGTGGTTGCGGGCCATGGGCAGAACAACGAGAGTGAATACTTGATACGTTTTGTCATGGTGGCTTGGATGTTTGATATGTCTTCATCGGGTTTGTCTGAAGGCTGTTCTCTTAGGCTCTTTGGTCAGCTCTCAGAAGATGTTTGCGGTATTGGTTGCTTTTTTTTTTGTGTGCGGAATTGGCAATGGCTGACTGGTGCTTGATGTGCCTCAACTGCCTCAGCTGTCTGATCATCCTGTTCAGCTTCAGACTGCTGTCGTGATTGTCATGCAGGAACTGCAAGCTCTATGATGGCTTTCACTTCTGACAGACTCAAGGTGGTTGTCAGAACGTCGTGTCTCCTTGCGCCGAAGTCCGACATGTATACTGTCCAGCTTGTCCCCTAGTTTGCTTCCCAACAAATGTTCCTGGAGGCAGCAGCCATAAGTGTTCTGGCCCGTCATGGTATTGTCATTTTTGTCTCCCAACTTGTCTCGCAGCTTGTGTCCCAAACATTGGCGGCCCGAAGTTCAGTCGTGGTGGTGTGCTGTCTTGCAATTGGGATGCCGGCTTGTCTCCAAGAATTTGGGTGCAAAGTCTATTTAAAGAACATTCAGCTGCCTTGTGGAATTTGAATTTGATGAACCACTCTTTCAACTTCTTTCCGTTACCGAGCTCCAAGCCGTGGTATTGCTGCAAGCAGTTTCGATCGAAATGCATGACCAAGACTCCTTCACTAGTTAACAGTTAGAGGGTTCCCATGCAACCCAACTGTGAGGCAGTCACCTTCCATTCGGGCGATCGTTGTCAGCTATGATGATGCTGACCCTACTGCTGGCGGGTACTTTGTTGACATTGAAGCTGATGATCTCGATGACTGACAATTATGCTTAAAACTCCCTTCTGCTTCTGCTTTCTTCATCTCTTCCTCGAGCAGGCCAGGTTCTTCAGAGAAGGGCGGACAAAGATGCAGGATCAGCGACGTGGTTTGGCTGGACCATTTGAGCCGGCAATGGTTTCAGAGTTGCCCATTTTCGCGCGTCAGGCAGACCCACGTAGGTTTGTCCGAATATAGGGTACCGCTTGACCAACTGGTTAATCACAATTTTACCGATCAAATTTCGGGCAGGGGTATGCGGTATACCTTATCTTCAGACTCACCCGCGTAGGAGACGTCAGCGCGAGCTTAAAAGACTCGTTCTGCGAACCTGTGCCTGGCTCTGCTGAAAACGTGCCGCTGCAGTCTGTTGTTTTGTTCCAGCTTTAGACATCTTATGTGACATAAATCGCGAAAGGATCCTTCATCAGTTGAGTTTTATGGGCGATAAGTTTTGTACCAGAATGGGATGGCAAGTCCTGCCCATGCAGCGATCATTGGCAGGGGAACTGCTGGATGCAGCAGTACAGGATTCACTGAGGGTCAAAAACGTAAAGATATGGACAACATGGATGTCTAGTGGATGTCTTATTTTGATTTTCAGCTCATTTCTGTTTCAACCTTATCATACATTAGATGTGATCTCATGTGCATTTACCTGTCTCATACGATCCAGGTTTTTGTTTGATACCAGCCCATCCCTTCTGATCCGAACGGCTGCGGCTCACGCTCTGGCTAACAGCATGAGGCATGGCCTGTATGAGCGCCAAACTACGTCGCACCGATGTTAACAAACAACCTCCCCTAATGCGTTGCAAGGAGCTTTCAAAGACTTGATCAGCAACAATTTGGCTTCATTGGCAAAAAGGTGTTGCAACTTGTCATTTCCTTCTCATTTGCCATGCCGCAAACGGAGCTTTTTTGGGCCTTGCTCTTCAATTCCCACCCGCTGGAAGAGTTGAAGAAGGTGAATCTGGAAGGATTCAATTGGAGCGGTCTCTCGGAAGATGGAGAGACATTGTTGGTGGCTTATATTAGAAACGTGCTTTACAGCACCTCAAAATTTGAAGGTGCACTCAACACCATCGAATGGCTGATATGTTCAGGGGCAAGCATTGAGCAAAAATGCACTGGTGGAGGACAGGCGGAGTACTGGCCTGACAAACCAAAAGCGGCAAAGATCCGGCTTGAGTGCAAAGGTCTCAGTGCAATTTCATTTGTGCAGGCATTGCAGTGGAAGATGTGGGACAATTCCGAGTGGAGAGTCCAAGAAGCTTTTCTCACAAAGGTCCTCTCCTGCTTTGTGAATGCCTCCAGCCGAAGCGCTTCCATACCTCGAGTGTCGGTCCCCGAGGGCATTGCAGAGTTGTGGGAAAAGTCGTTGGCGGCAAAGGATTCTCATGACTTGACAATCGAAACTGCTGATGGGCTCGTGACCGCTCATGCTCACTTTCTCAAAACAGCATCCTCCGTGGTCGCAGCGATGTTGGAATCACCCATGAAGGAAGGGAAAGCTCAACGAATTGAGATCAAGGACACGTCCAGCAAAGCCGCGTCACTCTTCCTGGAGATGCTTGGCGAGACATGGTGACATCAATTGGACAATACAGAGAAATATGCATATGAATGCATATGATATGCATGTTCCTTTTTTTATCAACAGCAGCACGCTTCCCACCTGCCTTGAAAGTAACAGTTTTGTCTCAAGTTTCGAACCAGTCAATGCATGGCTCGTGCTCATTGCGCCCGCCACCCAGGATTTTGTACACCTGTTCAGTGCAAGACGAGCTCGCCCACGAAACTGCCTTGGAGACATTGGACTTGGCCCATCGCTGGCAAGCTGAGGTGGTGGTCGTGGTCTTGACCGATCTACTGGCAGGCGCCCGAAATGTCAGGTTCGCAACAAGCCCACAAAGTGGATCACACTGGATCTATGTGGATCTCATATTACAGAGTCCTTGCCCCCAAATCTCCAAATGCAAACCAGCCGTTATAGACCGTTAGTCGCATTCGGCAGGTTGTTCAATTTATGTGCTGTTTCATGGTGTTTCTGGGACCAGTGGAGGTATGATCACGTATGAGACCTTCGGATCTATCGGGGAGCAAGCCGTCCTCAAGGCCAGCTGTTGAGGATCAAGCGAAAGGTGACCGCTCCAAACAGAGTCTTACCTTCTTGCCCAAAAGTTGATGACAACAAGGTGGTGAGAGAGTCTGTGGATCTGTTTGAACATACCGAGGCAGTTCTAACTGCAGACACTTCTTTTATATTCTTTCATTCAATGTTCACTGAACTGACTGCTTGCTTGGCGACCGTAGCCTCATTGCAGAATCACTATCACACTGTTATACTATTACCACTTCCCCCTTGCGAACTTGTGGGAACGTCAGGGCCTTGAAAGATTGAAAGCCGCAGCCCAACGCTTTGGGGTCCAATCCAAGAAGGTGCAGGCCAGGTGGTCCGGTGGTCGGGTTGTTTGAGGACCATCCATGTCCATGAGGACCACTGGAGCTGTGGCCAGGCTGACCTGAAAGCTGGCCGCCTCTCTCCTACTGTGGCGCAGCTGTTCCCTGCATCGAAACCATCGAAGCCCAGTGAACCGAAACCCAAGCGCCGCCGTGTGTGAGGGATGCCGGGTGCTCAAGGCGACTGGCTTCCCGGGGGTTCTGTGGATCAACAGATGATTGGCGAAAATGTTGCGAAGATGAAAGGATGCTGGATGCGTGTAGGTGCCGTGATTTTTGGTGAATATTGGCAAGTGGGATGTTCAACTTCAGTTCATTGCTTTGTTAATGATTTCGTTGGTAATGCTTCTTTGGACGTCGTCTCACATCAATTAGTTTGTAGGCGCGGTCTGCTGGTTGTTTTGTTGGCTGCCAGGATATGTCGGGATATCGTAGTCATCCAGTATTGTCGTAGCAGAGGGCTTCCTGTTTGGTACATTTTCTGCACCTGAGGTATTTCTGATTGAATGGTTTCGTTTCAAGACGACACTAATTATAGCCTATTGTCCAATTCCAACCTATCTTTAGGCCATTTCCAAGTCTGGCGAAGACGAGAATCGTGATGGTAATGATGGTCGGTGTGATAAGCATGATGAGTACAGTGAAGTGATGGTACTTGATGCTGATGACATGGCTGACGATGCTTGAAAGCTTGTGGGATTTCTCACCACATGCTGGATTAGCTCCAGTATGATTGACATGAAGCCATACCGGCCATACCGAAATCCTTTGGTGGACCGTTTGTTATGTGAACCGCTTGGAAGACTTTTCCTAGGCAAGGCTAAATTAGTTACGCTGTTTTAGGAGGCTATGTTGCGGGGGATCTTGGAGGTTGTGTTCGGTATGGATTTTGATAATTATATATACATATATATACTTGCCGTTTTGGGTGAGCCGGGGAGGGACTGCAAGACCTGCCCCTTGCACTGGATACAACTGCATGCTGCAGTAAAACCTCAGAACACTCGTGTTCTGATACCTTCTCTAGGTTTTGCCATGTGGCAGCTGGCCATCTCATCCTGCATTGATCCAAAGGGTAGACGTCCTTGTTCCGCAGTTTCTGGCTTAGCAGCTGTCAAATTTGTGATAACAGACCAGCAAAGCGTGAAAAGCAAACATCCTCACCATAGCACTTGCGCACTTTGTTTCAAGAAGTTCTCACTTGCACTTGAGCCACATGTCTTCCGTCTGCCGCACCCATACTTGAACAAAAGACGCCTACAGGGTCCTTCAGGCTTGACAGAAACTGTGCAGTATCAAAAGTGTTGTAAAGTCGTGGAAATTTGTGGACTTGTGGAGCTCACTTTCGCCGCGCATTAGACATGCCGCAAACGGAGCTTTTCTGGGCCTTACTTGAAGATGGCCACCCACTGGAGGATTTGAAGAAGTTGAATCTTGAAGGATTTGATTGGAGTGAGAGACGGGGTGGAACGACGCTGTTGGTGGCTCGTATTGCTAAAGCGCTCTATAACAGCAAAGAAAACGATGAGCAGGCACTCAACACCATCGAATGGCTGATATGTTCCGGGGCAAGCATTGAGCAACGATGCACGGGCGGCAAAACGAAATTGTGGTTGAAAGAGAGGCCACATGTGCCAGAAGTGGAATTAGAGGGTCTCAATGCAATTTCATTTGTGCAGGCATTGCAAGCGAAGATGCGACAACATCTATCAGAGTGGTCAGCTCACGAGACATTCCTGGTCAGAGTTATGTCGTGCTTCGCGCGGGCCTCCAGCCGGGCCTCCTCCTCCAGCATGGTCGGACCTAGAGTGTCCATCCACGAGGGCATCGCCCAGTTGTGGGAAAAGTCGTTGGCGGCAAAGGATTCGCACGACTTGACCATTGAAACTGCTGATGGCATGGTGACAGCGCATGCTCACATGTTGAAAGCAGCGTCTTCAGTGGTCGCTGCGATGCTGGCATCGCCCATGAAGGAAGGGCAAGCCCAACGCATTGAGGTCAAGGACACGTCTGGGAAGGCCGTGTCGCTCTTCCTGGAGATGCTTGGCCGAGTTTACTATCGGACTACAGGGAACTTTTTTTTGGTCAGGACATGTGTAGGGCTGAGAGGTGTGTGATCAAATCAATTTCAAAGCATGTCAAGTTTTGCCCTGTTGCTCCGACACTGTCCGAAACAGCTCACAGCCAAGGATTTTGTACACTTGCTCAGCTCAAGACGAGCCAGAACGCGAAACTGCCTTGGGTGCGCTGGACTTGGCTCACCGCTGGCACGTGGAGGCGGTGATCGCTATCTTGACAGATCTGCTTGCAGGTTCAATTTTTTTGGGTGTATTTTCAGGTTTTCGGAGTGTACTTGATGCCTGTAGAATTTCGAAAATGCACTGATCAGGTTCATCTTCCATTTCCATTGGCGCAACCCTTGAGGTATGATCACGGACGAAGGATTTACAGCCATTGCGGAACATGCTGTCCTCAAGGCGGGCCACTCAACAAGAATTGACACCAGGAAGCGTGAAAAGATGCGATGTTGCGTTGGATACACGGCTGATGACGTGTCCAAAGTTGAAAGCAAACATGTCCATCTTTTTGGAACCCATTTTCATTGTCGGATGCCAGACTACTTTCCAGTTTGCAGACCTTCCAGTCATATTGGCATTCAAGTACTCTAACACCAACCGAAAAGCAAAATGATAGAATTGAAGCCAGCTGATGCACGGCGGGACATGTTGCCACAGCACCTCCGACTTCTTTTTTCACTGTCAAGTGTGCACAATACACTTGTTTGTTGCCAGCCCGCCTTCCTCCTGTACTACTCTTGCTGCTGGCACAAAACCCACCATGTTCCATCCACAATGGCAGAAGGCAGAAGGTGACTGCATGCGTCAAGAGCCACAGCATCGTGTCCTCACCGCGTACTATGCTCCTACCATGACTGTTGCCGTGTGGAAGGCTATTTTTTGTTTTTGTTTTTTTTTCCAGCCTGGCTTTGTGGCTTTTGCTGCTTTTGTGGCTTTTGTATTCTTGGCTCCTTAGTTTTCTGTTTCCCTTTTGATGTTTTTGGCTTCTTGTCATTTTGGATTTTGTGGTTTCTTGGCAGTATGCTGCAACTATCTTGGTGACAACCAGTAAAGCATCAAAGAGAACTGCTAAAACAAAATGATATAACACGACAATGTTTTATAAGAAAGGCAAGATCCAATCCAACAATTTTATTTATAGGAAAGCGTTGATAACATCTAATGAAACTATTTACACCCAATACACCCAATAGGGTTGTGCCTCAACCTACATTTTATACATTTTAGACATTTTATACATTTAATACATTTGATACATACATGCATACATACTTACTGACATGACATGACATGACATTACATGACATTACATGACATTACTGTACATGACATTACATTGATACATACATACGTACGTACGTACGTACGTACGTACATCCATACATCCATACATCCATACATCCATACATCCATACATCCATACATCCATACATCCATACATCCATCCATCCATCCATCCATACATACATACATACATATAGATGAATGAATCAAACACATACACAGATAGATAGATAGATAGTTAGATAGATAGATAGATAGGTAGATAGGTAGATAGGTAGATAGGTAGATAGGTAGATAGGTATAGATAGATGGATGATAGATAGATAGATAGATAGACAGATAGACAGATAGATGTAGATTTAATATACCACAAACAAGAACAAGATTAGGAAGAATCCACCCAGCACCTCCCTCATCCCCAGCAGCAGCTTCACCCAGCCCATGGCCCATCCAGAATCAGTTTTTTTTTAACGCTCACTCCTCGGGCAGTTTTGCAGACTAAAGAAGAACCCAAGTATCGAACATGTGGGAAAAAGAAGAAAACATTAGCAATAAATTAGCAACGTTCCTTCATTTTTTTTTGATTTGTTTCCACGAGTTTGCCTCATCTAAAAGCAATTCAATTGTTAGTTGACACCGCGTTCTTTTGACCAGACCAGCGATGTTTGTTCTCCTTGAACGACTTGACCATCAGGGCCTTGATCGACTGAAGACTGCGGCCAAGAACTTTGGGGCTGAATCTGCAAAGGTTCAGGCTGGTCCATTGGTCCCAGCGTCATTGTCCAAGGTAGAGAGGGTGATGTGATTTGAACAAATGATCCATAGCCAGGGCGAGAGGAACTTTGGTGTGAGAACCACGTTGAGACCACGCAAACCAGCACAACAAATATCACAAAATCATTTCACAGCCACCCAACCTGAAACCAAACTGACAGTTCAAGCCCCGTATGAATAGGGAACATCATTTTTTAACCACAAGATTTGGCATTGGGTGATTCTATGGCTAGGCTGATCTCAAGGAGGGCCGCCTTCCTGCAGCTGTGCTGCAACTCTTCCCTGCCGCACCAAAACCATCGAAACCCGACGAACCCAAGCGGAAGCGCCGCCGGATGTGATGCTTTCGGCGCGCTGAAGGCAATGGGTGGCTGTGGGCCATGGGCAACAACTACCGTTGATGCTTGATGCGTATTGTTGTCATTGTTTGGATGGCTGCCTAGGTGGGATGTTTGATATGAGTTCATCGGGTTTGTTTCCAAGCGGTTTGTGATGTTGCCTCATTGCCTCAGAAGATGTTTGCATGGCACATCCCTTGATTCGGCGATACCACGTGAAGGATTGTGCTGTGGCCTTGTCCCAGGCGCCGTGCCCGCCAGCAAGAGACTCAAACCGTGGACATTGCTTAAAACAAGCTGTGGCGACCAAAGGGGCCACAAATCAGACCAAATGCAATGAACATAGAGACGTGCGTTTGCTCCTCAATTTTCCATAATGTATATATATATTTATATATATATATTTGGATGTTCTTAAACTTCCAAATTCGTTTGGTGGGATGTCAAGATGCTTTGCCATTGCCCTGTCACTTCATGCAGGCGTTTAGATGATTCTTTCAATGGTCCCCGGGTCCTCTTTGAATTTTGAATCTTTTCTTGCGTTTTTTGCTACATCTTGCCATTGGATGTCGGGTCAGGGAATGGAGCGCCACAAGTGGATTCTTTCCCTCGGTTTCGGATGTTTCGGGTTTCTCCTTGCCATGTCTTTCGCCAAAGGCGAGAAGAGATGATCTCCAGCTGACTTTCTGTGCTCCCCGTGTTCCAGTAGTCGAAGGGTTGCCTGTTCCTGTCGAAGGGGGATTCAAAGTTGCCTCTGTAGTCTACATTCTGGTCATTCTGGCTCACAGCTTTGAGGAAAGGCATATCTGACATCATGTCTTGCATACCTTGTTCCAGGCAGCCCAGAGTCGCCTCCTTTTCTAAGCCACATCCCAAGTTGAAACTCTATCGAGATGCTTTTGGAATGTGCATCCGTTCAAAACAGTCAAGCTACTGAGGGGCTTAAGGGCAACTGCTCAGCAGCAATAGCTGCATCCGCCAGTAGGAGCGTGGCGCAAATGGCCCAAGCAGAACTCCTGTGGGCTTTGTTGGATGGCCACCACCCGGTAGAGGACCTGAAAGAGGTTGATGTGGCAGGAGTCAATTGGAGCTCGCGCTCGTTGGATGGCAAAACGCTGATGGTGTCTTTTATTCATAAGGTACTCTGCCAGCCCAAATCAAAATTTGATGCTGGACTTAAGACCATTGAATGGCTGGTCCACTCGGGAGCGAGCATTGAGCAAAAATGCACTGGCGGGGAAACCGAGATGTTTTTTACAAAGGACCAGGAAAACACAACTGTCAAGTTGGAGTGCAAAGGCCGCAGTGCCATTTCATATGTGAAAGGATGGCAGCAAAAGCTCCGTGGCTTGCCATGTTGGCAAGCAGAATTTGATTTCTTGCCCAGGATTCTGATATGCTTTGCTAGGGCCTCCAACAGAATGTCAAATCGACCGCGAGTGTCGATTGACGAGGGCATTGCGGAGCTGTGGGAAAAGTCTCTGGCGGCAAAGGATTCACATGACTTAACCATTGAAACTGCTGATGGCGTGGTCACTGCACACGCTCACATGCTGAAAGCAGCATCATCCGTGGTCACTGCGATGTTGGAATCGCCCATGAAGGAAGGGAAAGCCCATCGAATTGAGATCAAGGACACGTCCAGCAAGGCTGCGTCACTCTTCCTGGAGACGCTCGGTGGGGTCAGGCGTGACGGATGGATTGGTTGAAGAATATGCGGCACTCATGCCATGTGTCAGCACATTGGATGGGACCATTGATAGACTTGCCCAGGTTTCAGCCCTTTGGGCTTTCCTGAAAGCCCGGGGGTGGCCAGGTCCCCACAAGTACATGGTTCCTTGGGTGTGTGTATCTATATTATATATATATATACGTATGTATTCATTCATTTTCAATTTCGATCAGTTCATCGACATTGCTTGGTAAATGACATATCATATCGTGACCAAGCTTGTGATGATGCAGCAGCAGACCCTTCAAGTTGGCCCATTTCCCTTGTACAGCGCATAGCCAAGGATCTTGTACACTTGCTCAGCTCAAGACGAGCCAGATCACGAAATTGCCCTGCATGCTTTGGACTTGGCTCATCGCTGGCAAGTGGAGGCGGTGGTTGAGATCTTGACGGATTTGCTTGCAGGTGCCTACGATGTTTTTTGAAGTTCAATTCCACAGTTCCTGCACCAAAGATTCTGAGAAAGTTCCAAGTTCTGGTCAGGCCCGTCTGCTTCGATATATTAATATATATATATATACATAATATACATACATTATATATAAATATATTTCTCACAGTTTCCCAGAGCAGCAATTGAGGTATGATCACGGACGAAAGCTTTGCAGGCATCGCGGAGCATGCCATCCTCAAGGCAAGGGGCGAACCAATAATCATGCACAGTCACTGGATTGAAAGCGGCGTGAAGCAGTGCATCTATTGGACGGCCTAAAAAGTGAAGTGCACGCCAGGGCATTGAAAGACTGAAGGCACCTGCCCGGCGGTTCGGGGCTGAATCCGCAAAGGTGCAGGCTGGCTCGTCCTGTGTTTTGAAAGCAGTTGTCCAAACCAAAACTGGGGTTAGGTGATCAACAGCACACGCATACCTACCTACGTACCTACCGACCAACCGACTGACCTACCTACCTACCTACCTACCCTACCCCGTCCCACCCCACCCCACCCCTACCTGCTCACATTACCTACCTTACCCTACCCTACCCTACCCTAATTCTGGACTGCCCTACCCTACCCTACCCTAACCTACCTAGCTACCTACCTACCGACCCACACACACAGACATACAGACACACACACACACATACAGCTATATACAGCTATATACAGCTATATACAGCTATATACAGCTATATACAGCTATATACAGCTATATACAGACATACAGACGTACAGTACAGACATGCAGACACAGACATGACATGCATACATGCATACATGCATACATGCATACATGCATACATGCATACATGCATAAATGCATACATGCATACATGCATACATGCATACATGCATACATGCATACATGCATACATGCATACATGCATACATATACACATGCACACATACAAACAAACATGCATGTATGCATGTATGCATACATACACACATACACGCATAGACGCATAGACGCAAGACGCATAGACGCATAGACGCATAGACACATACATACATACATAGACACATACATACATAGACGCATAGACGCATAGACGCATAGACACATAGATACATACATAGACACTTAGATACATAGATACATCCTTCCTTCCTACGTACCTGCATACCTGCACATCATTTCGTGCGTACGTATGTAGGTACATGCGTGCATAATATGTAGGTGGATTTTAGCCAATGCATGTCATATAACCGGGTTAGTTGGAACCATGTGTCATTCTACAACGCTTTGCCAAAATCTAAGGCAAGGGCCTAGAACCGGAAAAAACACCTTAGACTTAACCCGGCAGCAGCTTGAAGACCAGGCAGATCTCAAGGCCAGCCGCCTCCCTGCTGCCGTGGCGCAGCTGTTCCATGGCGGATCGAAACCATCGAAGCCCAGCGAGCAGAAGCCCAAGCGCCGTCGCATGTGATGTCGCGGTGCTTAGAGGTGCTTGTAAGGCCTGGAAAATATATTGATTGATCGATGGATATCGATAGGAAATCTACAAGATGATCCTGGTCGTGATTGATCTTGGAATATCTGGGAACATTTTTCAAATACGATGCCTGAGAGATGCTGAGATATGGTTCCCACATGTTGAAACTATGTTGTGATTGGCCATTGCGTTTGTATGCTGCTTTTCATTCCCAGGGCGGCCTGCAGTTACTGCAGTTCTGCCCCTGTGCCAGGTGTTTGCCACAAGCAAAAGACTCGTTCCTGGACTGCGTCACAAGTCAACGCTCAGTCGGACATCGTTTCGAAATCGCAAAACAAACAATTGCAATCTTGAGTGATTTGCCGCACTTAGCTTGGGACACCAGAGTTTTCATCAACCGACTGGGGTTGAGCGTGCTCTGATATGTGAGTGTTTGGCATACTTTCTCTCCACCATGACACCACTATGTTTCCTGGGGTTTTCATTGCCATGCTTTACAGTGGTGTGTTTTGCCACAGATTCACAGACTAGGCTGAATTCTTAAAGCATATGCGCTGTATTGCCAATAGGTTTTCTTTTAAGTTGGATCTGCATGGATGGGGTGGACATTGATGGGCCTTTGCTGCCTCACGTTTGCAAATCCAGTAGAAGGGAGAGTGGGGGGCCAGCCGCTTACATTCTCATCATTTGCCATTTGTGGATCACAGCTCCCAGACAATCAAAATTTCACCATTTCAAATCTTAATGCAATTTATGCTGTTTGAAATTCTATTTTCAGCTCTTGGCTCATTTATCAGAAATGGGGACTCTACTTGGACTACATGGTATTTTCACGCTCAAATGTCAAACACCCAGAGCAAGATCCCACGCAACTTTCCACCAGGGCTTTCATCGCACCCTTGGGATGGCGCCGGCAGAGCTTTTCTTCTCTTTGCTTGAAGATGGTTATCCGCTTGAGGGGTTGAAAAAGATCGACCTGGAAGGCTTTGATTGGAGCTCTCGCCATGAGAGCGGGCAGACCTTGTTGGTTGTTCGCATTGCCAATGCAATGATTCAGCCACAAGAAAGGTTTGAAGATGCGCTTGAGACTATCGAATGGTTGATACGTTCTGGAGCTAGCACGGAGCAAAAATGCACAGGTGGGCAATGGAACTTTTGTCTACCCCACAAGCCAGAAACACCAGCAGTCCCGGTGCAGTGCAAGGGTCTAAGTGCGATATCCTTCGTGCGGGTAGTTGTGCAAAAGATGCGGGACAATCTGAAAGATTGGAAACGCGAAGAGGCTTTCCTGGTGAAGGTTATGGCGCGCTTTGCAGCTGCCTTCAGCTTGAGCGCTGCTGGGCCCAGGGTGTCCATCCACGAGGGCATTGCAGAGTTGTGGGAAAAGTCGTTGGCGGCGAAGGAGTCGCATGACTTGACCATTGTAACTGCTGATGGTGTGGTGACTGCACACGCTCACATGCTGAAAGCAGCGTCCGCTGTTGTCGCAGCAATGTTGGGATCGCCAATGAAGGAAGGGAAAGCCCAACGCATTGAGATCAAGGACACAGCTGGAAAGGCTGTGTCACTCTTCCTGGAGAGACTTGGCAACACCAATTGGGCAAAGATCTCTGGTTTGTCAACAGCATGTGCTCACCCATTGGCCCAAGAATACTAGGTGTGGTTCGGTTTCCCACCTGTCACAGTCCTGCTAAAACTCATGCTGCTACAACATCTACAGCATGTTCAGGTATGCCCTCCTGTTTCAGACCTATGCGAGCCTTTGCCCCTTGTGCCACCCCCAGGATCTTGTACACCTGTTCGGTGCCAGATGAGCTTGACCACCAATCTGCTTTGCATGCTTTGGACTTGGCTCATCGCTGGCAAGTGGATGTGGTGGTCACGATCTTGAGCGATCTACTGGCAGGTGCCTAATTGACTAAGATGAGGGCAACAAACCCAGCGCGTGGGAACCCTATCGCAGAGTTTTTGCCCCCGAATTCCAAAGCCCGTAATTGCAGCCTCTATTCGCGACTGAAAGGTTGTCCTAGTTCCGTGTAGATAGATATGTGATAGGTGTAAATACGGAAGCAAATCACTAGATCCGGACAAACCCCTACCCGCCGCAACTTTTCCATTTCTGATCTTTCTGCAAAGTGTTTTTGGCAAAAAAGTGAAGGTATGATCACGGACGAGAGCTTTTCCGTGATTGCGGAACATGCAATCCTCAAGGCCAGAAGTCACAGGAAAAATCAGAAAAGACTGTTGTTGGTCGCGGCCGTTAAACAACATGATTGTTGATGCAACAACTCAACTGACTGTGGGTTCAATCTCATCATAGAACCATCGCCACTCCTGCCTTCTGACCGTCAGGGCCTTGAAAGGCTGAAGGCCGCTGCTCAGCGCTTTGGGGCCGAATCCAAGAAGGTGCAGGCACGCTGAGCTGGATTGATGGTCCGAGTGTTGTTGCTCCACCAAAATGTGAAGGAATGCATTGTGCAAATGCAAAAGACATCATGTAAGGCTCGGCGGAAAAACATCAGTGAACACATTTCAAACAAACAACAGCCACCTGAAACAATCATCGATAAAGCGCACGGACACCTGCATAAAAGATTAAAAACATCATAAGAACATCTATTTGGTACCTGGTAACCCTCTAGGTAACCCTCTAGATTGTTTTTTTCCAATCTGTTTCCCCAAAACAAGGTTTTTTAGAAACAGATCATTTTTTTCCAATCTAAGGATGTACCAGGAATAATAACCCCCAGCATACAACCCTCCAAAATGTTCCAGCCAGGCAGATCTCAAAGCTGGTCGCCTCCCTGCTGTTGTGGTGCTGCTCTTCCACGGCGGATCGCCATCGAAGTCGAACGAGCCAAAGCCCAAGCGCCGTCGGGTGTGAGCGACACTGCGGCTGCTGAAGGCAACGGGTTGGCTGGGAATATGGTGATATCATGTGAGATAATGGAATATGAATGAATGATATATATATATATATGTATATGTATATGTATATGTATATGTATATATACATAAAAGGGCCGGGATATGGATATAATTCATGTTTTTTTTAAACATATTGGACCAACCCCAATGCCCCGCATATATGTGCCCCCCAAACTAGCAAGTCCAATACTAAGCCAGAGTTTCCAGGAAGGTATTTCAACATTCCAGAGAAGGAATTGTGATTCTATGGTTGGTGAGTTGGATTTTGAATGTGATTGGCTAGTATGCTATTTCTGTTGTTCTCTTTGGTTGGTCATCCCACTTCGTAGGTTGTGTTCTCTTGGTGGTTCTGTCAAGGCTGCAGGGTGATGCAGCACATGGCCGTTTTGGAACTATTAGAACTGTTTGTTTTGCCAACAGTTCTCGGCAAACTGTTGAGGGCATGTATTTCCATTTGCATACATTGATTTTAACACATTTTCGTTTATGATACGAAAGGGGATAGGCCAAATGGGATCTTTGTGGACCCCACGGTTTCTCAAATTGATGTGAGGGTAAGCTCCACGTGCTCCCTTCTTGGGCCAGGTCGGAAGAGTCAAATGATTTGGTGAAAAAATTGGAAGATTTTGGGATTGAGAGGATGTCCTTGCCGAAAAAAAATCGGGATATGTTAGTCTTCTTCCCAGAGTTTCGATAGGTTCATTGCTCTCTTATGGAACCCATGAGGGGTCAACTCTTTTTTTTGGGGCTTGGGTTGGCACCTTTTTTGAGTTGGAAACACTTTTTCCCATTTTCTTAAGTCTGGGCTGGGGGACAGAGGATCATGAAATATGGCTGATTTATGCTGTCGTACAGCAGCTTGTCCATCTTTGAACATGATCGAGGGGGAATTAGATGCAAAGCTCCGCGCCGAGCTGCCCGGAATTGAACTGCTAGGAATGCTCATTTGATCCTTGTGATGATGAGATTATCACGTTTCCCACATGGGTGACGGTGAGCAAGAGGGATGTTGCGATGGGCATGCCCAAGTGATTCAAATGGAGTTTCTATACACCCCAGTTTGCTGCCTCAGGAACAGAATTGAACTGTGGCTCAGGCCAACCGTCAAGTTGCTTGCATGTTCTGGCTCCAGCTATTATATAACTTTGGAAACAAACTCCAAAAGACAAACGAGGCTAGATGCGGAGAGAGGTTTGTTCAGTTCATTCGAGAGTAGCCCAGTTTCTACACACGCCACTTCAAGTATCTTGAAACCATTAGGACGCTATACGTCCAGGACCCACTGGGACACACAAGCAGGCAACTTTGAATCTGTAGCAAACTGTCGCTTCATGCTGCACGCGGAGGAACAAGACGAACTTTTCTGGGCTTTGCTGTTGGATGGCCACCCACTGCAGGATTTGAAGACGTTGAACCTAGAGGGATTTGATTGGAGTGCTCGCGATGACGAGGGGAAAACGCTGATGGTCGCTCACATTGATGGAGCGCTTGCTCGGCCCAAAGATAGGTTTGAGGATGCACTCAACTGTATTGAATGGCTGATCCGCTCTGGGGCACGCATCGGGCAAAAATGCACTGGTGGAGAAAGTCATGTCTGGAGGAAATCGGACAAAGCAGGCACAATTATCAAGGTGAAGTGCAATGGTCTCAATGCCATATCCTTTGTACAGGCATGGCGGGAAAAAATGGAGGAAAAGCTAACAGTTTGGAGAGATGAAGATGCTTTCCTGGTCAAGGTTATGTCGCGCTTTGCAGCAGCCTCCAACGCCATTGCCGCCGGACCCAGGGTGTCAGTCCCCGAGGGCATTACGGAGTTGTGGGAAAAGTCGTTGGCAGCAAAGGGCTCGCACGACTTGACCATGGAAACTGCTGATGGCATAGTGACCGCGCACGCCCACATGCTGAAAGCAGCATCTTCAGTGGTCGCTGCGATGCTGGAATCGCCCATGAAGGAAGGAAAGTTCCAATGGATTGAGGTTAAGGACACGTCTAGCAAGGCAGTGTCACTATTCGTGGAGATACTTGGCAACGCCATTTGGCCACAGTTCTCTTGTTTGTCAACAGCATGCGCTCTCAAACTCATATGTTGAAACTCATGCGGCTGCAACATGTTCAGGTACTATAGCCGACCGGCAGTTAGAATATGATCCAAAGGAATCCATGGATATGGATTGACGTCCAGATAATAGCATCCATACCAATTTCGTCCCCGGGGAAAATGCAGTTAGAATTCCAAAAATACAACAATAGTTAGAATATAAATAAGCAACATATATATATATATATATGTATGTATATATATATATATTGTACAGTATAGGATTATACACAAAATGAATGAACATTTTAGCATCGGCCGGTATGTGTCAGAAACCTCATGCATTTGAAGGTTAGTTTGTACAATATCACTAGTTTGCAATGTGGCTGGGAGAAACTGATGCAGATAGAATATAGAAACTAACCATAAGAAACATCTATCAGTCTCAATGCTTTGCAGATAAACAACTATATGAACAATTATGATAAACGACCAATATATAACAAATGTATTTTCCGAAGAAAAAAACACCTTTGGATGCAACCCATCCATCAACACGTGTGCACTTTCGGGTGTGTGCGCATGATGCAACGCACAGTACAATACGGGTAACGCGCACACACAGAGTAACCTGATACATATGAACAATAGTTTGTCCAATATCACTGGTTTGCACGAAGGTTGGACGAAAGTCATGCAGTTAGAATATGGGAATGAATGCAGGTTCGCAGTTCGCACCATCTCACTGCCATACTTCAAGCAGGCAATTGCAACCAAACAACCTGACAGTATACAAACTGAGACAATGCAACCCATGTGGTGCAACCCAAACATCAACACGTATTTGTTCAATACCACTGGTTTGCACGAAGGTTGGAAAAAAAACATGCACTTAGAATATGGGAAGTAATGCAGGTGCGCACCATCTCACAGCTTTATTTTTAAGCAGGCAGTTACAACCAAGCAACCTGCCAGTATGCAAATTGTATCAAATTGCAACTATGCAACCCATGTGGTCCAGCCCAAACATACACACTAGTTTGTCCAATGCCATTAGTTTGCAAAAGGTTGGAAGACAATCATGCAGGTGGAATGCGGGTAATAATGGAGGTTCATACCATTTCACTGCTATACTTCAAGCAGGCAGATACAACGAAACAACCTACCGCTATTCAAACTGTGACAATGCAACCCATGTGGTGTAACCCAAACATCAACACGTATTTGTTCAGTACCACTGGTTTGCACGAAGGTTGGAAGAAAATTCATGCAGTTAGAATATGGGAATGAATGCAGGTGCGCACCATCTCACAGTTTTTTTTTTTAAGCAGGCAGTTACAACCAAACAACCTGCCAGTATGCAAATTGTATCAAGTTGTGACAATCCAACCCATGCGGTCCAACCCAAACATACACACTAGTTTGTCCAATACCATTAGGTTGCAAAAGGTTGGAAGACAATCATGCAGGTGGAATGCGGGTAATTATGTGGTTCATACCATTTAACTGCTATATTTCAAGCAGGCAGATACAACGAAACAACCTACCGCTATTCAAACTGTGACAATGCAACCCATGTGGTGTAACCCAAACATCAACACGTATTTGTTCAGTACCACTGGTTTGCACGAAGGTTGGAAGAAAATTCATGCAGTTAGAATATGGGAATGAATGCAGATGCGCACCATCTCACAGTTTTTTTTTTTAAGCAGGCAGTTACAACCAAACAACCTGCCAGTATGCAAATTGTATCAAATTGCGACAATGCAACCCATGTGGTCCAACCCAAACATACACACTAGTTTGTCCAATACCATTAGTTTGCAAAAGGTGGGAAGACAATCATGCAGGTGGAATGCGGGTAATAATGGAGGTTCATGCCATTTCACTGCTATACTTCAAGCAGGCAGATACAACGAAACAACCTACCGCTATTCAAACTGTGACAATGCAACCCATGCGGTGTAACCCAAACATCAACACGTATTTGTTTAATAGCACTGGTTTGCACGAAGGTTGGAAGAAGTTCAATGCAACCCATGTGGTCCAACCCAAACATACACACTAGTCTGTCCAATACTACGGGTTTGCATCAAGGTTGGAAGAAAGTCATGCAGTTAGAATATGGGAATTGATGCAGGTTCGCTCCATCTCACTGCTATACTTTAAGCAAGCAATTGCAACCTAACAACCTACAAGTACCAGTATACAAACTGTGACAATGTAACCCATGTGGTGAACCCAAACATCAACATTTGCTTGTCCAATACTACTGGTTTGCATCAAGGTTGGAAGAAAGTCATGCAGTTAGAATATGGGAATTGATGCAGGTTCGCTCCATCTCACTGCTATACTTTAAGCAAGCAATTGCAACCTAACAACGTACAAGTACCAGTATACAAACTGTGACAATGCAACCCATGTGGTTAAACCCAAACATCAACATTTGCTTGTCCAGTACTACGGGTTTGCATCAAGGTTGGAAGAAAGTCATGCAGTTAGAATATGGGAATTGATGCAGGTTCGCTCCATCTCACTGCTATACTTTAAGCAGGCAATTTCAACCAAACAACCTGACAGCATACAAAATGAGACAATGCAACCCATGTGCCCATGTGGTGCAACCCAAACATCAGCACGTATTTGTTCAATACCACTGGTTTGCACGAAGGTTGGGAGAAAAACGTGCAATTAGAATATGGGAATGAATGCAGGTTCGCACCATCTCACAACTTTATTTCTAAGCAAGCAATTTCAACCAAACAACCTGCCAGTATACAAGTTGTGCGAAACTGTGCCAACGCAACCCATGTGGAGCAACCCAAATATCAACATTGCTTGTCCAATACTACGGGTTTGCATCAAGGTTGGAAGAAAGTCATGCAGTTAGAATATGGGAATTGATGCAGGTTCGCTCCATCTCACTGCTATACTTTAAGCTTGCAATGCCATACTTCAAGCAGGCAATTGCAACCAAACAACCTGACAGCATACAAACTGAGACAATGAAACCCATGTGGTGCAACCCAAACATCAGCACGTATTTGTTCAATACCACTGGTTTGCACGAAGGTTGGGAGAAAAACGTGCAATTAGAATATGGGAATGAATGCAGGTTCGCACCATCTCACAACTTTGTTTCTAAGCAGGCAATTTCAACCAAACAACCTGCCAGTATACAAGTTGTGCGAAACTGTGCCAACGCAACCCATGTGGAGCAACCCAGATATCAACATTGCTTATCCAATACTACGGGTTTGCATCAAGGTTGGAAGAAAGTCATGCAGTTAGAATATGGGAATTGATGCAGGTTCGCTCCATCTCACTGCTATACTTCAAGCAGGCAATTGCAACCAAACAACCTGACAGTATACAAACTGAGACTATGCAACCCATGTGGTGCAACCCAAACATCAGCACGTATTTGTTCAATACCACTGGTTTGCACGAAGGTTGGGAGAAAAACATGCAGTTAGAATATGGGAATGAATTCAGGTTCGCACCATCTCACAACTTTGTTTCTAAGCAGGCAATTTCAACCAAACAACCTGCCAGTATACAAGTTGTGCGAAACTGTGACAATGCAACCCATGTGGTTAAACCCAAACATCAACATTTGCTTGTCCAATACTACGGGTTTGCATCAAGGTTGGAAGAAAGTCATGCAGTTAGAATATGGGAATTGATGCAGGTTCGCTCCATCTCACTGCTATACTTTAAGCAAGCAATTGCAACCTAACAACCTACAAGTACCAGTATACAAACTGTGACAATGCAACCCATGTGGTGAAACCCAAACATCAACATTTGCTTGTCCAATACTACGGGTTTGCATCAAGGTTGGAAGAAAGTCATGCAGTTAGAATATGGGAATTGATGCAGGTTCGCTCCATCTCACTGCCATACTTCAAGCAGGCAATTTCAACCAAACAACCTGACAGTATACAAACTGAGACAATGCAACCCATGTGCCCATGTGGTGCAACCCAAACATCAGCACGTATTTGTTCAATACCACTGGTTTGCACGAAGGTTGGGAGAAAAACGTGCAATTAGAATATGGGAATGAATGCAGGTTCGCACCATCTCACAACTTTGTTTCTAAGCAGGCAATTTCAACCAAACAACCTGCCAGTATACAAGTTGTGCGAAACTGTGCCAACGCAACCCATGTGGAGCAACCCAAATATCAACATTGCTTGTCCAATACTACGGGTTTGCATCAAGGTTGGAAGAAAGTCATGCAGCTAGAATATGGGAATTGATGCAGGTTCGCTCCATCTCACTGCTATACTTTAAGCTTGCAATGCCATACTTCAAGCAGGCAATTGCAACCAAACAACCTGACAGCATACAAACTGAGACAATGAAACCCATGTGGTGCAACCCAAACATCAGCACGTATTTGTTCAATACCACTGGTTTGCACGAAGGTTGGGAGAAAAACGTGCAATTAGAATATGGGAATGAATGCAGGTTCGCACCATCTCACAACTTTGTTTCTAAGCAGGCAATTTCAACCAAACAACCTGCCAGTATACAAGTTGTGCGAAACTGTGCCAACGCAACCCATGTGGAGCAACCCAGATATCAACATTGCTTATCCAATACTACGGGTTTGCATCAAGGTTGGAAGAAAGTCATGCAGTTAGAATATGGGAATTGATGCAGGTTCGCTCCATCTCACTGCTATACTTCAAGCAGGCAATTGCAACCTAACAACCTGACAGTATACAAACTGAGACTATGCAACCCATGTGGTGCAACCCAAACATCAGCACGTATTTGTTCAATACCACTGGTTTGCACGAAGGTTGGGAGAAAAACATGCAGTTAAAATATGGGAATGAATTCAGGTTCGCACCATCTCACAACTTTGCTTCTAAGCAGGCAATTTCAACCAAACAACCTGCCAGTATACAAGTTGTGCGAAACTGTGCCAACGCAACCCATGTGGAGCAACCCAGATATCAACATTGCTTATCCAATACTACGGGTTTGCATCAAGGTTGGAAGAAAGTCATGCAGTTAGAATATGGGAATTGATGCAGGTTCGCTCCATCTCACTGCTATACTTCAAGCAGGCAATTGCAACCTAACAACCTACAAGTACCAGTATACAAACTGTGACAATGCAACCCATGTGGTTAAACCCAAACATCAACATTTGCTTGTCCAATACTACGGGTTTGCATCAAGGTTGGAAGAAAGTCATGCAGTTAGAATATGGGAATTGATGCAGGTTCGCTCCATCTCACTGCCATACTTCAAGCAGGCAATTGCAACCTAACAACCTACAAGTACCAGTATACAAACTGTGACAATGCAACCCATGTCGTGAAACGCAAACATCAACATTTGCTTGTCCAATACTACGGGTTTGCATCAAGGTTGGAAGAAAGTCATGCAGTTAGAATATGGGAATTGATGCAGGTTCGCTCCATATCACTGCTTGACTTTAAGCAAGCAATTGCAACCTAACAACCTACAAGTACCAGTATACAAACTGTGACAATGCAACCCATGTGGTGAACCCAAACATCAACATTTGCTTGTCCAATACTACTGGTTTGCATCAAGGTTGGAAGAAAGTCATGCAGTTAGAATATGGGAATTGATGCAGGTTCGCTCCATCTCACTGCTATACTTCAAGCAGGCAATTGCAACCAAACAACCTGACAGTATACAAACTGAGACAATGCAACCCATGTGCCCATGTGGTGCAACCCGAACATCAGCACGTATTTGTCCAATACCACTGGTTTGCACGAAGGTTGGGAGAAAAACGTGCAATTAGAATATGGGAATGAATGCAGGTTCGCACCATCTCACAACTTTGTTTCTAAGCAGGCAATTTCAACCAAACAACCTGCCAGTATACAAGTTGTGCGAAACTGTGCCAACGCAACCCATGTGGAGCAACCCAAATATCAACATTGCTTGTCCAATACTACGGGTTTGCATCAAGGTTGGAAGAAAGTCATGCAGTTAGAATATGGGAATTGATGCAGGTTCGCTCCATCTCACTGCCATACTTCAAGCAGCCAATTGCAACCAAACAACCTGACAGTATACAAACTGAGACAATGCAACCCATGTGGTGCAACCCAAACATCAGCACGTATTTGTTCAATACCACTGGTTTGCACGAAGGTTGGGAGCAAAACATAAATAAGCTTTTACACACAGCAACTTTTACACAACAAATCATTGAATTTATTCAATCCCAATGGCTATTGTTATGGTTTACCGTATCAGTATGCCTTGGCTGTGCACTTTGGAGTGCGTGCACACGATGAGATGCACAGTACAATATGGGGCAATACACTACACGCATTGTACAGCACATCATGAAATCAAAGGCATCGATCGCAGGAAGAAAAATACTGTAAACAACTGGAAGGGAAGTCGGTGAGCAAGGTTTTGGATGGTTCGGGATATTCTAACTGCAGTTGGTTTTTTCCAAAATCCCATATTCTAACTATAAGATTTGTTTTTATGATTTTAGAAAATTCTATCTATTTTACAAAAAAATCCACATTCTAACTGCCAGTCGGTTCCTGTATGCCCTCCTGTTTCAGACCTATGCGAGCCTTTGCCCCTTGTGCCACCCCCAGGATCTTGTACACCTGTTCAGTGCCAGATGAGCTTGACCACCAATCTGCTTTGCATGCTTTGGACTTGGCTCATCGCTGGCAAGTGGATGTGGTGGTCGCGATCTTGAGCGATCTATTGGCAGGTGTCGGAGCTGGCAATTTCGGAGTCAATCAATGGATGGGACAACTTGCCGTATATGTAGTTGAGAGTTGTTGTAGTTTGCCCAATTCGACCGCTTTTAGTTTTTCAAGTTTGATTTTTCTGGGAATAACCACGGAGGTATGATCACGGACGAAAGCTTTGCGGTGATTGCAGAGCATGCCATTCTCAAGGCCGGCTGTAAAACAATCATCAAGCAAACTCAGCAACTCCCAAGATAGGGTCAGGCTCTTTGTTTGTATTTGTTCGGACATGAAGCAGGATCAGCGAAGACTTATTTCTGTCTTGATTGCCAACAAGCTTCTAGGGTCCATGCCAACCAACATATTTGATCATTAGACTTAGAGTTTTAAAGCTACTATTTTGTTGGCAGATGTTGGCAGATTGAGCACCTTTTGTAGAGCCATCATCGCTTCTCCTTTCAGAAGTGCTTTGGGAGAAAGTCAGGGCCTTGAAAGATTGAAAGCCGCTATCCTGCGCTTCGGGGCTGAATCCAAGAAGGTGCAGGCAGGCTTGTCTGGCCACGCGTTGTAACTGCAGAAAAAAACTTGTCTCAAAACAGGTGCCTCAAACCTCATGAAGCCGCCAAAATCTGAGGAACATATTGATCTGCGAAAATCACCAAAGTGTACCCTCTGGTAAACTAACATAACTATGGAAAATCACCATTTTTAATGGGAAAAATCATTTATAAATGGCCATTTTCCATAGTTTTTTGTTAAATTACCAGAGGGTATCTGCAAGGTTTCTTCACCTCGACACCAGAAAGCCTTGCAACGCCAGGCTGATTTGAAAGCCGGCCGCCTCCCCGGTGTGGCGCAACTCTTCCCGTCGAAACCTTCGAAAAGCAACGAGCCAAAACCCAAGCGCCGTCGCGTATGACACGGCGTTGCTGGAGGCTATGGCTATGGGTTGGCGGTTTCATGGATGAAACCTGATGAAATGGTGAAGAGTTGCCGTTGTGATTGTTTGGTTTGGTGGGTTGGAAGTTCCATGTGGGTTGAGTATGTTGATTGGTTTGTCCCTCGACTGCTTGTCATCCTATTTCATTGGTTGGTAGTTGAGTATTTAATTTGTCGTGATAGCGTGTGTGCCGATCGTCCTGATATGTAGCTGGGTGCAGTTGTGTCGTCTTTCGCATTCCCTAGAAGTTCAGCTTTAAAATTGAGACTGACTGTCGGGCGGGTGGATTGTCTTCAGCCAGTGTAGGACCAGACCCCTGGTAAATAATTCATCTCTTCTGGCACGGTAGGCCGTCTTAGATCTGATCTTGGTGTTCCACATTGCGGTTTCTATGAGTCCGGTTTCTCTCATGGGACATGCTGTTTGTACAGTTGATATAGCCAGTGGCCACTTGGGGAAAAGTAGGTGTGCATTTTGAGCTGGGGATGGCTGAGTTCGGCATATCAGATCCAAACCTTGTGATCACAACTTCCAGTCGCATTCTTCCATTTTTTGAAGAGTTTCGAATCACCTGTGCCAGACCCACATAGGGGATGCCATCGTGAGCAAAAGGCTCATTCCCAGACTGCGCTGTGAGTCGGCCTTTGGTGCGGTTGAACAAGTTGATCAAGACTTGCTGCTGCAACTTCAAGTCACTACTTCTGATGTCATACTTCCTTCGGGCTTTTGGATGTTTTGGCTTCAAGACTGAGAACCAGTCCAACTTGGTCATAATTATCGAGTTGCCCCCTGACTAGCCTCCTCCTCATATAGCCCTTGCAAAGCAATGAGGCTTCTATCACCGGTTGATACCGCCCTGAGGTCCATCATTCTGGGTAGCCTGGCATCCTTCCGACCTGGGCTCGCAGCTCCCAGCTAGGTTCGGAAAAATAGAGCCCGAGACATTTGAGGAACAGCTTGTTTTATCTCAAATGATTTCTGGATATTTCTGGAATACTTTGTCCCGGCCAGCTCTTAAGCTTGCACTTTTCCCATATTTCGACCTCATATCCCAATTAAATATAATTAAACGCTATAACGAAATCGTCCTGAGGGCTAGTTGCATTTAATTGCCATATGCAACAGTTCAGTTCCACAGTCAGCGCACAGCTTGTTGCGGCTCTGATGGCGCCAGCGGAACTTCTCTTGGCTTTGCTGGAATATAGCCATCCGCTCGAGGACTTGAAGAAGATTGACCTCGAAGGGTTCAATTGGAGCACCCGCTTTGATACTGGACAGACCCTGTTGGTCCGTTGCATTCGCAACGCATTGGTGCTGCCCGAAGAAAAGAAGGGAGAACGTCTCAAGATCATTGATTGGCTGATCGGTTCTGGGGCGAGCATTGAACAAGCATGCACTGGTGGGCAATCGATATATTGCTGGTCCAGCAAGCCGGAAATAAAAGAAATCAAGGTGCAGTGCAAAGATCTCAGCGCAATTGCATATGTGCGGGTACTGCGTGGACTGATGCGAGAAAATCTGGAACACTGGAAGGCTCAAGATGATTTCCTGGCCCAGGTTCTGTCGCTCTTTGCAGCGTCCAGCCCAAGTGCTTCCCGACATAGAGTGCCGATCGATGAGGGCATAGCTGAGCTGTGGGAGAAGTCTTTGGCTGCAAAGGAGTCGCATGACTTGACCATTGAAACTGCAGATGGGCTGGTGACCGCGCATGCTCACATGCTGAAAGCAGCGTCGGCCGTGGTCACTGCGATGCTGGACTCGCCCATGAAGGAAGGGAAAGCCCAACGCATTGAGGTGAAAGATGCATCCAGCAAGGCGGTGTCACTCTTCCTGGAGATGCTTGTCGGTCAATTTTTGATCACGCATGTTTGTTTTCATCATCATAGCACTCACTCCCTGACTGGTCCAAGTTCCTGTTTAAGACCTTGGCTGTGCCCAGGATCTTGTACACCTCTTCAGTGCCAGATGAGCTTGACCACCAGACAGCTTTGCATGCTTTGGATGTGGCTCATCGCTGGCAAGCGCAGGTGGTGGTGGTGATTCTGACCAACTTGCTGACAGGAGCCGGAGCTAGTCCAGCGGGTAAGATATTAATTGGGTTCTAACGTCCCTAAAAGCTGAAGTCCCAAACATGCCCATTACTTGCGTATGTATCTCATGTGGTAGGAGGTTATATGATAACCCTTATGCTACTGAGCTATTTCCCACACAAAACTGGTGATTTTCACCACGATTCTTACCCACTTAGTAGCCAAGATGCACATCCAAGTATGCCCGCAACTGACAGATTGTCCTTTTCTGTTCAAACACCAGCGGAGGTATGATCACGGACGAGAGTTGGGCAGCAATCGCAGAACATGCTGTGCTGAAGGTGAGCCAATGCTTTTGGAAACGGTTGCTGTTTGGGCAGGGTAAATTCTTTCAGTAAACATTACTTCAGTGTGCATCCCAGTATGTAGTTTATGGATGTTTATGGATGTTTATGGATGTATCAACCATTTTAATTGGGTGCTGCTTATCCCTGGTAAATCTGGCATACACAATGGTTATTAGTTATTATTATTATTAGTTATTATTATTATTAGTTATTATTATTATGAACTACATACCAGCTGACCCATCTGGAACGCACCAGGGCCACAAGAGAAACTGCTTCAGTCTGCTGCCCAGCGATTCGGGGCTGCATCTCCAGCCAGGCCAGGCATGGCCAGGCGGCCAGGCCACAAGAGGAACCACTAGAACTGCCAAACATTATACCAATAGGAATGGTTGTTACATGGGTTTTATACTGGGAAAACCATAGGAAAACCATAGGAAAACCATAGGAAAATGGAGGTTTACCCTCTGGTAATTTATCATAGCGAACTGGAAAGATCCACCATTTTATAGCTGGGAAAAAATCCACTATTTCTATGGTCATTTTCAATAGCTACGTTTGACATAACCAGAGGGTATAGTAATGTCGTGTATTTTCAACTATATATCGCACACACACACACCCACACATATAGTATACACACTATATTTCTGGTAATCAAACATGGCACATGAAAATCTTCTATCAACCAGGGTTTGAATGGGAACATAGATCATCAATTTCCGTGTCTGATTTCCTGAGGGTAAATGTCCCACCTTAGTAAAAGCAAACCTCAACTCCCTCAACTCCTCTCCACCAGGCTAACCTTGCGGCTGGCCGCCTCCCTGCTGTCGTCGCGCAACTCTTCCCTGCATCGCAGCCATCGAAGTCCAACGAGCCGAAGCCCAAGCGCCGCCGCGTGTGACGCTGCCGCGCTGAAGGCGATGCCAGGCTGATGTCCGTTTGTCGAGGCTCCGGCCTGATTCTGCAGCAGAATGCCAATATTTCTTGAACGTTTCGCTTCAAACTGTCGTTAAAGACTTGCTTCCGTTTGGTTGTGGTCCGCTTGTTTGATGCAAATGATGGGGCAGGCCCTTAGACTAGATCTTGATGGAAGCGTTCTTTGCAAGTAGCTGGGGCTCACCGGATATGCAGCACAGTCCTGTGTCAGTCAGGTCCTTCCAGCGAAAGAACTCGTTCCCGTCACAGCTTAGTCCGTGCAGCCTGGCTCGAAAACACCCAAGTCATGTGGCTCCAGTTCCCTGTGCATCACACCAACGGAATCTAAAGGCCATATCATGCTGCATTTGAGTCTGTTTATCCAAATATTCGTTTGCATGTTTATCATCAGATTTGAGGATATGCTTCATTCCGAGATATCACTGGCACAACCCCCCTAGGGGTTGTAAAGAGGTGAGGCATGCTACTGCAACGATTCAGTGCTTGAGGATTTTTTGTCTCCGTGTTTTGTTGGTCTTAGCGACTTTCCTTAGATGCCGACCTTTCTGGGTCTGATGAATTTGGGGACAGCCGGACAGCTCGTTTTGCTGCAGGCTGCGTAGATTTTCAGTGGACCAGAATTGGGATTCAGGATGTTTCAGCGTTGATTCGCACAAAGATTATGTAAAGACAGGATCCCCTTGTGGCCAGAGGTTGGGAGCACAGGATGACTTATCATGACTTATTCCTGCATTCCAGTTCTTCAGACCATAGGGGTGGGCCCTAATCAGCGCCAAGACATTTGAATGTTTTGGGTAAAGCATCACTTTGTCAACTTGCTGGCGCTTTCTGGCTTAGAGCTGCATTCTTTCCGAATATTGGTGCATCAATGGTTTTTGGGGGCTAAGGACGGTGAGAAAGATAAGTATTGAAGAACAACAAGACCATCATATTTCATTGTCATACTTCATCAGATTTTAACATTACACATCAGCCAACCCATCCACTGGGGCCAAAGTTGGCCTGGTAAGCACTAGTCAAAGCTGTTGCCACTGGTTTGATGGCGCATCGGGAGCTTTTCTTCGCGTTTCTGGAAGATGCCTGTCGATTGGAGGATTTGAAGTTGGTGAATCTAGAAGGATTTGATTGGAGTTCGCGGACCGAATCTGGAATGACTTTGATTCGCATCCACCAAGCACTCGAGGATTCCGCCACTTTTAAGGATGCAATGAAGACCATTGAATGGCTCATTGCTTCCGGGGCTAGCAGCACACAAACATGCACTGGTGGGCAATCCCATTATTACTGGCCATCGAAGCCCGACTTACCAAGAGTCACTGTGCAATGCAAAGGTCGCAGTGTGATTTCATATGTGCGTGCATTGCAGCAGGAGATGCGCAAAAACCTGAAAGAATGGAGAGTTCAAGAGGCTTTCCTGGCCCAGGTCTTGCATCCTTTGCAGCAGCTTCCAGCCAAAGTGTCACTGGACCTAGAGTGCCGATCGATGAGGGCATAGCTGAGCTGTGGGAGAAGTCTCTGGCTGCAAAGGAGTCGCATGACTTGACCATTGAAACTGCAGATGGGCTGGTGACCGCGCATGCTCACATGCTGAAAGCAGCATCATCCGTGGTCGCTGCAATGTTGGCATCGCCCATGAAGGAAGGGCAAGCCCAACGCATTGAGGTCAAAGATGCAGCCAGCAACGCGGTGTCACTCTTCCTGGAGATGCTTGGCGGATGTGTTTGGTATAAGTAGGGGTTGTTTCGTGTTTATCCACAGCACCTCCAAGTGGTCCGAAGTGCTGAGGCTGGAGTCTCCCCACCAAGACATTCATTGTGCTGCAAACACGTTTCATCACGTTTCCAGGATGGGGTCCATGTACCACTGCTGACTTGTACATCAGGATTTTGTACACTTGTTCAGTGCAAGACGAGCTTGACCACCAGACTGCTTTGCACGCTTTGGACTTGGCTCATCGCTGGCAAGTGGATGTGGTGGTCGCGATCTTGACAGATCTACTGGCAGGTGCTCAAGCTGCGTTACATTAGTGCGGCAGTTTTCAATGAGTGTTTCCTTGATGTTATAGACCCGTTTTGTTCTCGGTCAACTCAACAGACGCGGATGACTACCTCCTTCCCGCAACAGACAAGTTTTCGATTTCTGATCTTTCTCGTTTCTGGGAGCAACCGAGGTATGATCACCGATGACAGCTTCTCCCCCATTGCGGAGCATGCCGTCCTCAAGGCCAGCCGTGACTGACATGAACATCTCACGTATCCACAGGCACGGCTCCCAAGCTAATCTTCGAAGCCTTTAGGTCCATCCGATCCATCCTTTTGAACGGCTGAAAAGGGTCATCCATCCATCCATGATCACTAGCTGTTTCGATCTTCTGGGTATTGTTGGAACGCAGTGCCAAGGGGAAGCTTTCTGCTTTAAATTGGTCAATGATTGTGGCTGCTGTTTCGGTGGCAAACGTCAGGGCCTTGAAAGGCTGAAGGCCGCTGCCCAGCGCTTTGGGGCTGAGTCCAAGAAAGTGCAGGCTGGCCGGGCTAGCGACCTGCAACATCTGTCCGGAATGGCTCATTGGGCCGGTTCAGATCTATCCAGCTGCAACGCCCCTGAAATATCCTGAAAGCACAATCCATCCAGATACTTCGGGGTGCAGTTCCAATAATATACTGTAATCAATGATAATAAGTGGGTTATGTAACTATAGTTGTAGGAATTAGATCCCAGCTTATGGAGGTCCTTATACGAACCTCAACAGCACCCCCAGTGTCCTCCATGGCGAGGCGGATCTCAAAGGCGGCCGCCTCCCTGCTGTCGTCGCGCAACTTTTCCCTACGGCCTCGCAGCCATCGAAGCCGAACGAACCGAAGCTCAAGCGCCGCCGCGTGTGACGCTGCGCTGCTGAAGGCAATGGGTTGGCGGCGTCAGGGATGGAACCTCCTTTAAATGGGCATTTAAATGGGACAATCCCTTACCTACAATTTTTTCATGAGGATCCATGTGGGTTCATTGTATGTTGCTTGGTTCTTTTCTTGGTTGGTCGCCTATTTGATCAAATGTTTTCCTCTTGGGTCTCTTTGTTGGTCGTTTAGTCATGTGCTTCCTAGCTCTTCCTGGCTATCGCGAACTTTTCGCTATGCATGCACTCTGTTTGTGAATGATGTGTGCTGTAACCCACCCTCAACCAGGTCTTTCTGGCGAGTAAAGGACTCGTTGCCGGGCAAGTCGCGAGTAAGCGCTTTGTTTTGGTCGCATCGCTCAAAACAAGCAAAGTGCAGGTTCTCCATGCAGGTTTGGGGATATGCATTTTCAATCAAGTCTTTGACAGGGTATCATCTCTCTGCAGGGTCGTGAAGCTTTCAGGGACCCTGGTAGTGCATAATCATCTTGCCTTACTGGATCACCACCACGACGATTGACGAACCCTTTCTATCGTTTCTTGATATCCGGTCAGATGTGGATTGCAAGTGTTCATGAGCCATGACACCAAGCCCAGCCTGCGTTTTGCGTCGAACGTCTGAGTCATTTGCACATGGGGTGGGCCAATCTGCTAGAGCGGAATTGCCAGCCATCGGAATCCAATTGAAGATTCGCTGGGTCCATGCCTGCTGGCTCAAAGCTCCTGCCAGGGAAACAGGTCAAACAGGTCCCTAAAGACATGTGAAGGGCAGCACCATCATGATATCACCTGCAGCTTTCAAGTGTCAATGTGTCAACTAGCACAGAGTGCAACCAGGATCAGTAGGAGAACAGTATCAGTAGCACACATTCACCATCAAGGCTTGTGTCGAACGTGCGCCTGCAATTGGGCACCGCTTTAGCTGTCATGGTACAAACTCAAACGCAGCTTTTCTTGGCTTTTTTGGAGGATGGCTACCCTTTGGAGGATTTGAAGCAATTGAACCTGGAAGGATTCGATTGGAGCTGCCGCGCGGGGGATGGACGAACACTTTTGGTGGTTCGTATTCACAAAGCACTTGAAGATGCTACAGCCTTTGCCGATGCACTCAGTGCCATTGAATGGCTGATCCATTCCGGGGCAAGCATTGAACAAGAGTGCACTGGTGGGCACTCAACTTGGTTTTGGGCGCAAAAACCAGAAGTACCACATGTCACTGTGGATTGCAAGGGTCACAATACCATTTCATATGTGCGGACATTGCAGCAGAAGATGCGGGAACATCTGTCAGAATGGAAAGTTCAGGAGGGTTTTCTGGTCAGGGTTATGAAAACCATCGCAGTTGCGTCGGGCCAAAGGGCCGCTGGACCTAGAGTGTCAGTCCACGAGGGCATCACAGAGCTGTGGGTAAAGTCTTTGGCAGCAAAGCATTCGCATGACCTGACAATCGAAACTGCTGATGGGCTTGTGACCGCTCATGCTCACTTTCTCAAAACAGCATCCTCCGTGGTCACCGCGATGCTGGAGTCGCCCATGAAGGAAGGGAAAGCCCAACGCATTGAGGTGAAGGACACGTCCAGCAAAGCTGTGTCACTCTTCATGGAGATGCTCGGCTGTTTGAGTCTTTAGCTGGCTTCTTAGTTCCAAGGACTGTGAGGATGACATTTATACACATGTACAGCAAAACAAACAATTGTGCATAAACACTTCCTAGGGATACCCCTGCATGTGCTCATGATGTTGTTGCAAAAATGCTTAAGATCTGTAAGTTAAAGTTGCTTCTGGTGTTGGCCTGGTACTTCCCGCCCTTTTTTGCACCGCCGAGGATCTTGTACACCTGTTCTGCACAAGCAGAGCCAGACCACGAAACTGCCTTGGGTGCTTTGGACTTGGCTCATCGCTGGCAAGTGGAGGTGGTGGTCGAGATCTTGATCGATCTACTGGCAGGCACCCACCTACTGACTGGTGCCTAGGATGGCAATTGCAAAACAAGTCCAGAAGGTGGGAAGTGGATTGGACACGAGTAGAAAAAATATACATAAGTCTTGAGAGAGGCTTGCAGTCCCTGAGCTACGTTTTCTATTTTGTCGGTGTGAACTGAGGTATGATCACCGATGAAAGCTTTGTAGCAATCACGGAGGAGGCTGTTCTCAAGGCGAGTCGGAGTGCAGTTACAGCGCCTAGGGAGGATCTAATCTAATGATATCCAACGTGCGAAAATCCATAGCGGCGATGTGACAGGGGGATTTCTTCCATTTTTCTTCCATTGCCTGAGACTTCTTAACTTGGAGGCAGCACCAAAGCAAGACATTCGTCTCTTTTCCGCCTACCAAATTTCGTCTCAAGCGAACTCCTGAACGCCCATACCGACTTTCAGTGCATCAGTGGCTTTGGTGAACGGCAGGGCCTGGAAAGATTGAAGACCGCTGCCCAGCGCTTTGGGGCTGAGTCTCAAAAAGTGCAGGCCAACTGGTCAGAACTGGTCAGCACTGGTCAGCCTGGTTCCAACGTTTTTCAGATTGGTCAGCATTGAGGGCCTTGCAGGTCTGTTTAATCCCATTTCCAAAAACAAGTGAAGAGATAGAAAAGCCTAGAGAACATTCAAACGGATAGCCAGAACGCATGAACAGAAAATCTCCATCCTCACCTTTACACGGCATAAATGTCGATCTATACCTTACATTTTTTGCATGTTGAAAATACCCAAACCCTTCAGGATGGCAGCCCGCTCCACCAGGCAGATCTCAAGGCTGACCGCCTCCCTGCTGCCGTGGCGCAGCTCTTCCACGGATCGAAACCATCGAAGCCCAGCGAATCGACGCCCAAGCGCCGCCGCATGTGAGCGACGCCCTGGTGGCGATGAAGGCAGCGAGCGGTTGCTGAAAACAAGCCCTGGCAGCTGCAAGTCACGTACATCTTCTGCTGTCATACAGACATGTGCTCAAAGTTTGAAAGTTTGAATTCTCGAATTGTCCATTTCGGATTTTGGATCTTCATCACTGGGCTTAGGCCCAGTGCATTCTCAGTGCAATATGTGTCGACGGTGCCCCTGACAGATCTCCCCCTTGCACTGTTTATAGGTACCAGGTGGAAGCCTCTCCCCAACATCCATGGTTCCATGTTGGATTGGTTTGTGGGGCCGGTGAGATTTTGACGAGCAGGTTTTAGTGTGACTTTGTTTTTGTGTTGTTCAGAATTTCTCCTTGCAATTCATTTATGGCTCCTCCTCCCAAGCCGCGACCTATAGTGATCACCAGGCATGGTACCATGCCCCTGCATTCCAGCCCTAGCTTATCCTCTTTGTTGTTGATGTTATTGTATAAGCCTATGTCCCAAAATGGGCAACTCTGAAATCATCTTATTTTGTTTATTTCAATTGGGGACGGCAACCGTCTTGGAGCACACCAATTTTCAGAAACACCAGTATGCCAGGCTGATGCTAATCTCCTTTTGAAGCCAACAGCCAGACTGGCAGTATTGGCTTGTGCCCTTTGGCTCAAAATTCTGTTGAAAAGTGTAGGGACAAAAGAATGGATGAAGACCCGCAAGGAATGGGATCACCAAATATCGCCAAATCACTTGGACACAGTGTTTCACGCACTGCAGAGTTGCAGTTTTCATATATTCCGACATCACACCCCAGTTAAACTTCAACGGTTCGTTTCCAGAGTTTCCAGAGTCAACCCATTCACAGTGCTTGCAGAAGAAGTTTGACCGGCAGAGGCCAGTGCCTCGTTTTGGCTCACATGGCGCAGACACAGCTTTTCTGGATTTTTCTGGAAGATTGCTACAGTGTGGAGGCTTTAAAGAAGTTGAATCTGGAAGGTTTTGATTGGAGCTCCCGCCATGAGACTGGACAGACCCTGCTGGTGCGTTGTATTCACAAAGCAATGACGCAGCTAACAGACAAATCCGGGAATACACTTGAGACCATCGAGTGGCTGATTCGTTCTGGGGCAAGCATGGAGCAAAAATGCACTGGTGGGAAATCAAACTTTGGCTTGACCGAAAAACCAGAACAACCATGCATCAGGGTGGAGTGTAGGGGCCACAATGCGATTTCATACGTATGGGCAGTGCAGCGGGGCATGAGACAAAATCTGGAACACTGGAATTATGCAGCGTCGTTTCTGACGAAGATTCTGGAAACTTTTGCGGAGGCTTCCGTCCAAAAAAGTCCCGCTCGCCCAAGGGTGTCCATCGATGCGGGTATCGCAGGGTTATGGGAAAAGTCTTTGGCGGCAAAGGAATCGCACGACTTGACCATTGAAACTGCTGATGGCGTGGTCACAGCACATGCTCACATGCTGAAAGCGGCGTCTTCTGTGGTCGCAGCGATGTTGGAATCACCCTGTCACTCTTCCTGGAGATACTTGGCGTGGTCAGTCGGTACGTGAACAATCTTGTTTTTATATATATATATATAATTAGTTACAATAGCGTGTGTAGGCCCACACGTACGGTTAGAGTTTCCCACCAGAAACTCAATGGTGCTTGCAACTCATGGCTGCTGGTGCCCTTTTTTTCTGCCCATTGCGGCCCTCAGGATCCTGTACACCTGTTCAGTGCAAGAAGAGCTTGACCACCAAACTGCTTTGTGTGCTTTGGACTTGGCTCATCGCTGGCAAGTGGATGTGATGATCGCCATTTTGACAGATCTACTGGCAGGTGCCGATGTCATTTGTAACAACAGGTCCAAATAGTGGATTTTAGATTCTATGTTACAGGGTTCTTGTCACAAATCAAGTTTGAATCCAAATGAATCCATGATTTCCGTCTCTGTTTACATAGGCGTTTCTAGGAGCAAAGACGGAGGTATGATGACCGATGAAAGCTTTGCATCGATTGGGGAGCATGCCGTGCTGAAGGCTGGCGCATAAAGTTGATGGTAAAGGGAGATCATCTATTGTCTAGACCAGAGAAGCAAACAACTGGCCACCAAGTCTTCCACTTACCCAGTTGCTGTTGCAATGCATTTGGTCATTGACGGAACGTATTACCCAGAGCGTTTTTCGCAGACATTTCTTCATTTCTATTCATTTGTTCCGTCAGTATTTGGGCGAATGTCAGGGCCTACAGAAAGCATATCTTCCGTCCAGCGGTGGCCAAGCTTTTTGTTGACATTTGACAGAGCTGGCCGCTTGTTTGGCGAGTTCAATCTTACCATACTCCCTTTGAAGTGTCAGGGCCTTGAAAGGCTGAAGGCTGCTGCCCAGCGCTTTGGGGCCGAATCCAAGAAGGTGCAGGCTGGCTGGATGCTGGTTGGATGGTCCAGGTATGGTTACCAGAAAGACATTGAGGGAAGGTGGGATAGGACAACTGCATACGAAACTCGCGCAGGATTTGGGGGAATTTCGTGAACAATCGTGAGCATGTTTGCCTTCCAAACTTCAGAAGTACCTCACGCCACACGAAGGATTTCATCGAGTCACCAATGTCAGAGATATGTCATGCTTCAACCACCTCTCAGCCATCATCAAACAACCCAAGCCTCCTCCTAGATGACCAGGCTGATCTCAAGGCTGGTCGCCTCCCAGCTGCTGCTGCGCAGCTCTTCCCGGCATCGAAGCAAGCGAAGTCGAAGGAGCCGAAGCCCAAGCGCCGCCGCGTGTGAGGGCCCAGGTGCAGCGCTCAAGGCATCTCAGGGCAGTGGTTGTCATATTTTTTTTAAGCGGGTATGTCATGGTGGATACGAAGGCAGTGGTTGATGCTATGTTTTCTTTCAATGATTTTCGATGATTGGTGCGGTGATCTGTGGGCATTGGTTTGTTGCTTTGGTGATGTTACGGATTCCATTGCCTAAGGGTGCTGCTGCCACTGTGCTTTGCCTCGATGCGAGCCAGGTTTTTCAGAAGATCATTGGATCCGTTTGGGGTATATCATGGTATATCAAAAATGGCAGGTTTCCACTTGCAGAGAAGCAGGTCCCAAATTTCCGGCGGATATGGCAGAGCTCAACATATCAGATCGAATCCAAGCCTTGTGAAAACAAACTAGACGCACTCATTCGGAACCGCCTCTGCCAGACTCACATAGGAGCTGCCATTGTGATCCAAAGGCTCATTCTTAGAATACGGCATCAGTAAGCGCCTAGTGCGATCGACAAGGATTGACTCGCACATTCCAGGCTTTTGATTGTTCCTGGGTACATAGTGAATTTCCATCGACAAGGTTGCTCAAAACAAGACCTCAAGATTGTACATCATGCACGTGCGCTGCTGTCATACCGAATTCACCATTTGGGTCTTTTGATCATGAGATTCCCCGCAATGTTGACAATTATCGATTGCTGCGGAGGCTGTTGGAAAAGCTTTCTTGCACGGAACTGTGTATGCGTCCTCGGTCGGTAGAACATGGTAGAACCTCCTTTCGGAGGACAGTTGTCATCGGATTCTGCTGGGTCACACCGAGGCTCATCCTCTCATGCAGTGTCCATTGCTCCTTTTGGCCCACAGCTCACAGTTGACATTTCCATAGAAAAATCGCAGTTCACCACCACATCACCAGGACACATCGTGCCAGTGTCTGCAAAAGTTTGACTGATAGGGATAGGGAATAGGGATCACTGATAATCTTCAGTTTTTTTGTGTTTGTGCCAATCCGGGAAGAGGCTGGCTTGATTTTGGCTCAGATGGCGCGGATAGAGCTTTTCTGGATTTTTCTGGATGACTTCTACTCTGTGGAGGCTTTGAAGAAGTTGAACCTGGAAGGATTTGATTGGAGCTCCCGCCATGCGGGGGGACAGACTATATTGGTCCGTCATGTTCGCAACACACTCGGGCAACCTGCAGAGAAATTTGTGGATGGACTTGAAACTCTTGACTGGCTGATCCGTTCTGGCGCGAGCATTGAGCAAACATGTACTCGCGGGGAATTCTCCTTCGGATGGACAGATTTGCCGGACGTGCCACCTGTCAGTCTGCAGGTGGAAGGTCTCAATGCCATTTCATTTGCCCGGGCATTGCAGAAGAAGATGCGGGAAACGCTCGAACACTGGAAAGATGAAGAAGCCTTCTTGGCCAAGGTTCTGGAGTCTCTTGCGGAAGCTTTCACCCAGTCCGGCCCAAATGCTGCTGGACCAAGAGTGTCAATCCACGAGGGCATTGCAGAGTTGTGGGAAAAGTCTCTGGCAGCAAAGGATTCCCATGACTTGACCATAGAAACTGCTGATGGCGTGGTGACTGCACACGCTCACATGCTGAAAGCAGCATCCTTAGTGGTCAGAGCGATGTTGGAATCGCCCATGAAGGAAGGGAAAACCCAACGCATTGAGATCAAGGACATGTCCAGCAAGGCTGTGTCACTCTTCTTGGAGATACTCGGCGGTTTTCTGGCCTCAAGACCTTGAAGGGAGGAACGCTTTGTAGCTGCTCTAAATTGGTATGAAGTTCGAGGAGTTGTTTGTATTTCGTACGAATTGGGCTTGTCCCATAATGGGGGAAACCATGGGATACCGCAAAAATGGCAATTTTTATGGAGAAAATGTGGGAAAATGGTAGCAACCAACTAAATCATGCTGTTTCAAAATGTTTGAGAACGTGATGGCAGCATAGCGCTGCTTAGTGCATGCTTCCTGGGGATGAATCGTGAAATGGCTCCTAAGCTAGTCAGTCAGGGTTTCCCATTATCGAACTCATGATGATGTTCGGACAGATATTTTGAGTTGCCACTCTCTGGAAACTCGATCTTGAGGATTTTATACACCTGCTCAGCGCAAGACGAGCCAGACTGCGAGACTGCGCTGCATGCTCTGGATTTGGCGCATCGCTGGCAAGTGGAAGTGGTGGTCGCGATCTTGACCGATTTGCTGACAGGTGCCTAAGATGCAAAAAATTGGAGGAAGTCCAGGAGCAGAAAAGCACTTCCCCCTACATCACAGAACGTTCCTTCCACCAAATAAGGTACAAATACAAATCCTCACTTGCACTGGCCAGACTTGTTCATTCCCCTGTCGGTGTTTCTGGGAGCAGCAACGGAGGTATGATCACGGATGCTAGCTTTGAAACCATCGCGGAACATGCCCCTCTCAAGGCGAATATCGCGAAGCATACGGGTGATGAAACACAGGAGTGTTGTGAAATGTTGTGAAATTGGTCATGTATGGAGGCACCATTGAGGCACCACCAAAAAGGAAACCCGTCATCCTTTTCTCTCCTACTTGTTTGTAACTTCGTCCAAATTCTGCATAATTATTCATTTGTCGGTGTGGTTGGTCATTTGAAATGCTCATCGTGCCTATGTCCTTTGTGCGTGCAGCTGTGGCTTTGGTGTTCACATCAGGGCCTTGAAAGATTGAAGACTGCTGCCCAGCGATTTGGGACGGAATCAAAGAAGGTGCAGGCCAACTGGGCGGAGCTGGTCTGATGGTCAGTTGTTCAGATGGGGACAAGGAATGTCATTGATTCAGGGCGATGGAAGTTTGGTTACCTCTTGTTTCCTAGACAGCTGTAGTGGCATTAAGACATGCAAGACTCACTGTAAGACCCGGGAAAGTCTAAAAACAATTCAAGTGGATGGCCCAAATCCCTTTTAAAACGCACCTCGAACTCCCCAGATATCTCCAGATGCCAGGCCGATCTCAGAGCCGGCCGCCTCCCTGCCGTGGCACAGCTCTTCCACGGTGGATCGCCATCGAAGCCGAACGAGCCGAAATCCAAGCGCCGTCGCATGTGAGCGACGCTGCGGTGGTGATGAAGGATGCTGAAGGCAGGGCCCCAGGGGGCCGTTGTGGGTCACATGGATCAAAAAACACCAGCTGATAGCCGTCCTCTTTCAGAAGAGGGGACCACCATTCTTTTTCGAGGGTTTGTTGATTTGTTGGATCTCATTCATGCGCGTTGAACAGATTTGTTTTTGCCAATGGCTTCTGTTTTGAAGAAGTGGTGGAGGACCAGGGAGGACCAAACCTCCACGAGACATTTGTTTTCATGAATCTGGTGGGATAGGCCGCAGCAGATTTATATTTTTCTTTGAGACTTGAGGGGCTGTGTTTGTAAACTGGCTTTGGCTCACTGCATGTTAGGTCTCACCTTGATTTGACCAGGTTTCAGAGAAAGCTTGGAGCTTCTGTGTGAAGATCGCCTTGTCAGACAGGGGTAGATGGCCCGTGAGCCAAAGGCTCATTTATGCTCATTCCCAGAACGCACCAAGAATCGGCGCTTCGTGCGATTGACAAGGTTGCTCAAAACAAGCTGTCGAGACTGCAAGTTTGGTCTTGGCCTTGATCACAGGTAGAGGCTTCCTCCAGAGGACGTGTGTCTTAGAGGCTTGTCGGATTTTGATGGCATGGTTCTTGTGGTTTCGAGGACGCCCCCTTTGTGTTTCTTTGTTCGATCCATGGATGCTGGTAGCCACAGCCAGCGTTTTCGTCTGAATGCACATGGTAGGACTACGGGGTGTAACGTAGTTCGTTTTCCTCTTGCACTTGAGGTTTCCCTTGGCCATTTCTTTGGCTCGCAGCTCGCAGACCGCAGACTATAATGATATAATGCCAAAGAACAATTGAAGATCATCACCACATCACCAGCACACTTTGCATCTTGCAATTCGGCGCGAATGCGTTTTTCCCAAACATTCCGACATCACTTCCCATTTGAAGCCGTAAAGTGTTCCTTTTAGTCCAAAATCCCGAGTGACTAGGAATAGTTTGTTTCCAGGGCCAACGCCACTCACATGTGTTTGCACGAGTTCGCCTGGTAGCTGCTCATCCCCAGGGTCTTTTTTGGCGGCGAGGCTTTCTGCAGATGGCGCAGATGGCGCAGACGGCGCAGGCAGAACTGTTTTGGATCTTTCTGGACGATTTCTATCCTCTGGAGGCTTTAAAAGAGTTGAATTTGACCGGATTCGACTGGAGCTCCCGCCATGAGAATGGACAGACAGTATTGGCCCGTCATATTTGCAACACACTGATGCAGCACCCAAGCAAATATGAAGATATTGAAAATTGTCTTAAAACCATGGAATGGCTGATCCATTCTGGAGCGAATATCGAGCAGAAATGCTTTGGTGCGGAATCACGCTTTAGCTGGCTTTGGTGGAAACCGCCTCCTTTTTGCGTGCAGTACGGAGGTCTCAGTGCAATTTCATATGCACGAGCATTGCAGAAGAAGATGCGCAAGAAACTGTGGGTAGACGAAGTTGAAGAAAATATGTCCGATGAAGAGTTCTTTTTAACCAGGGTTCTGGAGCTCTTTGCTGCAGTTTCTGCAGATTCCAGCCCAAGCGTCGCTGGACCAAGAGTGTCAATCCACGAGGGCATTGCAGAGTTGTGGGAAACGTCTCTGGCAGCAAAGGATTCCCATGACTTGACCATAGAAACCGGTGATGGCGTGGTGACTGCACATGTTCATATGCTAAAAGCATCGTCATCCGTGGTCACAGCGATGCTGGAATCGCCCATGAAGGAAGGGAAAACTGCACGCATTGAGATCCAGGACACGTCTGGGAAAGCTGTGTCACTCTTCTTGGAGATTCTCAGCGGTGCAGCATACTTCAAAGCAACATTTTGATTTTGACGGAGAATTGGCGGGAAATCATTCTATTGCTATTGAACTTACTATTGCACAATTTTTGGACATGGAGATGGGATTCAAAAAGTCTGGACACATAGCACTGCCTTGTGGATGACAATGTCCTAGGGAGGATCCTGAATTTACATGAATTTACTCCCAAAAACGTCCAATGGTGTCTCGATATATTATAGAATTCATGATGATGTTGGGAACGATGTTTTAAGTTGCCACTCTGGGCTGTCTTTCTCTGCAAACTCAGCCTCGAGGATCTTGTACACTTGCTCAGCGCAAGACGAGCCAGACTACGAAACTGCCTTGGGTGCTTTGGATTTGGCCCATCGCTGGCAAGTGGAGGCAGTTGTAGCGATCTTGACCGACTTGCTGGCAGGTGCCTAAGATGCAGACAAATTGGAGGAAGTCCAAGAGAGAAAAGCATTTACAGTATGTGTACATCACAGAACGTTATCCTCACTTGCCCTTACCAAGCAGCAACGGAGGCATGATTACGGATGCGAGCTTTGCAGCCATCGCGGAACATGCCCTTCTCAAGGCAAAGATCGCGAAACATACGGGTGATGAAACTTGATGAAACACAGGAGTGTTGTGAAGTTCTTCATGTATGGAGGCACTGCCAAAGGAAAGAAGATGAAAGAAGTCATCCTTTTTTTCTCCTCCAAAGGAAAGCCCATCCGTTGTCCTACTTTTGTGTAACTTCGTCTAGATTTTGCACTTCTTTCGCCGCAGTTGGTCATGAAAGATTCTCATCTCATGATGCCTATGTTCACATCAGGGCCTTGAAAGATTGAAGACTGCTGCCCAACGCTTTGAGGCCGAATCGACGAGGGTGCAGGCCAACTGGGCCGTGCTGGTCTGATGTTCAGTTGTTCAGATGGGGACAAGGAATGTCATTGATTCAGGGCGATGGAAGTTTGGTTGCCTCTTGTTTCTCAGACAGCTGTAGTGGCATTAAGACATGCAAGACTCACTGTAAGACCCGGGAAAGTCTAAAAACAATTCAAGTGGATGGCCCAAAACCCTTTTAAAACGCACCTCGAACTCCCCAGATATCCCCAGATGCCAGGCCGATCTCAGAGCCGGCCGCCTCCTTGCCGTGGCGCAGCTCTTCCACGGCAGATCAAATCCATCGAAGCCCAACAAGCCGAAGCCCAAGCGCCACTGGATGTGAGCGACTCAATGGCAGTTCTGCATCGGTTGTTGTTGGGGATCTCGTGGATCAAACAACGACAAAAACAAGAATTGATGACTTGATGATTCTTGCTTTTAGGACTCCTTTGGTCCAACTTCATTAGTTTGTTGCTTCCTGCGCTGTTTGCTCGCTTGGTTTGCCGACATTGTAGCTTGATGCTGCTGCAGAGTACTGTTTAGTTTCTCCTTTTTGCAATTGTTTTGCCGATAGGTTTGTTGTGTTAACGAGTGCCCGGCCAAACCTGGACATTGTTCCTTCACCCTGAAAGCCCCTTCAAGAAACACAATGGCAGGCGCTTACTTGGAGAGTAGTAGGTGCCTATTTGATGTGGGTATGGCGGAGCAATGTGTCTTGATATATCTCTTCTGTGTGACATTCGAAGCGCCTCTTCTTTCAGAACCACAGAATACCACAGATCCAGACCCATGTCCATTGTGCCATACCCGTGCCATCACGACCGCGGTTGACATTGCTTAAAAGATCTTAAAAGAAGCAGCCGCAATCTCAAGCCACGGAAGGGTCAAAGCAGGGGGATCATCCCACTCTGTAAGTTGGTAACAGTAATAGCCAATTGATCGATGAGATCAGAATCATAAACTAATAATATTATTATACAATCCATACTGTAAACATGTGCTCTTGTATGTTTTTGTTGGTCCAAATGGCTGACTGAGACCCATTTCGAATCCCAGCATGTTTGAGGATGCGTTTGCAACACTTCTCAGGTAGGTCTTTCTTTAATGACGAGCTTTGGTAGGTGTTCCTAGTGGGCGGATGACCTTCGCCAAGCAATCAATGGTGCTAATCCAGGGTTTACATTACATCGGCTTCCCAATCAGTTTGCGTTTTTCTGTTGCCAAGATCACAGGAATATTCATGCTGTCCAAGCGATGGCAAAAAGAAATGATCCTGCCCCAAATCATCATAAGAGATGGCGCCGTGCCTGACCAATGTGCATTCCAGCCAAGTATTTCCTGATGATTATGCCAGGGTGAGCCAGATGCGACGGGAAGTGAGTCGAAGACGGGTTGGGGGTTGCATGGGCCAGCAGCTAGACTTCAACTTGCATGCAATGTTTGGCTAGCAGGAGAAGGCAGTACACACATGCAAGGAGCGCACTTTTCGTTGCTAGTACCCCAAGATTCGACCAATCTCTGCACCACTTTTAGTTCAACACTCTTGCGCCACCTCGGGCCTTGCAAAGAGTTGACAGGGCCCAGCATCATCAGCATCATAGTGTCATAGTTGGTTTCATGTCAGCCCAGATGGGACAAGCAGAGCAAGCAGAACTATTGTTCGCTTTTCTGGAGGATTTCACTCCGCTAGAGGAATTGAAGAAGATGAATCTGGAGGGATTCGACTGGAGCTCCCGGGATGAGACTGGAAAGACGCTGTTGGTGTTTGCTATTCAGCACGCCCTATATTCTCCCAGACTTGACAATGCACTAAAGACCATCGACTGGCTGATCTACTCTGGGGCGAGCGTTCAGCAAAAATGCACTGGCGGGAAATCAGTGCATGTGTTCGAGGAGAAACCAGACAAGCCGCGTATCGATGTGGAGTGCCAGGGTCTCAGTGCCATTTCATTTGTGCGGGCATTGCAGCGGAAGATGCGTGCAAAACTGGAACATTGGAAAGACCAGGAGGCTTTTCTAGCCAAGGTAGTCAAGTCCTTTGCAGTGGCTTGCTTCCCAAGCCCGGCTCGCCGGCGGGTGTCCATTGACGAGGGCATTGCAGAGTTGTGGGAAAAGTCGTTGGCGGCAAAGGATTCGCACGACTTGACCATTGTAACTGCTGACGACGTGGTGACCGCGCATGGTCACATGCTGAAAGCAGCATCATCCGTGGTCACTGCGATGTTGGAATCGCCCATGAAGGAAGGGAAGGCCTATCGCATTGAAATCAAGGACACGTCCAGCAAGGCTTTGTCACTGTTCCTCGAGACACTCGGTGGCACCACTTTGAGGATAGGTGGCCTGCTTTTCACGAAAGTGGATAGTGCTGTTGTGTTGTGAAACTAAGGGAGGGCTATTATTTTTATTTTTTTTCGCGACAGGTTCTTTTTTTTTTTGGGGGGGGTTCCTGGTTCTATCTTCTATACTTTCCTGTTTCTCTGATTTTCTGCTTTTCTACTTCTCTGCTTTTCTGCTTCTCTGCTTACATTGCTTCTCTGCTTTTCTGCTTTTCTGCTTTTTGCTTTTCCTGCTTCTCTGCTTTTCTGCTTTTTGCTTGCTTTTCTGCTTCTCTGTTTTCCATGCTTCTCTGCTCTTGTACTTCTGTGCCTTTCTACTTCTACTATTCTACTTTTTCTTTTCTTCAATCATGTGTTTTTGCTGCTCTGTTCCTTCTCCTTTGCTTCTTTGCTTTCTGTCTTTACTGTCTCTTTGTTTTTCATTTTCTTTTGCTTTATTCTGTTCTGTTTGTATCCTACATGAAACCCTATAGAGACCCTAGGTGAAACCCAAAGAAACCCTAAGAAATCCTGATAAGAAACCCTACATGAAGCCCTAAATGAACCCTGACCCTAAACCATAAATGAACCCTAAAGAAACAATAAATTAACCCTAAAGAAACCATAAATCAAACCCTAAAGAAACTTTAAATGACACCCTAAATATCCCTAAATGACATCCCAAAGAAACCCTAAACAACATTCTTTAAAAAAACTAAATGAAACCTTAACTGACACCTTAGCTGAAACCCTAAATTGACACCCTAAAGAAACCCCAAATGACACCTTAAATTGAAACCCTAAATTGAAACCCTAAATGAAACCCGAAAGAAACCCTAAATGACACCCTAAAGAAACCCTAAATGACACCCTAAATGAAACCCTAAAGGATCCCTAAAGGAATCCACTTGAACGTTTAGACATCGTGAAAAGAAATCCTGATAAGAAACCCTGGAATGAAACCCTAAAGAAAACTTAAATGAACTCCTGAATGAAACCTTAAATGAAACCCTAAATTGAAACCCTAAAGAAACCTTAAATGAAACCCTAAAGAAACCCTAAATGAGACCCTAAAGACACCCTAAATGAAACCCTAAATGAAACCCTAGAGAAACCCTAAAGTTTAAATGAAACCCTAAAGAAACCCCAAATGAGACCCCAAATGAAACCCAAACTGAAACCCCAAAAAAACACTAAATGAACCCCTAAAGAAACCCTAAATGAGGCCCTAAAGAAGCCGTAAAGAAACCCATTTGAACGTTTAAGAACTCCTAATAAGAAATCCCGATAAAAGACGCTTACATGAAACCGGAAAAACCCTAAATTAAATTCCAAAGAAACCCTGCCCCTAAAGAAACCCTAAATGACACCCTAAATGAGACCGTAAAGAAACCCTAAATGAAACCCTAAATGAAACCGTAAAGAAACCTAAATGAAACCCAAAAGAACCCCTAAATGAAACTCTAAAAAAAACCCAAATGAAACCCCAAATAAACCTTAAATGAAACCCTCAATGAAACCCTAAATGACACCCTGAATGAAAGCCTAAAGAACCCTCAAGAGACCCACATGAACCTTTGAAGTACCAAAATGTACTGTAGCAAATACCATGCAAATGAGAGGTTGAAATGGCAAAATGTGACAAATACCATGCAAAATGGAAGGCGAACATGGCCACATGTAGCAAATACCATGCAAAATGCAAAGTGACCATGCCCAAATGTAGCAAATACCATGCAAAATGTAGCAAATACCATGCAAAATGACAGGTTCTAGTTCCAAACTGTTGCAAATACAAGGCAAATGGTACCAGGAAAGAAAGCCAAAAAACCATCCAAAACCTGAGGCAAAAAAAATACCAAAAACTATTCTTCACCCGAAACTAAGTCACCTGTTTTTCAACACATTTGGCCGTTGCGCAGTGCCAGTTGCAAGGTGGCAGATTTGTTCGTTTGAGGAGGGGTAGCTGAAAGGACGAGAAACTGACACACCCCTAGCAGACTTGGAGACCCCTAGTGTGAGGACATTCACTCAGCTCAGCTCCTCCATTTGGTTCAAGATCGCGCGGAAGGTTGCTGTGTTGGTTCACATGCGTAATGGTATTGATGTTATTAAAGCAATTGGGGATGGTTTGTTATTGCTTCAGCCCCGCTGGAAGCTGTTTTTCTTGTCCAACCCGGTTTCGGTCATGGTGCAAGGGCTGCGGCAATGGATGAACTTAGGTTATGCTATTGCTTCACTAACTTGGCAGGTGTGTTAATGGTATCAGAAGCTGAGCTTTCGAATTGTTTCAGGTTTGCGTGTTTCTCGCAGCCCGCCTGTGGCGAGGATTTTGTACACTTGCTCAGCGCAAGAGGTGCCAGACCACGAAACCGCCTTGGGTGCTTTGGACTTGGCTCATCGCTGGCAAGTGGAGGTGGTTGTTGCAATCTTGGCAGATCTATTGGCAGGTGGCTAGGATGGCATTTTGTGCAGCAAATGCATGAGTTGCTTTTCCCACGGAGTTCTTGTCCCTAAAGGTCTCAAATGCCAAACCAGTCCCTATGCATCCGTTGGGTCCCTTAGATTCCCTTGGGTTGTCCAATTGCCATCAGAAATATTTGGGTTGGGGTTTCTGGGAGCAACACTTGAGGTATGATCAATGATGAGAGCTTTCAAACCATAGCGGAGCATGCTGTGCTCAAGGCGAATCATGCTGTAGCAGGGGAGTTTTTCCTTTGTTTGGATTGTTCCTAAAGGCAGAAAAGCGACCGCCAAATTCCACACCATATTTAGTCAATGCATGCTTGGTTGCCAACAATACTGTTACTCCCAGGTTTAAAACATCCCTGTTCAAGTGAACAGGTACCAATTTGGATTAATTTAGATTCATGTAGTAGCAAATTGCAGTATCAGTACCACTTTTGTAGTGGACCCCCCAATTTACCAACCAGAGTTTATCAGTCTTGTGTTGACGTTCATCATGCCTGTGTGGGTTTCGCTGTAGCATTGGCAGGGCCTTGAGAGGCTGAAGACCGCTGCCCAGCGCTTTGGCGCTGAATCCGAAAAAGTGCAGGCCAACCGGCCCCGCGTTGTCCAATTTCAATCTCGGCTCAAGTGGCTGATCGCTCGCGTACAACTGGGCCCCCGAAGATAGCTAAGTTGGTCTATACCTCCAGTTATACTTCCAGTCACTAGGACCATTAATCGGTAGATATGGTTTATGGATGTTTATGATCTTTATGGGGGTTATAAACCAACAATGTGGGGCACCAGGGAAGTAGATGGCCAGGCTGACCTCAAAGCTGGGCGCCTCCCGGCTGCCGCGGCGCAGCTCTTCCACGGATCGCCATCGAAGCCCGAGCCAAAGCCCAAACGCCTCCGGATGTGAGGCAGTGGCTTATGTGGCTTGGGGGTTTTGATCAAACAGGCCACGACTTAATTCATGTTGTGTGTTGGATGGGATGCCGGTCTTTTTGAATAGTTGGTCATTCAACTTTGACTTGATTCCTGGGCAGATTGATGTGTATTGTTCGGGTTGATTACTGGGTTTCTTGAGTCTCATTGATCGCCCCCTTTTGCGTGCCTTTGTGAGAGGCCTTGCTGGACTTACACCAGACCGTCCATGTCATGACTCGGCAGTTGCTGCAGCTTGCGGATCATAGCTGATCAAAAGAAGTGTTTAGAATTGTGATTTTTGCAGTTGAGTTTGGGTTTGAATCAATCTGGAACCCCTGAAAGATGTGGATTTGTCTGAAAAAGGGCATGCATGGCACCCCAAAATCGGATGGTTGGTGATCATTTCACCCATGAACATTTCTGGACAACCCCTGCCATTTCAATCGGCAGACCTTTCCACTTTGTCAGCCTGCAGATGTCATTGAAGAGGTGAGCCAAAGCAGAGATGCGGAGATATTTGCCCCCAAAAGATTCTGCGACATACCCACCAAGTTTCAATTTCAAAATATCTTCGAGGCGTAGGCATGAAAGATTTTCCATTCCCATCCCATGTTAAAGTATTGGAATGTAAAATGTATAGTGAGGTGGCCCTTCTGACGCTCAAGGCCTGAATTTCCGTGGAATATGCATTTTGGCTCGCAGCCCCCAATTTTCGGCCAAAAGCACAAGTAACGACATGCGCCATATGCATCATCAACCATTTTGCATGGAGCCATCTACACAAAGTGCATCGCATATCACCAGCAGTTCATGGGCAGTTCAGACTTGCAAACGTCACACAAAACAGTCTGTGGCCCGCCCGTGAGCTGCGTTGAAAACGCGTCGCGGCTGTTGCTGATCAGGTTGGGGTAGAGTCCCGGGTGGAGTGGAGCCGAGGAAATCTCCTACTTGTATTTACACATGAATCATATAGTCATATCATGCAGTCACACAAGCACGCATGTGTAAAAAAAAGAGGAAGAGAGAGAGAGAGAGAGAGAGAGAGGGAGAGAGAGAGAGAGAGAGGGAGAGAGAGAGAGAGAGAGAGAGAGAGAGAGAGAGAGAGGGAGAGAGAGAGAGAGAGAGAGAGAGAGAGAGGGAGAGAGAGAGAGAGAGAGCCAGCGAGCGATCGAGCGAGCGAGCGAGCGGGCGGGCGAGCGAGGGAGAGAGGGAGATAGACACACATGCACATTGACATATATATATATATTATATACCGTATTATCTTGTTTCCCCCTTTGATTGCCCTTAGCCTGAAGATTATTTGAGGGAGGTTGATGGGAGGTAATTAGTTGATCCCTCCAAGACGTTTTGACAATCCGATGATTCCTGCGCGAGGAGATGTGGTCGAACCTTGGCTGCGTTCAATGAATGACGGGAAGAGACAAAGAAACCGTCCTGACCATACCCCAAAGTTCACCCGTGACTCAATTCAATGCTCTATCTGAATGATGCCCTGCAAAGTTCCATCAAACCCCAAACATTTTGTACAATTTTGTACATACCAGTAACTGAAACCCAAGAAACCCATCCAAAACCCACCAAGTCAGCCTGAAGTCTTATCGTTTTCTTCGGAGGCCAGGGTTCCTTGGGATTCCTTGGAGTTCCTTGGAGTTCCTTGGCCGGTTAGCCCGAGGAAGTTGCCGGAGGGCACCGAGCAGTTCACGGTGCTGTTGGTGGGTGGCTCCGATGGCCTTTGTGACACCATTCGCCTCAGGGAGGTGAACCAGCACTTCCGACACCTGGCCGAGGATGCTGCGAGGTGACTTGGGCCATCTTGGGCCCATGGTCCAAAGATGTCCAAAGGTTTGGGCCCAAGCATCGGGGACTTCATGAGTAAGACGCAGTGGCATTAGAACCAGATAGAACCAGTGAGTCGGAACACACTGCGTTTTTTTGTTTGATCGAGTTTCTAGGAAAGATTTTTTTTTGGTTTGACTACGATTTTCGAGGTGCAGTATCTACGGGTGCTAGAAATCCCCACGAGCCAACCCCACAACTCCATGGTGGCTTTCACCATTGTACATATGTTTGCATTTTTTTCCCCTTGTTGGGCACTTTTGTAGATTTTTGGATGCAAATTTGTAGGGAATGAATGACTGTGTGCCGTGCAGTTGCTTTGAAAGCATCAGAACTTGAGAGCCCATCTAAATGAGGCTGAAACCCAAACAATTCCTTTTGTGTTGGTCCCATTTCCAGCTTTTGCTGGTCATATGCCTTGCGACGCGTTTACCACATTTGGATTGGAGGCGGTATCATATATTATATTTCTAGCCATGTGTCACCTGCTGTGTCACCCATCCCAGCCACCCTTGTGACTCAGGTGGCACTTACAGGACAGGGACCCCAGCATCCGAATAGAGGCCTTGAAGGCTGCCATCTTGGCAGCTGAGAATGGCAAGCACGGAAGGAGTGGGACCGACTGTTGCAGTGAAGTCCTTCCTACGGCAGGGGCTGGTTTGGAACTATCTGGAAATCTCATGACATATCCATATGATGACATCATCTCTATGTCGCTGCACCTTTCTTTCTTTTGCCGTCTTTGTGCATTTCAACGATTTATTTAGGCTGATTCAGAAGTAGCAGATGATGCCAGTACATACCTTGAGTTTGTTGATGATGACATATGATTACTTACCACATGGTAAGCCAAATTATATGAATTTAAATCCCATTGAATCCGCATTAACTCACCATTTGTTATCAGATTATCATTTGTTGATGTAAATTTTGAACCAATCTATTGGTAGTATACCGACCCCAGCTGGACTTTTTTCAGGATCACAGAAGTCTTGGATTGCATGACGGACAGCGACGCTGCAATGAGGTGCGCCCATGGAGTATGGGGATGTGGACAAGTTTTGAAGGGTGCCATCGAAAATGATAAGATCTGGGTCATGACCTAGTCATCTAAACAGAATCAGGACAATGTACTTACACACAGACACATAGACACGCGCACACACACACAGATATATATATATATATAATACACACATATAAATATAAATATAAATATAAATAAATAAATAAATAAATAAATATATATATATATACACATCCATCCATCCATGCATCCATCCATCCATCCATCCATCCATGTATCTACATATATATATAGGTTCTATCTATATGTCATAGTTACACATTTTTCCACATCAAATTATCTTCCTTCAGTTTCAGATGAATTTTCAGGCAGTTTCCACTCCTTCAGCCACTTGGGCCACGCTTCAGAGGCTGTTGGCCACCACCGCCCTGTCCTACTTGATGGACGAGACGGACCTTGAGGCTCCACAGGCGAGGGCTGCGGGGCTGTTGCCTCTCGGCTGGTCCGCCTGGTTCGGTGTTGATCGACATGGCTGGAAAAACCCATGGGAAAAATAGGTCAAAAACACATGAAATATGGAAATGAGAACTTTTCCCTTAAACGATTTGTGTATGGGATAAAATTAAAAGATGTGTGATGGATGGATTATAGCATGTTATAGCTAAACTGGGATGCGCCAAGTAAAGACACAAATGGCCTAGGGGACCGGTGGGCAAGGTGGAGGATTCAGTTCACCAGGAATGATCAGCAAATGGGCAACGATGTCATGCTTCAGCTTCAAATCACCTACAGTATATATCCCATTGCTGAAAGCACACCTCTTCTGTGGCCAAATACAGAATCTACAGAAAGTTTTTGTTGGTTCAACCATGTTTCTGGCCAAATTACAAGTGAAATTTGCCCATATATTGACCTTTGGTAAATGGTGAAGGGATTCTGCATGATTCTGCCCCATTTGTTGAAGTCGCTCTGGCTGGGAACCCCAGGTGTTTCTTGGACAACGACAGCGAGGTACGTCATGCGGCGAAAGGTCTGCTATCCGCTGTGGGCTTTGGGCACTGCAGCATTGTGCCAAGGCTTTGGAAGAGGTTCTCTATATCGAAGATTGATGCTGAACGTTGTGGGCGTGGTTGTTGTGGTTGTTGTGGCCATTGTGGTTGATGTGGTTGTCGTGGTTGCGGTTTTTATGATGATGAGGGTGAGGGTGATGAGGATGATGAGGATGATGATGATGATGCTGATGATGATGATGATGATGATGATGATGACGATGACGATGACGATGATGCGCATGCGCATGCACATGCGCACGGCAATGCTGTGGTTGTGATTGTGATTGTGGTAGTTAGCCACTGATTATACAGTATAGTGATGGGTGAGGATCATGATCATGACGATCGAGATGGCGATGGAATCTTGGATTATCAGTCACCAGCAATCCATTGGATCACCTGCCAAGGTACATGGCCTGTCGAGCATTGTCAGCTGCCGAAAGGAGGCACTGGGGGGCGATCGTAGGTATTGTCAGCCAGCTATGGAAAATCACCATAATTCATAGATCATCTATACAAATAATAGTCATAAGCGGTCCATGTTAAACAACCAGATGGTATCCACATTTTCATTGCTAACTCTTGATTGCCAGGGATTTGTTGGCAACACGGGTCCAAACAAGTTCATGACATGCAGACTCTTAGCAGTTTTTTCACCCAAGATTCATCAATCAGCTAGGTGTTCCTGCGAAGCATTCCCTATCACAACAACATACCCAGATATCTCCCAGATATCTCCCAGATATCTCCCTTATATCTCCCAACAATCTCAGCTACACCCATTCCCAGTCTCCCTCATCGAGGCATGGCTTCGGCAGGAAGCTGTTGAAGCATTAGCCCACCTCGCGCAGCGCGGGGACACCGAGGCTCAGGGCCATCTCCAAATTTACGGCCAATGGGTGGTATACATCAAGATATGGCTGGTTTATGACATTGCTGTACAAAATTGTACAGAGGTGAACGGAGAATCCAACAGTTACGGGAATTTTCTCTATAGTTGGAATTTGCAGAATCTAAAGAATTGATCTAGAATGAACTGCTCTGAATTGAGACTTGTTAAATGTTGTATTATTTCTATTGCCGAGAATGATTTCCAAATTGAACTTCTCTGGCTCCGTTTGAGATCTGGGCAGAAGCGCTTGGCTCAAAGGTAGCAGAGGCGACAGGACTAAGAAATTGGACGAGGGGATTGCACACCTTTCAAAAGGTGCACCATAGCATAGCATCACGACACCACCCAGCCCACATATTTCTCAAGACTTTTCCTTTTGAGGAGGGGCGGATGCTATCATGAGGGTGTCACGGGGCCTGGCATGGGCGCAAGCCATGGGGCCCTTATTTTTCCGTGCTTGGCGTTGAGACTGGTGGCGGGTGGATGTGTTCTGCCATTGACCAGGGAAGGCTTCCAGCCAGCCGCCGTGACAGTTGGACCCCAGGACAAGCTGATTATGGCCAATGCTGCTGGCATGCTGCTGTTTGCGGATTTGGATGATTTCACGATCCAAGAGGACCTGCACTTCTCTCAAATTTCTAAGGGTTCAAACATCCAAGGCTTAACCATGACCAGCCCCGAAAGTACCTATTTGTACTTAGGTGCCCAGGAGAAGTCACAACTCCTGGAGTACGAGTGGCACAGCTCCCACCAGCGAGGCACAGCACCTGGGTTTGCAGAGCTTGACCTTCGTTCCAACGCCGAGCTCGCAAGAGGGATACTTCTATGCCAGCACTGGGATCTCAGGAATTCTCAGGAGGGGGACAAAGCCACCTTGAAGCGGTTCTTCTTTGCATGAAACTGGTGATTTTTGATCCAGGCTTTAGAACTTCATGCAACGCAAATCCAGCAGCGACCAAAATTGCGACACACCAGACACCTTTTCAGGCCAGTAGGAACCACTTATGACAATCTTATGACGAGGGCTTAGTCGCGAAACCTTTGTGATGCAGCTTTAACACATAGAAAAATTGTAAAATAGGACAGTATACTGCATATAATGCTACGTACATGCAATATAGAGACATACAGCTACACTCTACATGACTAAAATTAATTACTGGTTTAGTAAGTTGATCATCTCGAACCTCGCCAGGAGACGTCTACATCTATGAAGTCCCTTTGCTCAGCGAAGGAGCGGTGCAATCCGCCAGTTCTGTGAAGCTTTGGTCCCCGTTGTCGAACACGTCGAGGGGATGGCCTATGCTGATGGGCACCTGCCTTTCTGGGCTGAGCTTGAGGTCATTTTTTATTTTCGGCCGATTGGGCCTGGAAGGGGGATGGAAAAGCTAGCAGAAGAGTGGTTTGGTAAAAAGGTGATTTGAGAGTTGGGATGTTCTTCTTTGCCGCTTTTTCAGTTCTTGACTCAATTTGGGTGAGACATTCTTGTTTGCATGGGTCAGAAATTGGCCACCTCAAAAACCCACCATTGCAATGGTTTATAATGGTTTATACGGTTTATATACAGGTTCGTAGCGGGAATTCATCCTGGGCCAAGGATTGTTCAAACATGTTTTGATCCATTCCTGTGCCATCCTGCATAGAATTTCTGATTTTCCTGAACGAGACTTTTCTGGAACGAGGCCGACCCACTGAAAACTTCAGGTTTGTGTGTTCCAATGTGGAGGACTCCACCCGCCTTCTGATCTTCGTGTTGGCTTCTGGGCTCCCGGGGCGCCGGAACAGCACCAGCTGGACGTCCAACATGTGGCGGATCTGCTAGGCATGGTCCTGGTGGTGGATATGACCATTGAACATCCTCTGGTTTGATGCTGCATCATTTCCATTCATTTCCTAGATACGGCATGATATGACCATAAAGTGGGGTATCGCCAATTTTTGGACAAAGCCGGGTTCAGGCCAAGAAAGTTGATGTTGATTTCGATAAATGTGGAGCATCAAAAGCTTGGTGACTTTTTGAGCCAAAATTGGCTGGTGGCTCTTGAAGGGGAAAGTTTCAAGGATTTGTGGCCGTAGGGTTTTAGATGCTGAGCGTCCAGGCCTAGAGACATATGGGTCCGAAAGAAGGGTCAGCTTAGCCTCTTTGATGCTTGGGGTTGGACAGGACAAGCGAAATGTCTATGGCTACGCATTTCGCTTCCTCGAAGGCTTCCGGCTGCATCCCTACTGTGAACAGGACTTCGCTCCCCACCAAAACGACGCCGGCGTTCTGCCGATGATGGCGCTGGCTGTGGGAAGTTTCTGCTGGCTGTTGATGTTGCAGTGAGTTTAGCTCCAGGTGATATGTTCAAGTCTTCCAACGGTCAATATGGCTGATGGACCCATTTGGCGAGAGCAAAATCGCTTATCCACTGCAAAACGTATCTTGGGGTATCTAGGGAACCACCTGCTGGCCGAGATAATGGTGGCATATCGACGAACTTTTGACCATGTTGAAGTCTATGACCTTTTCTGCTGGTTGATTTTCTTGGACATACCCCTGAGACATGTTGGTGAGGTTCACATCATTTTGTACCGGCTTCTTTAGGGATCTCTATTGGTCCCGTGTCATTTCACCGTTTCTGAGGGGTAAAAAAAGGTCCAGTTCGATGATTTTACCTGTTGGAAATGGCGATTTTCGGGAGAAACTTCTTCGAAATGACCAGAACTTGGGCTCCGTTCTATCTATCTATCTATCTATCTTTCTATCTTTCTATCTATCTATCTATCTTTCTATCTTTCTATCTATCTATCTATCTTTCTATCTTTCTATCTTTCTATCTTTCTATCTATCTATCTATCTAAAATTATATAAATAATAATAACAATAATAACAATAATAATAATAATAACAATTATTCACACGCACACACACACACATATATATATATAATATTGTATATTATATCTACATAAAAAATATATTACCCACATAAATCATAAATAACTAACTAACTAACTAAATAAATAAATAAATAAATACATAAATGTATATATATATATATACATGTGGCCCAGGGATTTCCCCTTCGTCAGGCCTTCGCGGTGGTGGTCCGCGCGCTGAATGACCCAGACCTGGACGTTCGCCGGGAGGCCGTGGCGGCCTTGGGGGATGCAACTTGGCGCAGCGACCATCGGATGGTCAGGGAATTTCTGGGAGAAAAATCTTCCGCACCTGGGATGAATTAGTGGGAATTAGTGGGATATAATTGATATCATCCCCTTTTTCAAATATGATAGAAACACCCAACGAAACGGTTTATTAAATAAATTAGGGAATTTATATATATTGGGAACCCTCTTCAGAGGGTGCGGGACCAAAATTGGGAGGATGGGATTGCGGGACCAAAATTGGCACCACTTATATTGAACGCCAAGTTCCCCCAAAGTAGTGATCTTACCAATTTGAAACCCTGTTCCCTCATATGACAATCATTGAACATCAACTGGGCTTTCAAAATTCATCCGCACTAACGTGAGATCAACTCAATGGCTCTTGCCCTCATTGGACCGGAAGTTGCATACCAAAGGTGGCGCCCTTTGGGGATGCTAATGGCACTGCCCTACTGTGTGAATGCAGTACGGAGCCGTGGCAGTGTGAAACTGTTGTTTGGTGCTCCCTAATGTGGTGAACCCCCCCAAAAATCAAACATTTGGGGATGGTTTATACCACCCATTTATGGTGATTTTGGGGATGGCTTATTACTGGGTTTACCACATTACACCTATTATTGGGGATTCCATTCTAGAATGGATCCAATACTAAAGCAGGGTTTCGGGGAGTTTTTGATGTAATAGTGGGGGAAGGGATTACTCAAAAACCAGCAGCTGCAGAATTGTTCACAAAAAATATCACTGGGAACAGACCCGCGACTTTTTTTCATCAAAAGGCTGGTGGTTTTTCAAGTGAAAACTCGGACACCAAGTCCCAAATCCAGTGGTCGATCATCATTTTGCGCATCAAACATCATCAAGGTAGTTATTTTTGGGTACCCTCTGGTAAACTAACATAGCTATGGAAAATCACCATTTTTAATGGGAAAACTCACTATAAATGGCCATTTTCAATAGCTATGTTAGTTTACCAGAGGGTATTTATGATCCCCATTTTTGCGTCAAACCCAAGTTGTTCTGTAAAAAAATTGTGCAGTTCTGTCCAGTCGAGGATCCAGATCCTACGGTGCGTTGTGCGTTGGCACATGCCAGCACCATTATTTCGCCGTGGGGCGATGAATCAATGACAACTGCAGCCAGTCATGAAGAGGAAAGGGTCTGTGGCTATGGCGCACAAAGATGTGAAGTGGGAAGGATAGAATCTTAACATATCTTAACAATCTTAACAGCACCTGGGAGCTTCCAAAAGCTGAAAATCAGAAGTACCGTGCTTCCATTTCCCATCATTTGTTTGTATGTCTCTATATCATTCTATATTTATCTATATTCCATGTATAAAAATAATAATAGTAATAATATGTAACAATAATAATGATAATGATAATGCTATAACAGCAATTAATAATAACAACAATAATAATGACAATAATAATAATATTATTAATTAATAATAATAACGACAATAATATTAATAACAGTAATAACAATAATAATAACAATAATAATAACAATAATAATAACAATAATAATAACAATAATAACAACAATAACAATAACAATAATAATAACAATAATAATAATAACAATATAATATTTCTTTTGTATGTTTGAAAGTGTCATCATGCATCTTGCTCCCATACACACAATGACCCTAGGATCGTCTCGAAGGATTTTCACCTATCATAGCAGCTTCAGCACCAGAAACTCATGATCCGATTTTCAGTGGTCACCAAGCTGCAGCTTTTCAAATCTCTTGAAACAGGAGATATCAGGAGATCATAAAAAGAAAAGAATCTGTACCATTCGGCACCCATCCAAGGCCACAGGTCCCATAGGTCTGCCGAACTTGATCTGCCGACGTCAGGCATTGCTTAGCTTGCTCGAAGACTCGCACTACGAGGTGCAGCGTGTCTGACCTCGAAAGGGCCCCAGTGATAGTACAGTGCCAGCACTCTGCTATCCCAAGTGGTATCCAACTGGTTTAATGCGGGTAAAACAATACCAGAAACCACCCATTGAGAATGGTTTATACCACCCATTTATGGTGAAATTGGGATGGTTTATGGTTTACTGTTATTTTAACCGCATTATGGTTTATTTCCAATTTGTTTGCAGAGAGGCTTCCTAGCCCTGAGTGTCAGGTTGTGTGTTTGGCCTCTCCATGTACACCCGTTTTTATGGTGCACGAGTGCAGTTGGATTTGCAACCCAGGGAGCCGTTGTTCAGCGTTGTTGCTACTAAGGTTGAGCGACATGGCTTTTATAACATACTCATATATACTGATACAGATGCGTTTGGATTTTATATATGAGCGTTTACTTCCGCACTTCTTTCAATATACATGTGATAACATTATCATCAGAAGCTTTTTTTCTAAAATGATTGATCATTCAAAACCTCCATGTAAAACACTGACGCGCAGCAAAAAGGAGTTTTTTTTTGGGAAAAAAAAGGCACATGAGCTTTCATGAACACCATCATTTCATGGATACCACCATAGATAGCGAAAACTCGAGACGCGAAAGCGCCAGGTGCGCGCCAGGGCAGTGGACGCCCTGGGAGCCGTGGCGAAGCCTTCCAAGCAGGAAGTAGTGGAAGCCCTGATGGCCTGTGCCCAGGTGGGTTTGCAGGTTGCAGGGGCCAGGTGTAAAGGAACTTAAGAGGTTGAACTAGCTAGTGATTAGAAGTGATTAATAGTGATTATATAATATATAGTGATTAATGGTGATTAGAAGTTTTAAATAGTGATTAATATATAGTGATTAATGGTGATTAGAAGTGATTGATAGTGATTAGCAGTGATTAAAGTGATCAATAGTGATTATATAGTGGAATAGCTAATTCAATTGTAGTGATTCATCGTCATGAATGGGGCTCACTCTCCGGTATAATCAAACGTGGCTAGCTGAAACATACTCTATTTACACACACACACACACATATATATATATAGATGATTTCCCCAGCTAGAAACCTCCATTTATAGGACAATTTCCAGCCAGCCACGTTTGAATACCCCCGGAGGGTACATGCTCTAGTGATCACAAAAAGAGTTATAAAAACAACCACGGGATGGGATTTCCTGGAGGGGCTTTTAACCATTTTAAACATCCACGAATGTGGAATTGCCATGAATTGCCGAATAGACAATCTCCACAATCACCAGGTGGTTACCACCCCATCCTCACCGGCGGCAGGACTCGCAAGAGCGTGTGCGCAGTGCGGTCCAACGCTCCCTGGCGTTGCTTGCACTGGACCCTCCAGTGGGTCAGGCGTGGCACAGCGCGGAGCACGGATGATGGGTGTCTATGGGATAGGGATGTACTATATACAATTATAATTCAAACATACTCATATATATACCATTATGATATGATATTAACATAATTACACTATGATTTTATGAATAGTTTCCCTTGGAAACCCTGGTTTAGTATTGGATCTATTCATTTTGGGACTCCATTTGGCGGAATTTCATGTGAGTGGGAACTGGGATTACCATTGCTGGGGTCTTAAGATGTTCGAACAATGACTTGCTCTTGCTAAGAACTACCCACAACCAAGAGCGTTCATTCTGGAATGTCAACTGCCATGTCTTGAAGTAAGCAGCCACAAACATCCCACAAATCCCAGACAGTCAGACTGCATAGAAGGGACAACTTACAGAAACCCCATATTTTTGACATTTTTGCGCCATAGTTTCCCAGCGATTCCATGAATCAATCCATCAATTTGTGCCTGAAAGGTGGTATTGCCTTCGCCCGAACCGATCGAGGGGTTGAAGTCGCAAAAGGCTGCAGTGCTAAGGAGCTGGTAAAATTGGGCCAAATTTGCCCCAAGATCTTCCAAAATGTCCAGAACACTTTCCTTTCCCTCTGATTTTCTAGGATTTTCATGGCTGTAACCACCATATTTCATATATTTCATGAGGATTCAACCAACCGCCTGCAAATAAACAGCTTTATTCAGGGCTTCAAAAAATCACCAACTGCCACGATGATTCATCTATTGTTGGGGGTCACCCCGCGGGGTTTGGTTGAATCCCCACTGCAAAATTTGGTGGTTAAGCTGGGCACACACTTACCCCCAGACAAAGAGACATCCATTTTGGACATGCTCAACTTGTGATGAAAAAACGTTTGAGGGAAGCAATTTGGGACCCAACGCCAGATGATAGGCGCATTAAGGCAACGCGGTTCATTTTCCAAAAGTCCAGCTTGGAGAACAGAGACAGAAACTCTCAACTTCTCTTGGGTGCCTCCTCCCACAGCGCTGAAGGAGGGAGAGCACTGAACATAAGCAGGTGCCTGGGTTGCAAAATGGATTTGTCCAAAAGATTGATACTATACTGGGGGTACCATTGTGATATAACAAAATATATCCAACACAATGATGCGAGTCTTGCCAAACATGGAGATTTACTCCCAAAATTGAACACCTGATCAGCGATGAGATTCTGCGAGCTCTCGGTCCGGTGGTGTACCCTTTCGACAAACCCAAATGCCATTGGCATGCTGTACCTTCAGTGAGGAAGATGAGATGAAGATCTGTCCGCTTTGTCTGCTTCCTTAAATTAAATGCTACCCTCCGGAAATCAAACATGGCAAGTGAGAACCCTCCCCATTTAGTTCCATGATTTTCCCAGAAACCGCTATTCATAGAGGATTTACCCAGCTTTTCCCAGCTTGCCACGAGGACACCGGAGAGTAGCAATCAAACTTCCATGCATCAGTGGAGTGATCCCCAAAGTGACTTACAGCCAAGGACTTGCCCCCGTCCTTGGCCTTGCTGTTGAACAGCAAGGGTTTCTTATGCATGTCCCGAAGTTCCAAGATCCTTATGGAAGGACGTGGGATGGCGATCCGGAATTTGCTGGGATATTCGTGAGGATATACTGCATACATGGACGCCGGGATCATGTGGGGCTTAATCATGACATGGTGAATAAATTCAGAGATGGGAAGATACTGTACCCTCCGGCCGTGAAAGTGGAACCTCATCTGCCCAGGTTCCGAAACTGGGAATTTGCCAGTGCTATTTTTGGCTACCTTAGGGGCTCCAAGGATTTTCCAGACTTCTAAGCCAGATGTTTTGCTGTACCCCATTGATTACACCATTAAGTACTTCCATTTTGTACAACCCAATCTTGCTCTTTCCTTAAACGTTAGACTTAACTTTGTCATTTCACGTCACGTTCAGCTGGCAACCCTTGCCTGCGCGAAGATGCGGGCAGTGTGGTGGGGCAAATCCTCTGAGAAGCCCTGGCAACAAAAAAGTACTTACAGTATCTTACAGGGAATATTTCCCCACATCTTTGTGTGGGGTTCTTGTTTTTGATTCTGTATCCCGCCTCCTCCGCCTCCTCCTCCGCCTCCTCCTCCGCCTCCTCCGCCCCCTCCTCCGCTCTCACACCATCTTTCACACTATCTTTCACACACCATCTTTGTCACACACTATCTTTCACACACCAACTCTCACACCATCTTTCACACACAACTCCTTCTTCACACTATCTTTCACACACATCTTTGTCACACACACTATCTTTCACACCATCTTTCACACACCAACTTTGTCACACACCATCTTTCACACACCAACATTGTCACCCACCATATTTCACACACCAACTTTGTCACACACCATCTTTCACACACCAACTTTGTCACCCACCATCTTTCACACACCAACACGTACAACTATCTTTCACATACAACTTTGTCTCACACCAACTTTGTCACACACCATCTTTCACACACCAACTTTGTCACACACCATCTTTCACACACCAACACATACAACTATCTTTCACATACTACTTTGTCTCACACCATCTTTGTCACACACAATCTTCCACATTGGCACTTGGCGACATCCACCTTCGATTCCGGAGGCAGGTGTGGCACTTGGTCACATCCACCTTCGTTTTGCGTGGCAGGCGTGGCACTTATGGCACTGTGCTGGCTCTGGTGGCGCGCTTGGGCGCGCTGGGGCGCGCTTGGTCGCCGGTGACGCCGCCCAACTTTGCGTGGCAGGCGTGGCACTTGGCGGCATCCATCTTCGTTTCGGGTGGCAGGTGTGGCACTTGGCGACATCCATCTGCGTTCTGCGTGGCAGGCGTGGCACTTGGTCACTTCCACTTTGGCACTTGGCGACATCCACCTTCATTTCGCATGGCAGGTGTGGCACTTGGTCACATTCACCTTCGTTTTGCGTGGCAGGTGTGGCACTTGGCGACATCCACCTGCGTTCTGCGTGGCAGGCGTTGCACTTGGTCACTTTCACTTTGGCATTTGGTCACATTCACCTTCGTTTCGCGTGGCAGGCGTGGCACTTATGGCACTGGGCTGGCTCTGGTGGCGCACTTGGGCGCGCTTGGGCGCCCTGGGGCGCGCTTGGTCGCTGGTGACGCCGCACAACTTTGCATGGCAGGCGTGACACTTCGTTTTGCGTGGCAGGCGTGGCACTTATGGGACTGGGCTGGCTCTGGTGGCGCTTGGGCGCGCTGGGGCGCGCTTGGTCGCCGGTGACGCCGCCCAACTTTGCGTGGCAGGCGTGGCACTTGGCGACATCCATCTTCGTTTCGCGTGGAATGTGTGGCACTTGGCGACATCCACCTGCGTTCTGCGTGGCAGGTGTGGCACTTGGTCACTTCCACTTTGGCACTTGGCGACATCCACCTTCGTTTCGCATGGCAGGTGTGGCACTTGGTCGCATTCACCTTCGTTTCGCGTGGCAGGTGTGGCACTTGGCGACATCCACCTTCGTTTTGCGTGGCAGGCGTGGCACTTATGGCACTGTGCTGGCTCTGGTGGCGCGCTTGGGCGCGCTGGGGCGCGCTTGGTCGCCGGTGACGCCGCCCAACTTTGCGTGGCAGGCGTGGCACTTGGCGACATCCACCTTCGTTTTGCGTGGAAGGCGTGGCACTTATGGCACTGTGCTGGCTCTGGTGGCGGCACTTATGGCACTGTGCTGGCTCTGGTGGCGCGCTTGGGCGCGCTGGGGCGCGCTTGGTCGCCGGTGACGCCGCCCAACCTTGCGTGGCAGGCGTGGCACTTGGCGACATCCATCTTCGTTTCGCGTGGCAGGTGTGGCACTTGGCGACATCCATCTTCGTTTCGCGTGGCAGGTGTGGCACTTGGTTACATCCACCGGTCACTTCCACTTTGGCACTTGGCGACATCCACCTTCGTTTCGCATGGCAGGTGTGGCACTTGGTCACATTCACCTTCGTTTTGCGTGGCAGGCGTGGCACTTATGGCATCGTGGCACTTGGACCAGACATGGACGCCAATGAAACGACCCGCCAGCGTCGTTGAGCAGGCGCCGGAAGAGACAGCGATGGCGGAGGACGGTGCCTGAGTGTGTAGTCCTGCACCGTACTGCGTAGCTAGATTGAAATCTTTGCCCACTAGCTGCACTCATTGTTGGCTCAATGTGGGAAGACATGAGTGACGGCAGCCAGCTCAGCTGCCCGACTCATGGTTGACTCAATGTGGGAAGACATGAGTGACGGCAGCCAGCGAATCTATTGTCAGCTGCTTGACTCATGGTTGACTCAATGTGGGAAGACTGGAGTCGCGATGGCCAATTCAGAAAAGCTCGTGACATGTGTCGATTTTGCCCCACTGTGGGAAGAAATGCGACAGGCCGTGTCAAGATGATTTTGATCACTCGGACAGCTTCAAAAACGTGCATGGATGTTTTTGCTGTGTTGTGGTCAGATCTGTGTGCTGTAACCGCATCTTTCTCTTAACTTGAAATGCATGCGCTCTGTGTCTAGATATATTATAGTTGTGTTCAAAGTTGCGTTGACAACGAGTGACATATGTGTTGTGTACACTTGCGGCCAGGTACTTTTCCGATTTGTCATCGTTGTCGGACCCGTGGCTGTAGGACAGGCGCGGCTTTCATCGGAGTTCGCCGTTGTGCACTAACAGAAGACGCCTGGAATTTCAAATGCATGCGCTCTGTGTCTATAGATATATTGTAGTTGTGTCCATAGTTGCATTGACAACCAGCTACATACGTGCTACATACGTGCTCTGTACTTTTGCGGCCAGGTACTTTTCCGATTTGTCATCGTCGTCGGACCCGTGGCTGTGGGACAGGCGCGGCTTTCATCTGAGTTCGCCGCTGTGCACTAACAGAAGACGCCTGTGAGTGGAATTGTACCTGCGTTCTAGTTGTTCTTTTGCAGCTGTGACTTCTTCTGACCATGACGGGGCCTGCCGTGAATCGATCCGTTTCGATTTTGACCCACCGTGGGAAGAAATCGGATGCCAAGCAGATGTCATTGGAGCGCTGGCGCAAAAAAAGTCCGCAGTGATGCCGCATGTCAGTGTCTAGCTTAGACTCAGTTCATGCTGTGTGCCGGTTTACATTTTCTTATCCAGCAATGAACTTTTCGTTTTGTCGTTTCACACACCATCCTTCCCACACCACTTTGTCGCACATCATCTTTCATACACAACTTTGTCACACGCTCTCTTTCACAAACAACTTTCAGACACACACACACAATCTTTCACACACAACTTGGTCACACATGCGCACACCATCTTTCTTTGTCACGCACCATCTTTCACACACAACTTGGTCAACCACACACACACACACACCATCTTTCTTTGTCACACACTATCTTTCACATACAGCTTTGTCACACACAACTTTGTTTTACTTCTCGATCCTCCACCACCTCCTTTCTCTTTCCTTCCTTCCCCGTCCCTGCTACCACATTTCTTGCTCATTATTGGGAGAAGTTGACTTGTGGGGTTATCCGGTCCTTTAATGGCTCATTTTATAGGAAATCTCTTCCCATACTTCTTACACATATCCTACCAGGGTTTGGATGCACAACAATGTTTAGCATTGACAACAAGACTCCCAGACTCGTATCCTTTACCCCGCTAGTTTGAGGATCATCCCCCCAATGCATCTCCAACCCGTGCAATTTTATACGGGGGATGTATTTTTCCCTGCAGGAAGGGGCCCCCTATATAGTTATAATATGTTATAATTTAGAACCCCACCTGACTAGACATCCATCACAAATGCTGGTTGTCATATTTACAACCCAACTTAGCAAAGAAGCTGGGGCCCCTTCCAGGGCCACCCTTCCTTCAGGACCCCTGCCGGCCCTCAGTGTGGCCTTCGATGCTCTGGTGGCTGCCCCGGATGCGCCGGTCTTCTGGCGCCACCCGCGGGCGCGCTTCGTCACGGTGACGCCCAGCAGCGTGACGCAGCTGTGCCAGGACCATGCACAGAGGAGCTGCCGGGAAGTGCTTCATTTTGGCTATGAATATTTGGCCGAAACTTGGATGAGTTTTGGAGGGTGCTATGATACAGGCAACTTCCTGTAGCATCTGTAGCTGTGCGATGGGACCTCTAGATTTTGTTGGATGGTTGGATGGAGTTGGAGTTTGTTTTGTTTTGGTTGAATCCTTTGGTAGGGGATTGGTTGGCCGAAGCTGCGGCTGGATCGCGGCATGGGTTGAATGGATGGTTTGGCTGGATTCTGAACTCATATATAGCAGGTAGACACTATCCATATTAACAGATGGGATAGATAATAATCAGGTACATAATTATTTGATTATCTATCTTTTTACTGGCTTTCTGGTTTCCATCTCTGGATGTTTGGTCCCACGACCATCTCACAACTATGCCTTAGAGGCCTTGCCTCGACACAGTGTTCAAGGCAGTAAACCCAGCAACACCCAACGATTTGTCGGTTTCATCCCCGTTGGATCAACCAGGTTCCTTCCATTTGGGGCTCATTTCAGACGTTCGATCACCATTTTTGCTGGTGAAACCCATGTTAAATCATCATTTTGGAGGATGAACCCACTATTTTTCTTCTTCAATCACCATTCTTCATGGTTAACCCTCCATTTTTCATGGTTCAGCTGGTTAACTCTCCATTATTTTACCGGTGGCAGCCGCACCAAGGATGACATCTCCAGCCACTTAAGGGCCTTTGCCCTGGATCATGTGGCGGACGTGCTCCTGGCGGAGCTCACGCGATGTCAAAAGGTGCTGCTGACCTTCGCCAAGGCCTTCTGGCCGCGGGCACCGCATGTGCTCTTTGTGCCACTTGGATCAGGGGGAAACATGGGAAAATGACCAAGGGAAAAGCATGGAAAAATCATGGAAAATCCATAACATGATGGTAAAACTACTTAAAACTGCTATATTTCATAGGGGAAATGATGATTTTACGAAATTACTCATCAAATTTATGGGTACGGTACTCAATAACATGAGCCCTTTTAAGTGCCACTCGATCACATGGGAGGATGGGAAAATTAAGACTAGCCATTTTATTGGGAAATAATCGCGGTGAAAAAGCAACAATATCATTTTGGGCGTGTCTGAAAATGGAACAGCATTGCCAGGATGGAGGAGATGATGCTTCCCCCCATAACTATATAACAGGTTTCCAACTTTTCTATCTATTTGGAGGTTGCTATAGTGCCTATGGACTGTCTATAGTAAAACCACCAAACATATATAGAGGAGTAAGAACTTTATTCACATGACATTTCACATTTTTTTGTTTTGAGTGGTTGCTACTGCACATTATTTGAAGAAAGTTTTGGACACATCCTCTAGTGGTGCTGGCAAGTGCATCGCTACCATAGCGGAGATCTCACAGTTGGCGTACCCTGACCGGCCATGGGGTTAGTAGCCAGCTATTGTAGTACATTCGTTTCTACCCCATTAAACTCCATTAGTTCATCTTAAGTTCCAACATCAAGCTGCAGGTGGTCTTATAATGGCTTTATCGAAGGAAGTTTAGAAGTCAAACTTCCGACAATATGGACAGATGAAAAGCAGAGATGGGAAGAGTCAGAGAAGAGAAGGGAAGAAGAAAGAATATCAAAAAGAGAAAGTCTCAGAAGAAAGACGATCCAGGTGTGCGAAAAGGTAGGAAAGTCGCGAAACACTGCGTTTTTCCAGTGATTTGTGGCTCCGGAGGGTCGAAAAGTAGGCTCGCTAAAGCGGCGGGTGCGGAGCCAGCTGGCCAGATGAGAGATGAAAAATTGCACGCTGAGTGAAAAAGCTAAAACCACCTCACGTTCGGACCGCTTTTGGAGGTTGAGATGTAGAAAAGTGCACGCCGTTGTGGCGCGAAGCACATTTGCAAGTGAAAAAGCTAAAAACACTTCACGTTCGGACCACTTTTGGAAGTTGCGATGTCGAAAAAGTGCACGCCGTTGTGGCACGAAGCACATTTCAAGTGAAAAAGCTAAAATCACATGACATTCGGACCGCTTTTGGAAGTTGAGCTGTCTAAAAAGTGCACGCCGTCGTGACGCGAAGCACATTTCCAAGTCAAAATGTGCAAAACACACCATTCTCGGACCACTTTTGGAAATTGAGATGTCGAAAAAGTGCACGCCGTTGTGGCGCGAAGCACATGTCGAAGTCAACATGTTCAAAAACCAGGGGTTCGGACCACTTTTGGACGTTGAGATGTCGTTTCGCGTGGCAGGTGCAAGGGATTTTTGCACCTTGTCAAAAGTGAGCAAAACGTGAGGGTTTTGAAGCATGTCCAACTACAACCACCACTACACTACACCACACTACACCCCAATACGCGACACTACAACTACACCTTCGCTACATTTCACTACACTACACTCCACTACACTACACTACATTACACTACACTACAATCCACTACACTACACTACATTACGCTACACTACGCTCCACTACGCTACACTACAGCTACATTACACTACATTCCACTACACTACACTCCACTACACTCCACTACACTCCACTACACTCCACTACACTCCACTACACTACACTCAATTACACCACACTACACTACACTCCACTACACTACACTCAATTACACTACACTACACTACGCTACACTAGACTACACTACACTACACTACCCTACCCTACGCTACGCTACGCTACGCTACGCTACACTACACTACACTACACTACACTACACTAACACTACACTACACTACACTACACTACACTACACTACACTACACTACACTACACTACACTACACACACACAGTACACACTACACTACACTCAATTACACTACACTACACTACATTACATTACACTACACTACATTCCACTACACTACACTGCACTAAATACAACTACAACTACAACAATGCTGCATTTACACTACGCTACACTACACTACACTAATTACACTACACTACACTACACTCCACTACACTACACTTCACTGAATGACACTGCGCTACACCTACAGCTACAACTGCAAGTCCAACTACACTACATTACATTGCACTACGCTAATGAGGTTACACAATACTACACTAGATTACACTACATCTCACTAACTACAACTACAACTACATAAGACTACATTACACTACACTAATTACATTACACCACGCTGCACTACACTACACTACACCACACTCCACTACACTACACTACACCTCACTACACTACACTCCACTACACTCAATTACACTACGCTACACTACACTACACCACGCGACACTACACTACACTACACTACGCTACACTACACTACACTACACCTACAACTACAACTACACCTACAACTACAACTACAACTACAACGACAACTACAACGACAACTACAACTACAACTGCAACTGCAACTACAACTACAACTACAATACGCTAATTGCATTACACCACACTACACTACACTACACTACATTGCAGTACAGTACACTACGCCACACTAGACTGCACTATGCTACGCTACACTACACTACACTACGCTCTACAAACTACACACTGCAAACTACAAACTACACACTACAAACTAGACACTGCACACTACACACTACACACTACACACTACACACTACACAGTACACAGTACACAGTACACACTACACACTACTACACTACTACACTGCAACACTACACTACACCACACCAGACTACACTACGCTACGCTACGCTACACTACACTACACTAATTGCATTACACTACACTACACCACACTACACCACTCACACCGCATCACACCACACTACACTCAATTACACTACCCGCCACTACCCCTCATTGCATTACATTACGTTACATTACATTACATTACCTTACATTACATTACATTACGCTACACCCATTGCACCACCACAAATGCAACTGCAACTGCACTATATAATTCCACTACACCACAACTACAACTCCACTACACTACAACTACAACTACAGCTGCGCTATGCCACACTACATCCCGCAGTTGTGGGTGAGGTGACCGACCAGGTGACCACTGCAACCATTGCAGCCGCTCCAAAAAACACAGCTCCAACCATCTTTCGGTCCATCAGTGGATTCGCTCTGCCATCCGTGATTCACGACAACCGATCTCTCCTATAGGTTTCCTATTTTTGAACCTTCCGCCACCGCCTTGTGTGGTACTACTGGTACCTATCAAAATCCCAATATCAGTTGCCGACTCCCAGTGGTACATAGCGTTGCCATGTTTCCAATCCATCCAATTCCCCAAAGTCATAAAACATCATAGAACATCTCAGAAGAGACTTCAGTCCATTTAGTAGCAATGGGTGGCTTTCTCATGATTTCAAACAGTGCAAGGCCCCACAAGATGGTGCTCCCTAGTTGTGTTTGTTGGTCTATAGTTCCATCAAATTATATATAGGTTGTGATCATCATAAATTATAGTTAAGTTACAAAGAGTTGCAAATCGCCAACATAGCGATTCCGAACTGGAACATCAACATGATCCCTAATATTTTTACATTATATACCCATTCTATCATGTCATATATCCCCGATCCTTGTTGGTAAACCCTCCATTTGTTGCTGGTGAAGCGTCCATTTTGCATCATTTTGGCGGGTGAAACCTCCATCATTTGTCATTCGTTAGTCACATCCATTTGTTGATGTTTAAAACTCCTTATATCTCCACAGTTGTCCCCCTAAAAAAACCTCGGCTGGGTGAACTCCAGCCACTTTTTTCCATTTTTCCCTTCATTTTTACCATGGTTTTCCCCTAAGTTCTCCCCTCCGACCTGGGTCCTCCCAAGGTACGAACCCAACGCCCTGGGCTTCGAGGCCTCCGCGCTGGACGCCATGCTGGGCGCCCTGTGCGCCTGGTCGGGCGGCCTGCTGCTGGCCACGCAGCAGGCCATGGAGGGCGGCACCTGGGAGCGCTGGAGCCTGGAAGACGTGGCCATGGGCTGCTGATGGGCCTGGGAAGGTGGTAAATCCATGGAAAAATCGGGAGAAATGGGAAAAACCATAGGAAAAAACTCGATGAAGATCGTGGAAATCCAAGGGGAAAAAATAACATGAAATAACTATTTATCAATAGAATGAAGATGATAAGAAACACGTAGAAAAATAGTGTGATATGATTGATGATTGGACTTACCACATGTGCCACGGAGGGCGAAGAGATGCAGTTAGAGTGCCCGATATGAAACTTCTGTAAAGATTCGTGCTTTTGGAATCTGAATTTTAAAGACAAGTGAAGCAAATGGATGCCTTTTGTGGATTGAATTCAGCGCCTGATTCTTTCGACACCGTGTATGAAGGGAACTTTGACCTCTCAAAATCTTCCAATCATGGCAGCTGAGTCGAAGTCCGATTGGCAAAAAGTTTCCCAAGGAGGGACTACAAAGCCCAGATTCGCCACGCTCGCGCGTGATTAAATCACAGGCGGCTCGCCAAGCGACGGGTTTTACTCCTTGAATCGGCGGCAGTCATTGATGGCCGCCTGGCCGTGGTAGAAGTGTCAGGTGCTGCTTTGCAAGGGCGACAAGATGCGACAACGTAACCATCATGATACGTGTGTCTATATTATATACTTCCCTAGGTTTTTTTAGTCTTAGTGACTTGTCATTGTACATCTGTAGGCATATGGGTGCAATTTCTGTTTGTTGCAGCTGGGGTGTGGAACAGAATTTGGACGGAGGACTCCGCTGCAGGATTGAGGGCACTATATATATATATAAATACATACACATATGTTTTCAAAGAATTATCGTTCATATATGCATGTATATTATATGTATATATATATACATGTATATGTATGTTGACATGGACGTAGAGATCGTAGGGTGCGAATGAAAAACAAACACCTCGATTCTGTTCAATTGTGAAATTTCACGGAGCACAGTCATCCTTCGCAACGCAAATGCCTGGGGATGTTTTTTTTCCAGAGTGAGAAGCAGGCTTTGCAGCATTGATTCAGTCAAGAACTCGTACAGAAGCCTGTCTCAATTTTGTTTCTTGAAATAGTATCAATGCTGCTCCTGTTCCACCCAGCATGATGGGCCCATGAGACTTGCGGTTGCCGTGCTTCTTTGGAAGAGTCTTTGCGCTGAGACGTCGCGGCTGCGCTTTTCATGGCTCTGTGGCACAGCTTCCAAATCGGGAGGGCTGTGCACAGGGCGACTATCGATCTCTCCAGCCCTTGCTGCTGCGCGGGGAACAGCGGCAAAAGAGTCAAGGATGTGGGGATGATTCCAAAGTAGATGACTCAAGGCTCAGATTGCCAAGTTTGATGTGGCATTTTGATGAATTTTGTGGGCCCCAGTATTGAGCCATACCCGACCCAGGTCCTCAGGTGTGAGATACCTCAATGATGCTGATTGATCAAAACCAAATCTCTAGGATCAAGTTGCCAAATCATCCCACTGTACTGCATGGATTGTGAGGACACACCGTGGTGACATGCGCTTCTTTCGGTTCAGAGCTCCAATCCTGCATGGATTGAGGAAGTCATCATGTCTCTGCATGATACACCATGATAGCCACTGGTTCTTGTTAAAACGTATAGAAACGCATGCCAACAACTAAATTGAAGAATAAACAACAACGGAACAACAGTATTGCAGTCAAATACCCATAAATACCCATAAATACCAATAAATACCAATAAATACCCATAAATACCCATACATATCCATAAATATTCAACATCAATTCTCCAAAATTATCCCCCTCTTGCATCACCATCCTGAAATCTCCAGGTCCTCCAGGTTTCGCCATGCCATGGCCTTCCTTTGGCCCATCTCTGGTGAGGAGCTCTTGCGTCTTCGCCGCGAGGCACTTCCCCCGGTGACCTTCGACGGCCGCGTGCGGCGGGTGCAGCGGCTGCGCCCCGTGCGCCAGACGTTGAGCAAAGGACAGGAGGAAGCTGCGGCCGTGGCACGGAAGTTGGAGTTGTTGAGGCCTGAATTGGTGATGCTTACCAGGTTGGTGATGGTTGTGGTTGATGGTGAATTGGTGGTGGTGGTGGTGGTGGTGGTTGATGGTTGATGGTTGATGGTTGGTGAACAAAGGTTCATGGCTGAAATTTTTGGGTTGTATTCGTTATGATGGTTGGCACAATGTGCTGAGTTTTGTTTTTTGGAATTCACTTGGATGGTTGGCGAATGCCTGAGGCATGTTTTTCTTTGAGGCTTGGTTGTGGACAACGGTATAGAGAGATGCGTATTCTTCAATTGATAGTTGGTGGTTGGTGACGCACAATTTTTTGAGGAATGATTGGGATTTTAGCTAGATGTATATCTTGGCGCATCTTAGCCCAGAAAATGGATATGAGCTAGATAGAAGCTAGAAATTTCGTGGGGTGATTTTGTCTTGGGGTAGGTATGCCGATGCTTAAAGATTTTGGTTGGCCGAAGGTTTCGCCGTAAATCATATATGACCAGCTTGGGAGATGGCAATGTACAGCTGAAAAAAATGGAGGACGGGTTGGCGGATGACAATGCTTTGTGAATGAAATCATGAAGACATCCAACACCAAAGTAGCAATGAGAAGTCGAGGCATCGGCGGAAGTCCTCCCAACCTTTATTTGTTCGAGGGAAAATCTGCAGGTTGTCATATGTTGTCATCCCTAGTTAGAGAAGTAAACATCTATAGGTTGTCAGATATTTTCAATAGATTTTCCCTTGAACTCCATTGATTCATGGATCATGGATCTCCAGTGGAACTGCAGGTGGCAGCTCCTTCCGGGCGAAGATGTGCGCATCGCCCGGGAGGCTAAGGTGAACCGACAGGACATCGCCCTCAGAGCGGATCGGAGCGATCAAACTTGGCTGAGCTTCGGCGATGCCATCCGGGTGATCTTGCCTGGTGTGGCGGAGGATGCCCGTGATACCTGTCTTTGCACATGCGTGCGGCCAGGAGACTGGGAATTCTCACTGAAGCCTTTTTTTTAAAATGAGTTGAGTTGGAAACTACATGCGTTTTTTTTAAAAGGGTAATCTGGTAGAGCATTTTTTCACCTTGATGTTCCTCGCTTTGCAAACCTTTTGGTTGACGAGCTACTAAAATCATCCAATTGTTGTTTTCCCAGGTTCTACCAAAGTAACCATATATAAAACCCCCAGATACTAAGCATTCCAAGCTCCAAACCAGCCTTTTTGATGATCTCCCCCTTCATCAGATGTAATTGTGGCATCTCATGGCGTATAAACCGATCGAAACCAATATAAAACCCTTGGTTGCCTATATATATATATATATAACTGCGCATATAGATATATCTATATAAATACACACGTTTTCCCTGACATCAACCCATGATTTCTCCCAAGGTATGACGTCACAGGTGGGTCCTGGCGCCTGTCTCCCCAGCGACGCCGCCTTCGCCGAGCGCCGCCTGGCACGGGACCTCGCGGCTGCCGGGCGCTCCGCTGCCAGCGCGTCCGCTGCGGAGTTCGTGGCGCTGACGCTGGCGCCCGTGGAGGACACCAGGAGGAGCGCTTGGAGCGTCTACAGGGCGGGGGAGTTGGATGGATTCCAGGATTCCAAGGCGAGGTGGTGTTCTTTTTTTTGTGGGACGAGGATGGATGCATTTCCCTGAAAATAATGAGGAATCACGGTGAAGAGGAAATGAAATGCGATTACAACATGCAATACCTTCCAAAATTGAACATGAACTAAACCATGGACGGGAAGATCATGGCCATTCTGGGTTCCAAAGGATTCCACTGATGGATCAACCAAGACATGATTCAAGCCTCCACCATCATAGAGGGCAATCTCCTACCTAGGAGATGGGCTCACCCAACCCTAGCGCGGTTCCACAGCATAGCTGGCAATGTGCTATCATAGTCCCCTCCCCAGCTGCATCATGTTGCATCCTGTTTGTTAATTTTTGAGGGTACGCCTGGTACGCCATGGTATGCCTGAAACCCGTCAGGTGCACTATGGTCAACCTCTCCTGTTGGGCCAGCCGGAAACCACTGCAGAACACCCTCGGCAGGAAGTGCTGCTGAGCTGCGAGCCGCCCAGTCGTGAGGGAGGAATTGGTGCTGCCTATCAACTTCTGGGAAGGTTTGTTGGCTTTGGCCATGCAGCCTTGGACCGGAAGAGCTGGAATACCATCTTCATGTTGGTGCCAGCTGGGGAAAAGCAGATGGGAGATGTGGTGGATGTGAATTTGGGGCTGTGGATTGTGCCGCTGGCTCCATTCTCCTATTTGCATGGCGACCGGATTGCAATGATGAAGGTTTTGAACGTATCTTCTCCCAGATTTTTTTGTTGGCCATCAGTTTTTTTTTCCCATTCTTTTTTGTAAACACTGAAAGATTGAGTTGTGAGTCCAAGCAGCATTTGAATGCTATGTTGCTTACCGAGGTCCCCGGCTGATGCAAGCCATGTACTTCGGCTTACCCAACCGCGTGGGTCGTGGCTGCGTGTCGCGCGCCCTGAAATTGGCCGATGGCCGGGAGGAGCTGGTGCTGCACGCGCCGAGGGCACCGCGTCGAGAGGATCAGGAGGGCTGGTGGGATGCGGAATGGACGTTGCAGCCATTGGTGTTGCCCCCCGAGCCCTGCTGCTTGGATTTCGGCTTCAAAACCTCCTGGTAGTTTTTTGATGTTTTTTGTTTTTCTGGTGATGTACAATACTGATAATAATCCCTTCTCCCTAACACTAAACCCCCCCCTCCCCCTAATAATAAACACGGCAGGTAGTTTTTATTATTAGGGTGGTATTTATTATTAGGGAACCCTATTAATAACATTAAACCCTTAGTAATAACAACGATTTTTTCCGATCTCAAAATCAATTAAATTTCTTTATATAACGCAATTCAAATATTGCCAAAAATTGGATTTCGAAGCTTCCCCCTAATATTAAATTAAAACCCTCAATAATAAAAACTATTTTTTCCGATCTCAAAATCAATTAAACTTCTTTATATAACGCGATTAAAATATTGCCAAAAAATGGTTTTCGAAGCTTCCCCCTAATATTAAATTAAAACCCTTAATAATAAAAACTATTTTTTCCGATCTCAAAATCAATTAAATGTCTTTATATAACGCAATTAAAATATTGCCAAAAATTGGATTTCGAAGCTTCCCCCTAATACTAAATTAAAAACCTTAATAAAAACAGCTAAAAAAAATCGGACGGACCCTAATAATAAACACTCCGGGGTGAACTAGTTTTTATTATTAGGGGGCAAAACCCACAAATGGTAGCTTTATTTTTAAGTTGTTTTCTAAAGGGGATCAATTAAAAGTCAAATTGGCCAATCTGAAATTTTCTGAAATTGGAGATGGACCCTAGTTTTTAGTATTTGGGGGGGGTTTAGTAATAGGGAGAAGGGATTACTGTGATTTTCAACCTTAGAAACGGGACATAGGACGACGATCCTGAATGACCAGCATATTTTTCAGGCGTGGTGGAGCTGCACATGACGGACTTTGCCCGGTGGGACCGCTTGAGGCAGATTCAGAGATGAGGGATCCAGGGTTAGACGGTTAGACAAAGAACTGGAGTGGAGTGCTGACCCAACCAGTGGGCTTTAATTGCACTAGACATCATATAAATGCACAAACATACACAAACGAACAAATGAATGCATGCATATTTGTATATACGAGAAGGCGATGGAGAGTGAGATAGAGAGATAGATAGATAGATAGATAGATAGATGGATAGGATAGGATGAGATAGGATAGGATAGGATAGATTAGATTAGATTGATAGATAGATAGATAGACAGACAGACAGACAGACAGACAGACAGATACACATGCACATACACATATATATATATATATATATCGCATAATAATAATAATAAATATATAAATAAGATGTACGTATATGTGTATATATATACACATAATAATAATGATAATAATTAATAATAATAATAATAGCATATGTATATATATAAATAAATAAGATGTACGTATATGTATATATATGTGTGTGTGTAAAAACCAATCAACAGTGCACACACAAACGCGCGCACACACACACATGTATATACACGCAGAATCACGCACATCCATATTTGACATATATTCGGGAAAACCCTGCATCTATGGTTGGAACTGAGATGTTCTAAGCTCGGCCGAGTCAAGCTCCCCAAGCAGGTCGAGCATTTTGGAGCGGCTCTTGGATCGACGAGAGGCAGGACATGGCAGGACGTGTCTGATCCTAAATCTGAAAAAATGGGGCGATGGCCCCCCTTGCCCCCTCCACAAGGAGAGTTGGGCTGGCTCAATCCCCAATCGTCAAGTCCGGAAATCACCAATTTCATGGGTCACATGTCAGTTCCCTTTCTTTCGGTGTGAATTTCAAAGACGAATTCAATCCCCTTCTGTTGGGCGGATACTTTGTTCAATGCCCACCTTTTTTTTGTTTATTAATGTGTTTATTTCAATTATGTGAAACCAATTCAAGTAAGGTATATATGATCAGGTTTCATGGCGGTGATGTTGCTAGTTATAGGATGTGATGGGTTTCATTGTTATGTTTCCCAACTATTTAGCTTTGACAAGTTCCATGGGGATGTCCCAATTTTTGGCTTCGGTCGCCTCGTCGAAGCCAGGCCTTTGCCTTCAGCACCTTGCGGAAGGTCCTGTCCAAGGACACCGCGAACCTTTTTTTTTTCTCCAAGGTTCTGGACACACCATTTTTTAAATTGCATGCAGTAAAACAAATAATATATATATATAAATGTATAGATCGATTAGATTAGATTAGATTAGATTAGATTAGATTCGATATAGAGTAAGACAAGATATGATAAGATATGATAGGATTAGATGAGATGAGAAGAGATTAGATGAGATGAGATTAGACTAGATAGATAGAGATAGAGATAGACAAATAAATGAATGAATGTACCCAAGATTGTTGCTGAACTCTGGAGAGGGCGATAGAGAGAGAGAGAGAGCCCAAGATTGTGAGTGACATCATCATCTTGAGAGGTTGTGGTTGTGGTTGTGGTGGTGGTGGTGGTTGTTGTTGTTGTCGTCGTCGTCGTCGTCGTCGTCGTCGTCCGAAGATTACTGGTAGCACACTCCATTTCCACCGGTCATCTTGCCCTGTTTGTGGAGCGGCATGGAGTCTGATCGTCCCCAGGTAACGATCCCTTCTCCCTGATATTAAAGCCACCCAAAAAGCCCGGTTTATTGGATCTAATCATTTAGGGGCCCATATTGATGTTATTTGAATGTACTTGATCTATTTTCATCAGGGGCAAGGCATTCTGAACAAACATACGTGGAATAAACGGGTTTCGTGCAAGGTAATATCCATCATAGTGGCCAATCTCCACCAATGATGCCACAGGACCGGATCTTGCCCAAGAAGGAGCAGCTGGCGCTGCTTCCGCCCACAGCGGAAGCAGCGACGCCCCTCAGCGACCAGATTGTTGTGGGAAAGTCCTTCGTCGGCCACTCAGGTCTATCCAAAACGAAAGAAAAAGGGCCCGGGGCCATTGCAAGTGTCCGGGGACACCTGCAAAAACAACACTGGTGTTTGTATATATATCATATTATGGGCGTGTTACTGAGAAGAATTGAATAGGGTACCCCCAAAATTGGATGGCGTACGGTTTATCATAATTTCCCCATTAAAATTGCCATTTTATAGGTATCTGCATGTCAAGCTGATGTATCCCGTTCTCGATCACCGCCAAGGTCGCCTCCACCTTTCAGTGTAGCTATGGGCTGTACATCAGTGAAACCGCCTGCACCTCAGAAGGGGCATACAACCTGTGAACATTGATGATGGTGAATGGGATTTTATGGTGATCTAAAGGGATTTGATTGTGATTTCATGGGCTTGTATGGTGATTAGAGATTTCACCAACAAAAATGGGGACTAGATCTTGAAATAACTACTATAGCGATACATAGCTATGTAAATCCATGGGTTTCCCTGGGAAATGAGAATGATCCACAAACGGTTTATTTCCCATACCTACTATATTAGTTAACTGGAGAGCAAAAAGGACTATCATCATGGAATGGTTTGAAACCTTCTGCGATATCGCTGGACTGATCCCTTCCCCCAAAGAAAAGGGCCGCGTTCTTTGTATGATTATGGGTATTATTGATTGTCCTATTGTCATTATGTTATTAGTAATGCTGATCATTGTTACCGCATTAATATGTTTTGCCGATTGCTACCATCACCTGTAAATGGAGGCTAAATCAATGGAACATCCACGATAAATGATGGTGATTAATAGGAACATCCACCATAAATGGTGTTTTAATGGGGAAAACATCAACTATAAATGATTACAAATAGGGGATTTTCCAGCAAGCCATGGCCATGATTACAAATGAGGGTAATGACAATTAAATTCGCCATTGAATTCATCAACTGGTTTCGTCTCCATCAGCCATCCAATTTGCCATCCATCAACCATCAACTTGCCAACAATGTCCCATCCGCTAACCATGGTTCGAATCTGCAAATTGTATCTGCGGTTTGGGAAACATGCACAGAGTACCACTGCACCCCCACTAAGGTCTTTTTAAAGTTTTCACAGTCGTTGAGACGTCCTCCGACTGTTGCAACATGGCTCAAGGGCCAATCAACTGACTGGCTCAAGATCACCGAGCCCAATCTGGAGTGAAAAGGTGCGCCAGCATCTGCCTCTTGGTGGGGTTCTCCGGGAAGGGTCTCGGTCATAGTCTGAAACCCGTGGGTTATGAGCCCAACCCCAACGCTGCCTTGAAGCAATGTCGAGCAGCGACTTCACTCAGCGTCGTCGACAAGAACGCCAAGTTCAAGCGGCTGCTCATGCTGAAGAAGTACAACATGGGACCCATGGACATGGAAAAGAAGAACGCGCGGAAACGGCAGACCAAATGCTGGACCGGCTTCTGGAGGAGATGGACGCACCTGGACAAGCACATGGGGAAAGAACAGGGACAAGATCATCAGACTCAACCCGAAGATCACTGATGGAAGGGGAAGTTGGAGAAAGTGTGATGGCACTGACCGGTGCTGGGGGAAGTGGAGCCCTAGTGCAGGTTGCGGCGGTCCGGGCTGGAGCGGGCGAACGAATTGCCCAGAATCCGGCTGTTGCGGAAGAAGTCGCAAGACCAGTGTCCTTACCACCTGAAGAACCTCCTGGACTTGAAGTGGTACGAGGAAATGGGAGTGGCGGTCTGTTGTCTGGTTTGACCCCAGGTGTGAATAGTCTAACTCTTTCGGGAGTGCCTATGACACAAACACCAGTAGTTGCCCGGATGTCTGAGGGATTTCGTGAACCACCTGTTGTGGGTAATCGAGAAGAAGGACAGGGTGGAAAACACCAAAGCTCAACTGAAGTGGGTGGAGGTGCGGCTGCTGTTGTGGAAACCGTTGCTCTTTTGGAGCGACCGGGACGTTCACCTGTTGAGTCTCCTGAAGATGCACGCGTTAAACAATCGGTGCCAGCGGCACCAACAGGCTCACCTATGATCTACCAGCCGGCGGGAGCACCTGTGGTGTATACTGCAACTGGTGGAACACAGGGTTCGCAAGTAGCTGGGATGTCCCAGCAATCCATGTGTGCTGGAGTGCCACCTACGGGAATGATGCCTCAGTGGGGAACGGCGGTTGTGGATCCTGGGATTGTAACCGGGGTCATGGCTGCAGAGGAAACGAATCCATGGAGTGCTGCCAAGCGAGTGGAAGCTCTAATGAGCAGTCCACAAACTCCAGTGAAGGAGCTGACTTATCCCACAGTGTCGCAAGACCTGATTGATGGGCGGATGCAAGGGAGAAAGAGAAGTATGAAGAGTTGAAACAACGAGCGATGGAATTCATCCAGCGGGGCAAGACTGAGATCCAACAAGATCGAGAAAATTGGTTAGCCACGCGGGAAGAGAAACGTGCCCTGGAACGGGTCCAAGAAACAGGAGGAGGTCACAAGGGCTCTCAGTCGAGTGGGGGGTCTTATCAAACCGCCTCTCCGGAGCAGAACATCGGGCAGTGTTTTCCTGTAGGGCCACCTCAAGGTGTCCCACCCCAAGGACAACAGGTGCTAGATCAGGCAGTTCCGGGAGTTCAACATCATCATGATCAAGATCTTCAATTGAAGGCGGGAGGTCCGATGTGGCATGCGCCTCCTGCGCCCAGGGTCGAACAAGGTCTTCGGCCGATGGATGTGTATATGATTCAAGGGTGGATGAATGGAATGCCGCAGGGAGCGGCGCCGAGACCACCAATGGGAGCTCCCTGCATGGGAGCCATGGAAAACACAAGACCCTGTTTTATGGGTGAACAACCCAATCAATGGTATAATCCTCAAGCCCAAGTTGGAGGAGCACCTGCAGGACAAGATCATCGACTTCATGGAGGTTTTGCATTTCCGGGTGGAAACACCGGACCTATGGGTGGTTGTGGTTGGCCGGGGGGTCCACCGCCGGGGCAGTATGGAAATCCGGGACAAGCACCTGGTCCGCCAGGTGGTCATCAAGGAAATCCAGGACGAGCTGTACCGCCACAACAACAACAACAGCAAGTTGCAGTCCAAGCAGGACCTCAGGCAGGGGGAGAAATACCAGGCGAGACTTTAAGATCGGTCGAATTGCCGAAGCTGGACAGAAACGCAACATCTTTGGACTTTGGAGACTGGCTGACAGTTGCCCAACAGATGATTGGGGATGTGAGCTACACCTCAGAGCAATGGTGGGAAGTAGTGATGACTGCTGTTGAACAAGCATACCACCACTGGTTGCAAGCGGATCCACTCGTGAGGCTCCGGATGGCGCCTGTGATACCTGACATGGCCCGTAGGTGGCCTCGCACAGAGAAACGGGTGGTGGGTATGCTGCTTCAAGCCGTCCCCAAGGACATCTACGAGGACCTTGTGGCGAACAGACACATGTCAGCGGGTCAAGTCATGTTCAAGCTGTACACCGTCTTCCAACCTGGGGGACAAGTGGAAAGAACTTCTCTACTGCAAATGTTGGTGGACTGGAAATGTCCATCTAATAATGCTGCAGAGATGGTCAACTCCATCCGGAAGTGGAGAAGATGGGTGGTTCGTGCCGAAGAACTTCAATTGGTTTTGCCCGATCCTCTGGTTTTGGCCGGAGTGGTCGCAAAAATGAGTGATGCCTTGGCCAGGTTGGGGGGAGCTCAAGCTGCCTACCGGTTGTCTTCGGTGAGACAGCATTTGGGCATAGATCTCCGGCCGGGAATGCAAGAGATCCGAACGTTTTCGGAACTTCTTCAAGCGGAGGCTAGCGAAATGGCTCTCCGTCAACCGGGGAACACAACACAGGGTCCAACGACTAAGCCCAACAATGTAGTGGGGGTGAAGTCTATGAGTGGACCGGATTCATCTGGAAGTCCACCAAAAGGAGCTTCGAAGGGAAAACCAGAAGACGCAGCAGGTTCTTCCACCGGAAGGAGGGGGGAGAAGCCCGAGCTGCCGATTAACGCCGCTAATGTGGTCCATAAGGTGGCGTGCGTCAACTGGCTGACTGAGAAGGGATGCCAATATGCAGAACGATGCCGGTTTATGCACACCGTTTTGGACTCCAAAGATGGCCGATGTTTCAACTGTTCTGGAAAGGGACACTCCCGACGTGATTGTCCGGCGGGAAAACGAAGTGAGTCACGAGGTCCACAAGGTGGATCTGAAGAACCAAAGGTGGCCAAAACCACTAGAATCCGCTCAAGATCTCAAGAGAGGAAAAATGGTTCTGGAAAAGAAGGAGGTGCTGCTCAAGAACGTCCTGAACCTGTCGTGAAGATCAACCCGAGGGATGAATCCACGGTCACTATTACCCCTGTACCAGAGAAGTCCGAAAAGGTTGTAGGAGAAGTCACCAGCCTTTTGAAGGGTCTCAATGGACCGGTCTTGAAATCGGTGGGGCATGGTGGGGATCATCTCGAAGTCGAGTTTGATAATGGAACGGGTTTATTGGATGGTGGGGCGACACACCCCTTGAGACAGGGATCAACCGAGGAGATCAAGAACGCGGTGCAGGTCACTGTGGAACTCGCACATGGAGCTGCTCAGCTCTATCAAAATCCTGTGAATGGAACCCTCTTGTCGGAGGGACCGGTGGAACCAATTGTACCTCTTCGAGGTTTGGTGGAATTGGGATACACCATCACTTGGTCCCGTGCAGGATGTGTTGTGAAGCATCCACGACTGGGAAACATAGAATGTTGGTTAAGGTCTGGGTGTCCAGTGGTTCGAAAGGACCACGCTCTGGCTCTGATCACTGAGATTGAGCACATGGAAATGGAAAAGAGGACCAACCATCGGCTCACCTTGGAAGAGCCCACGGAGAAGACCAAGAAGTGGTGGGGATCACGATTTCCGGAAACACCGGACAGAATTTGGAATTACATGCGGGGTCAAGATGAAGAAGATCCGCAAATGAACCATGATTTACCATGGAACCGGCACAAAAGAAGGAGGCTGCTCACCTCAAAAGGGGTTATAGTCCACCTTTTTGCTGGAGAAAGGGCGAAGGAATGGCGAAAGAATCCCATCAATGGGATTGAAGTCATCACTTTGGATATCAATGAAGGTCGTGATCTACACAATCCGGGAACATGGAGTTTCCTTTGGAAACTTGCAAGCCTGGGAAAACTTCTTGCTATCATCGGGGGACCTCCCTGTCGGACGGTCAGCCGATTGAGGCAGAAACAACCGGGACCAAGACCATTGCGTGGACGTTTCCATGACCGGTATGGTCTACCAGGATTGACAGACCGGGAGAAG